GTCAAAGCACCAAAAGACAAGCAGCTCTCTGCAATGGTCCCTCTAAATAATGGCAGGCGTTTCAGCAAAGTTCTCCAAAAAGCATGAGAGTCCTACATACCTGAATCACGCAATCATCACCCGCAGACTTGGGAACCAAATAGGCCATCAGGATATAAAGTAATAATAAAAGCGCACAGCCAAAGAAACGTCATTGTACCGGTACTCTCCTGTGGATCGACGCGATGAAGCGCATCAATAGAGATACCATCTTCTCTCTAAAGGCAAGGAGATCAATAGCCGTAAAACGATGGAGCCGTGCGAACAGAGGATGCATTTTTAAATCCCTGAGGCCGCAACATGAGTCGCACTGTCCCCGGGCACAACATGTAGAGCTCCACTGGAAAGTACAGTACAATGGCGTCCTTGACGTGCAGCCTTGATAATAATAGTATCGCCGAAAGAGGATCTGCCACTGTATGGCGTTTGGTAAGTCCACTTGAATCCAACCAATCCCACAATGAACACTCTTACCTTGTGGTATTTCTCAATAGCATCATTGCCCCAAATAAAACCGTATCGCCATGTTATCCATATTGTCTTGCTGCTGTTTCACTGTACGTCTCGTTAATTAACAGGTTTCGCTTTGTAGATCCAATACCACGCATACCATTGAGCCAACCATACAGCATTCTTGCTTTGAGATCCGTATCCTGTTGCTGCCACAGGTACCATAATCCAACGTGTCCAAGCTACAGTAAGTGAAGTGTAAGGTAACAATAACGTTCGCTTTTCATGTCGACATACCCATAGTAACAATAGGTTGCGACCCTCCTTGATGACAACCATGGAAAGCATACACACGACACACGACGCCCCCTTTGCATCTCGTATAAACGCGAGAACAGCAAACTACACGTGAACTTTAGTACCTCAATATCCAACTTGAATAATAAAGGAATGCAGCGATGGAACGTACATGTTGTATTGCAATGGAAGCTTGAGTCATGGGCAGATCGCGCGCGTACTTGTTGTTGAATGTCTGCAGCTGGAAAGTGTCGCCATTGACCACATGTGCACCCCAATGAACGCTGTACATTGTAAGGAATGCCAGCAATTAACGCGTTGTAGTTTGTAAATGGAGACAAGCTTACCTTTTGTTGTGAAGTGGAAGTGAAGAAGAGTGGTCTCTTTGTTCCTCGTGTTCGCTCCAATTCGTGCACCCCATGCCACCCCGCTTGCTACAGCTATTACTGTTTATACGTACCCTCCACAATATCCTATGCTTTTAGCTCCATAAGATCGATCACTGCTCAAGACTTCAATTGAGAACAGCCCTCGTAATTAAGCTATTGGTCTGTGCGGATTACATCGATCGATTAGTTATGCAACTTCACTCCTGAACCAACTTGTGTAACCTACTGTGTAACACCCCCACCATATATATGATATCTCGCTTTCCACCTTTCACGTTTGCAGTTCCTCTTTCAATGCAGAAAACAACCAAGTGATCCGCCCCTTGCACATCTAAGCTGATCGTACGATACCCAAAGTATTATGCTGAATCCAATTTTTCAATAAAAAGTCGAAGAACACGTAGACACGGTATTGTGGACGATGTACGTACATGATACATAAGGGAACAATATAGCCAAATTGAATAGGGTACATACGGGCAAAACATATAGAGTCATTAGGTATAATTGTGTCATACTATACTTGATTGCTGTCGTCATGATCAACCCTCATCCATGATTGCAAAATAGGTGTTGTATGCTTTGGCTCGAGTATTATTCCAGTATCATCCATAGCTGTGAAATACCTCCTTTCGTCAAAGACACAAGCCCTCTCCTCAATTCCATCCGAACCACCCTCCTCCTCAGCCGTATGCATAGGGTATGATTCATCATTCCTATTGATGACGCGCCAAGCAACCAAAGCAACATTCCAAGACTTCTCATCACTGCACTTGATCGCATCCTTCCATCCATAACCATTGTAAACCCAATATTGCGGCTGACATGTCTTCTTTTCCATCCAGCTGTTGGTCAATCCCTTTCTTGGTCATTTTCCATCACAGCTCAACCAGCTAAAGGTTACTTGTATTGTGGCGTAGTTGATAGCTGATAGCGCGTCATCCAAAATAGCTCACGTTCCAAATGGGCCTAGGGAACCAAACCAACAATGTATACACTTCCTTCCATCCCATACACCAACCAATATTCAGATCCATATTCATATTAACAAGAAGTCGTATGTATTGGACAAAGTTGCTATGCATAAACGAAGCTGCTTCTATACAATGGCTATCTGTGGGTCACGTGACAAGGCCGCAAGACAAGTTGCTGCAAGTAAAGAACGCTGTTTGAGACAATGGAGTAAAGCCCTTGTTCATAGCAATTGCTGGAATGAATGCTGTTACGATTGGTCGTGGTAAGAGGAGTGTGCAAGAGAAGGTTTAGTGTCAAAGGACTAGTGTGTTGTATTAGAGCAGTGACAAGAAGGCTGTGTACACGCCATAGACTTCCCTTTCAGTCAAAGACAATCGGATCAAGATAGCTGTAGGATTGATATGACGTGTTGAGGCAGGACAATCATTTGCAGGTGGTAGTTGTACTTGAATGGGGCCAACAGTTGAGAATGGGGCGGAAGAGAAGATAACGTGGGGGTGGAAGAGCTGGAAATTTAAGTAGGTTGACCTGTGAGACACCTCCTTGAACACTGTAAGTTAATTCTTGATCTTGAGATTTCCGCTCTCGAACCTGAAACTTTCACACAATGTGCTCTTGGACATGCTTATAAAGCTGTTGTAATAAAAAGCCCATACTTCGTTGTATAAATCTGAATGGGAGGGTATTTTGTGGGGTTGACTATGTAAGCCGGAAGCAGGTCAGCGCCGGATGCATGGTTTATCCAAATAGTATGAATTACCTTGGGATTCCCCATTTCGATCTTGAAACTTTGTCAAGAGGTTCGCTGGGACATGCTGATCAACATCATCCATTTAAAAATCACACTCTTCATTATAAAAAGTCTTGAGTGGTAGTGTCCAAATGTAGGAGATACGATGGTTTGACAGGAACAGAGGTGGTGTGTATGGCCCATACGCCTTGAGATTGGTCATCTCAAACTCAAAACTTTCACACAAGATGCTCTCGGATAGAGGTATACTCTTACTGTAAATACGGATGGCAAAAAGTTGCAGGCTTGATCTGTAAAGATGAGAATTACTATACATATGACCTCCATCATCATTCTCGCTGGGAGAGATAATAAGCGCCAGCATGTATACATTATAGAAGAGACGACATCCAAGGATGTTACAATAAATTTATGTATTGGTTGTATCATGTCAATTTACTAGCTAATTGTAGTGCATTCTTCGTTGCTGTTGGCAATGCATGTTTCCATGGCTTGATGTTGACAGGGCGTTCGAGTTACACAACGCTTGAATGTTGTCAATGGAGCGGCCGAACAAAAGAGAAATTTTTCGGTTTGTGGCATTTGACTTAACCTTTCTTCATTCACTCAACGCACACACACGCACACATACACCATGGCTGTCGACGACGATTTTGTAATGACCATTGAGGAGGATGACGACTCTTTCAAGATCGTCGATGAAGAAGCCGAAATGGCTGAGGAGCCAGAGCCAACACCTGAACCCGCCAAAAAGAAACGCAAGACTGACAAAAAGTCAAAGAAAGCAGCAGCAGCAGCAGCAGCAAAGGACGACAATACCGATTCAGCATTCGATCCCCAGTTTACTTTTGCCATTGATGGAGGTGGATCGTCAGGACCGAGCCATGCTTGGGACTTTACAGCTGCTCGTGATATGCTCAAGCAAAAACAGGTGTGTGTTATAGAGTGCATGCCAAATCGATTCCTATTGCTCACTTTTTATTATCTATCAGGCCAACACAGTGGCGAGAACATCGATTGATGAGATTATTGCAAAGAAACGACAAGAAAACAAGTTGAAACGGAAGAAGGGTAAGGGTGCATGAAAGGATGGATATTATGGATGTCATGGTGTTGACGTTTGTATGATAATAGCTGCTGCTGCCGAGGCTGAAAAGGAGGAGCAAGCTGATGTTGATGATGATGATGAGGACCTTGCTGCTGATGGCTTTGGTGGTGGTGCACGAGACAAGACCATGGAGGATGATGACGAGGACGACGATTCGGATAGCGATGACTCTGAGAGTGATGAGGAAGAATCAGGCCAAAGCGAAGACCAAAGTGATAGCGAGGAAAAGAATGATGAAGCTGAAGAAGCTGTAAGTGTATACCTAGTGCAATAATAAGGTGCATATATACTTATTCTTTCTTTGATCCATAGCGTAAGCGCGCTTACTTTGCACCTGATGAAGAAAACCCCACAGCATCCCACGATTCTTTTACGTCCATGAACTTGTCACGACCCATTCAAAAGGGTTTGGCGGGTGTCGGCTTTGTCAAACCAACCGAGATTCAAGCAAGAACTATACCAGTAGCATTGTTGGGCAAGGATATTTGTGGTGGTGCTGTCACTGGTTCCGGCAAAACAGCTGCATTCATTGTCCCCATTCTTGAACGTTTGCTTTATCGTCCACGTCAAACACCAGCCACTCGTGTGCTTATTCTTTGTCCCACGCGTGAATTGGCAGCCCAGGTGCATAGCGTTGCCACCAAGCTTGCAAGTTACACCGATATCTCCTTTTGTCTTTGTGTCGGTGGTTTGAATTTGAGACGTCAAGAAGCTGAACTCAAGACCAAGCCTGATGTTGTGGTGGCCACCCCAGGTCGTTTAATCGATCACGTGCGTAACTCTGCAGGATTTGCTTTGGATACTTGTGAAATTCTTGTCATGGATGAAGCTGATCGGTAAGTAGTAGTAGTAGTAGTATACTACAAGGATGGGAATGGAGTTAAGCTAACATGGTATCCTACCTAGTATGCTCGAAGATGGTTTCGCTGATGAATTGAATGAGATTGTAAAGTCTTGCCCAAAGTCCCGACAAACCATGCTCTTTTCTGCTACCATGACCGACAATGTGGATCAACTTATTCGCATGTCGTTGAACCACCCTGTTCGTTTGTTTGTGGATCGTAGTGATCAGGCTGCTAGTCGACTTATTCAAGAATTCGTTCGTATTCGTGCACACAAGGAAGCAGATCGATCAGCTGTCCTCGTATCCTTATGTCGTAGGACATTCAAGAACAAGGTCATTATCTTTTTCCGATCCAAAGTGGCAGCACATCAAATGAAGATTTTATTTGGATTACTCGGCTTACGAGCAGCAGAGTTGCATGGCAATCTTACACAAGAACAACGTCTCGAAGCATTGGAACTTTTCCGTGATCACAAGGTGGATTACTTGTTGGCCACTGATCTTGCAGCAAGAGGTTTGGATATCAAGGGCATTGAAGTCGTCATCAATTACAACATGCCAAATCAATTTGCCCAATACTTGCATCGTGTGGGTAGAACTGCTCGTGCTGGTCGTAATGGTCGATCCGTCACATTGGTGGGTGAAGCTGACCGCAAGATGCTCAAAATGGCCATCAAATCAGCCAATACCGGTTCTCAAGTCAAGAATCGTGTGATCCCAGCAGAGACGATTCAAAAGTACAAAAAGAAGGTCGACCAATTATCACCACAAATCGAAGAGATCCTACTAGAGGAAAAGCAAGAACGTGCTATTCGTGAAGCTGAAATGAAGGTCCAAAAGAGCGAAAACCTGCTCAAGCATGCTTCCGAGATCTATTCACGACCTGCACGGACGTGGTTCCAAACCAACAAGGAGAAAAAGACAAAGAAGCATTCCAAGCAATAGATACATCATAGCAACAGCATCATCTTTTTTACACATCAATAATACGCTTTATTCGACTGCATTCTTCAAGATGTTCTCCTCGGTACTTGATGAGATAGGTGCCATGTTCTTTAAAGGTCACGGTCTTATTCACTGGGCAGCCCTGTAAATAAAGAAGGAGATCATCGTTAAGTTACTTTTGGATGCGTACATGATGGTGTTTGTTTTTCTTTCTTACCTTGGCACTATTGGAGCACTTGTAGTATATGCTACGATAGCCTGATTTCTTGTGTACGGTGTTGCCATTGTTCTTCCACAAGTAATCATCATTGTATGGGAATTCCTTGGTTTCTATGATCGTGCTTATAGCTTGCATTTCTCGACGACGACGTCTTCGAGGGCATGAGGATGACTCTTGGTTACGGTGGATGTTGGTGATGGGTGGAATAGGTAACTTGTCAGAGCTGTGATCAGCAATTTGAGGAGGCAATGATGATACCAATGGACCTGGAGGTGGTAATATCATATCTGATTCACTTTCGCTATCCACAAGTGGGGGACTACGATAAGGATGGTCATATGTACTATGTAAACAAGATTAGTATCACATCAAAATCAATCATTATCTCTATAACAAGGTTTTACCTTTTGGACTGTGGCTCTTTGGATAATGAATTAGGGGGTGGTGTTGTGGATATGGGTGGCAATGAAGAACGAGATAACCTTGGGGAATGACTAAGAAGCATGTCGATATTGCTTGAGCTTCGTCTTCGTATAGTAGTAGTATCATGGCGACTTGGATAAGGCTCATGTCTCCAGCTGGTACCGGGAGAATGCCTTACCGCGGAATTTCTTCGGATGGGAGTGTGATGATGTTGAGGCGGGGTATGGATCCGCGGAAGCGTTGATGATTCAGCAGCCATCGTCGTCATTTCATTTGGATAACTAGTACTGTCTTGGTAGGCACTAGTAGTATTGGGTTGTTGTTGTTGTTGTTGCCAGCTGATGCTACTACGACGATGTGTGGAAGAATTTTGGAGTTTGTTTTCATCATGTCGTTTTTCGCCACCTTGGGTATAACCAGCCGGCTGCCAGTTGCTGTTGCTGCTGCGGTAGGTATCTGATCGTTGTTGTGGTTCGCCATCTTGTTGTTGGTGTTGTTGTAAGAGATAATCGATCTCTTTTTGTTTTAGCCGTGCCTCTTCTGTTCTTCGACGATCCTCTTCCACTTTACTAGAAAGGATCAAACCAAGCAGTTCCGGCTGCTCACTATATTGTCGAACAACTCGTTCAAGGTTGAGAAATGTTGATGATGTATCTTCGTTTGATGTTGTGATACTAGTACAAGCATTGGTCATTGTGCGAGATGCCAAAGGAGTTGTTGATGATGATGGATGATGATGATGATGCCATGATGATTTTGCATGTTCCTTTTGAAAAGATGGCGCGTTATGCAATGGTGATGAAGTAGCTGTGTTAGGTGGGGAAGGAGGACAATGTCTTGGAGGAAAAGCAGCTTGATAATGATGTTGTTGTGCAGGCATGAAAACTTGGGATGGCATTAAAAGGGCGTTCCTTGACATGGTAAAAACAAAAAGAGAGAAACCAAAATGATAAACGTTCAAGATACAAATATTGAAATAGGAAGCGGGAACACAAATCAAAGCAACAAATGTCCCGTTGTCCCTCCTCATCCACCCCCCCATTGTTGCTTTGTTCTGCTCCTCCACCCAATCCCCGCACACACTTTTTTTGTATAAATGCACACGCATCGACTCACACTATCGGATTACCCATCACATGTTATAATACAAATCTATAGCTTTGTATATGAAGAATACCTTTTATGATCCCACTCTTTACATAAGAATGTATCGTTGAAGCGATGCTATCGGATAATTAACTAAAACAAGATATGTGGGATGAAGCAAACGTTTTGTAATGAAACCCAGCGACATAACCAAAGTTGTGTGGGTTACCCCAGCCGCCGACTTTGTCCGAGCGCTTGATGTGGGTGGTGTGTGGGGGAAGAAGAGGGAAAAAAATGCTAAGCTGTAAATGAATAAAGTTCCTGGTAACTATTGTTTCTCTCACGGCACACAATGCTAATTCCCGAAGGTTTCTGAATGACAGGCCATGTTTGATTGGTCCATATGGCTTATAAAACATGTTCCCGTCCAGTCGCTGAATACCATCCCGCTTGTCCCGTTTCCCACCAGAGCCCAAATTCCGTGCCCCTTGCACGATTTCGTAGGGACCGAAGGGTCCTCCGATGTATCAACCACTTATGTAACCCACCTTCCTGTTTCGAAGCCTACAATACATTACAGACGCTATACTTATACATAGCGGGGTTGCCACCACACACACACACACACGCATACTTTCACTGCATACCGTATCTCAGCAACCGCAGCTGTACAAGGGAGGGAAGAAAAATGCAGCTAATTGTACTGGATCGTAATTTCCTCTTGTGGTTAAAATACGTTCTATGGTGGAAACGGGATACGCACACAAAATGCACGGGTGATTACGTTTCCGCGGCAATGGATATATTCCCAGCCTTGTGAAAAATAAACGCTCTCTTTTTCATCCGTAGGGACCAAAGGGTACTTGATTATCAAACCACGGATTCTCCTGTTTCCACGTAACATTTTTCCCATACTTGGTCTTCCCATCGTTTCACATTCTGCTACCATTTCCCATTGTGTTCATAGTCTCCTATTATACCATCACCCGCCATCTATTTTGTAGTCACATCGTTGCTTGGATAAGCATACACGTGTCATGAATCGAGAAAACGCACCCGTGGGTCCATAATAGTGTATCACCACCGCATTGTATGTACACGGGAAAATTTCACTTATGACATTATTACGTGCGCCATAAACTCGTATCCAGGTACCTTGATTCCCACCATCATTATCCCCAAGTTGTGAAAAATATCACGTGACCAAATGTTGCCATGGAAACAAAGATTTATTAAAGCTATCATTATCCATGTCATAGGTAGAGAGAGTGTGTGTGATGTCTTTTTGAAATAAGAAAGTGGGAGGGGGAAAGGGGAGGTTCCAGCGCTTGCAGCCACTGACCACACTTTTGAAATTCAGCAACAAAGCAGCCAACAATTTTCACCAACCACTTTCTACCACTACTTGATCGATGGACAACCAGAACGATGACAGCTTTGATCTCAACGCCACATTCAGTGCCGTTCCTTTGAATGAGGATACCTTAAAGAAGGATAGCAAGGTCAAGAAGCGTGCTGAAAAACGAGCCAAGCTTGATCGCGACACACAGGTAACGTGCGATCGATCATTGACAGCCAAGCAAACAGGCTTTATTGACCATTCTTGCTACAGCGTGAAATCAACCGAGAGAAACGCAAAGCAAAGAAGGAACTCAAGGAAAAGAACAAGAAACGCAAGGTAATCGAGGAGGAGGATGGTGATAGTGGTGGCAAAAGTGATTAATGTATGTATGTATTAGCGAGGAGAGATTCCTATCAGTGATGATGAAGAGACGACTGCCAAGGATGGCGAGGACAAGAAGCAAGAAGATGATGAGGATGAAGAGCAACAAACCAAGAAGAAAAAGGAATTTGGTGTTTGGGTGGGCAACTTCAGCTTCAACACATCACCTGAAGACATTCGCAAATACTTTCGACGATGTGGAACAGTGGTACGTTTGGTGTGTCCTCAAGGTTCAGGAGGAAAAAAGAACAAAGGGTAAGTAGGACGCATGATGGGGGGTAGGATAAAGTTGACCATTTGAATGACGCCTCTTGTATAGCTTCGCCTATGTGTTCTTTGTTAAACGTCGTGAGGCCGAGAAAGCTTTGGAGCTCAATGAATATCCATTGGATGGACGACCTTTGTTAATCAAGCCAGCAGATGATTTCAACAAGCAAGAAGGTTCCAAACCTAAGCCTATCCAGTCAGATACCACCAGCAACAGCAGCACTACAAAGCCCGTCAAAGGTGCTCAACAAAAGAATCCACCTTGCCCAACTCTATTCCTCGGCAATCTTCCTTTCACAGCTACAGCAGAGATGATCCAAGCACAATTTGAGTCTTTAGGCCATATCCGTAAAGTCCGTGTTGCAACCTTTGAAGATAGCGGCAAATGCAAAGGGTACGATAACGATGACAACATGATCCGCTCTTGTTTCTTTATGCTGATGATGATTGTAGCTTTGGATACATTGACTTTGGAGACCTTGATACTGCTGTACGTGCTATTCGTGCCCCTGACAAACACGTGTTGGATGGAAGAAAGATTCGTGTTGAGTATGCATCTGAAGAAGCTTATAACCGAGGTCGCCCACGTAAGGTAAAGGAAAGAGAAGCAGCAGCAGCGGCAGCAGCGGCAGCAGCAGGAGAAGGAGGAGAAGGATCGAATGATGCCTCTCAAGAAGATCAAGGTGAAACCCAAGAAGAACATCAACAACAGGAATATGAACATCGTGGAAAGCGAAGAGGATATGATCATGGAGATGGACCACGAGAAAAGCGTCGCAAATCCAACAAGGATGGAGGTCGCACCAAACCTGGAAAGGCTTTATCAGAAGCACAACGCCAGAGACCTACTGTACAAGAGTTCAAGGGTACCAAGATTGTCTTTGATTAGCTTATATAGATAGTAGTTTTATTCCATTGGAAGAATTGCATTGCCCCATTATTATTGTAGATTACATTTCTAGCATCATCAATGAAATTGACGAGAGTTATCCACAAGTCGTATGCTTTGAGGAATGATGTGGTCAGCTGCACGTGATGGCTTTGGACATCCTAGTTGATGTCAATGAGTCAAAGAGTCCATATTATGTAAACAATCCACATGCCATAGCAAAGTTTGTACATACCCAATGGTGATGATAAAGATACGTCTTGGAGCTATCCCCATATATCGAATATTGCATGCAGCTACAAAGGTGATGAGTGCTATGTATACTCCTTCATGATAACCATCCACCGATAAGCATTGATAATCTTTATGGTGCTGATCGATGTCTACGTATTTACTCGATTTGGACATGCTTGACTTTTTTGGTGTGCACTTTAAAGATGACCACCTCTAGACTTATTCGCAAGCAATAGTACACGTCTACGTGATCGAGCAAGTAAAGCGGGTTTGGACACCATGATGTTGTCAACAGTGATTCCTGGTATCGATGTTGCTGCTAATAGCAGTATTCGAATGCCCAGACATACATGCATAATGGCGCTCTAAAGGATCTAAAAGGTAGCTTGTCAATGATAAATCCCTTTGTGATAATAAGTGATAGATCATTGGAAACGATGCCGTGATGGCTGATTGTTGTCATTGTTTGGTGATGGACATTGCCAACTTGGTTAAATTTGGTAATGCTAATTACGATCCATGGATGAACGATCGCCATCCCTTAGGCACTTTCAAACACACTACCGCGAAGGTGCTCGACACCCAATTTATCAAACCATGCATCATCCCCAACATGCTCTTTGTTTATCACTCTCTGCTCCTCTTTGTGAGCCCAAAAGTACCCACGCCCACTGGGTACATAAAAAGGATGTTGTCGCCCATATTGCACCACACATCATCTCTTTCTTCTACATATCAAACCCCTCTTCATTTATTGCTTGCAAGACAACAAATGTTTTTGGCTGGTAGCGACATTACGTAAAGATGGGGTTGGCCAAGGTCAATGATTATCTTGAAGAAATCCAAGGTTCCAATGATTAGCAAGTAGAGGAGGGTATCAACCAAAGAGTACCGGTGGATTGCACGTTGAGTGACAACATACATCTTGGCACTCCCAATACTGTAATCAAGGACATCAGCCCAAAGATCACGCCCTCGAAAGCAACGTCATCAATCGTCAGCAGCTGGTGGTTATTATCTTGGATGATGATCATCTCGAACATTCAAATCAGATCCAAGACAAATACCAAGTGAGAAGCATCAAATGGTTAATGAGACATCTAAACCATTACAAAGATCCTCGAGCAGCCAATGATCATGATGATAATTATTGGGACCAATATGACGATGACGATGAAGAAGATGCGTATAGCTATTACACGACAGCAAGCCCCTACCGAAGTGAGCATACAGATACAGATAGCGATTCATCTTATCACTAAAGATACATTACATTTTAACATCAATGAAATTGACGAGAGTTATTCGGAAGTGGTATCCTTTAAGGGATGATGTCGTCAGCTGCACTTGATGGCTTTGGGGATTCTAATTGATCAACTGGTCTCAAAGTTGATGTCAAACAATGCACATGCAAGGCGCATACCAAAAAAGTCAAACATGTCCAAATCGAGTAAATACGTACGTAGGCATCGATCAGCGCCATAAAGCTTATCAATGCTTATCGATGGATGGTTATCATGCAGGAGTATGTACACATAGCATTCATCACCTTTGTAGCTGCAAGCAATATTCAACAAATGGGAATAGATTCAAGATGAATGTTTATCATCATCAGCATTGGGTACAGAATATAGCTACATTTAGGCGTTCAATGGCTCATTTCGTAACCAGCGGCCGAAGAAATCGAGGGCGTTCTCGGGTTGATCATAAGGAACCTGTATTCAAATGGGTGAGTATACATGATAACAATGCTCATGATCTGAAACTAACCATGTGGCCGGCATCGAAAATACGCAAGAAAGTCAACTTGTCGTAGGAGCGGACTTCACCAGCTTTCTCAAGCGTCTTTTGATTGATCCAAGGCTCATCCTCAGCTTCACGATAACCTTGTTGGCCCGACCATTCCATTTCTAAGGACCATGCTTTATTGCCGTACCAGTTGCAGATCCAATCCTTGATTGTAAAACGTCAGCACAAGGCATAGAGTATATGTAAAGGTGTCGACTTACCATATCACCGACATACAACAAGACACGGACACCTGATTCCAAAGTCTCGGCCACTTGGGGAGTAAAGTCGAAACCACTATACAAAGCAAGCAATCATCAGCCAAGGAGACCAAAGTCAAATAGTTCACATGCAACCTACCCATCACCAGCCGTAGCAAAGTTGTAACCAACACCTTCATCGCAACCTTCATATACGCCAGCCTCTTCATCAACTCCCAATTCCAAACGCACTTCGGGCTTGTTGGCATACTTGGCGATGGCTTCAATTTCTTCATAGCACAGACCACTGTTTCCAGCACAAGGCTTGCGGATGTCATAAGGATTAAGACCGGTTGAGTCGAAAGGTGCTTGAATGGCACGCTCACAATAAAGATTGGCAGGGACGCAGGTCAAGGAACTCGGCACTTTGTAACAAACATCCATCAAAGCTTTGCAACGAGGATACTTGTCACGTTGTTCTTGGCATTGTTCCTCGCTGTAGATTGGTTTGTCTATATAAGAAAGAAAAGGGATGAATGTACAGCGAAGTGAGGTAATAAAGATACTTACAAGGGCTATCATGAGCACAAGAATATTCTTCATAGTACTTATATTGGGTACGCGGATTTGTGAATCCATTACCCACGAGCATTGACTCGAATGGAAGAAGCAAGAGACCCTTCTCGTCAGCGACCTTGTTGTTTGCAATGATTTCTGATGCGAGAGCGGGAAGATAGTGGCCACCTATATATAAATGCTGATATCAGTTATCCATTCTTGTAAGCTCAAGAAAGAGAAGGTACGCACCATAAGATTCACCAGAGATATGGAATGGATTGGAAGCGTATTCGGGGAATTGACCCAAGAACAATTGCAAAAAGGCGTATACATCACGTGCAGATTCCTTGGAAGTCTTGACCTTGGTCTTGCCATAGCTATAACCCACATTGACGGGCTTCAAAAATATAAGTGAAATGAACCGATGGATGACAAATACGCATTTACCTGATCCAAAAAGATAACATTGGCGACGCTATTCCAGCTGTACTCATTGCGTACGGTTTCGTTGCCAGTCTTATCAACCAAGCAAGGGCTTTTTTGTATATAAACGTTAAATCATTGTATCTCGGGGTATTCTTTGATAGTGACTTACCCAAGTTCCATCCAAAGACCCATCATGGACGAACAACCTATTCCGTAATTAGTAACCTAGCAATAAAAGAGAGAACCCTTGCATAAAGACACACGTACCTGGACCACCGTTAAGCCATAAGACGAGAGGATCGGTTGAAGGAGAGTTGCGAGACTCAAAGAACCAAAAGAACAAGTGGTCGTCAGTTTCCAAATTGTCGATATAGCCCGAGTACTGAATGACACAATTCGTTAGCAACGCAATGCCATAGTAGCCATTAAAGAAGTCCATTTACCTGAATTCCTTCTTCACATGATACGGGGTTGTTGGCACGCACGGAGCGCAAGCGCAATTCGTAGCCTTGCAATTGGTCGTTCTTGAGAACATGAAACGAATCGGGTTCCTCTGTAACGGGTTGTTGTTGTTGGTTCCAGTCGCCTTGTGGGTTGCTCTGGTCGAAAAAGTGAAAGTCAGGAGGTGACCAAGCGCTGACTGCAGTGGCTGTCAAAGCCAACGTGATAATGCTAGCAGTAAAGCGCATATCGTAAGGAAGAAGCAATAGAGAGATACACGCCCGCCAAGCCCACACACGAGTCTTCTCACGAGTAAAAGTAGGACTTTTGCACCCGATTGTTTGTGGTTGTACCAAGCGGCATTATCTTTTCCGGGCTCGTTAGGGATGATGTCTTGTCGGCGGATAGATAAGACTGATATCTTATCTTGCATTAAGGCCTACATTAATCGCTCTTATCATATGCTTTTGCCAATATCCTCTTCTTCATGTGTAGTGTGTGAGCACATTCTTAAATGATCATTTTCTTTCACTCATCTTTGACCAACAACAACAATGGATAATTCTTCTTCTACTACGCGACTCCCTCCAATTATTCAAACCAATACAACAGACAACTCATCCTCATCACCACCACTAAGTCACTATTCTTGTTATCAAGATCATTCAACCACCACCGACAACAACAACAACCGGAGACCTAGTTTACCACCACCAAATACATTAGCACACAACAACATGGTTGAAAGTGAACCACCACAACAGCATCATCATCATCATCATCCCCAGAGTATACATGATGAACATGCAACATCGGTAACAAAATGCTTCAACTGTCAAACGACTACAACCCCTTTATGGCGACGTGATGATAACGGCCACACCATATGTAACGCTTGTGGTCTATACTTTAAGCTGCACAACGTACAGCGTCCGGTCACCATGAAGCGCACTGTCATCAAACGCCGTAAGCGTTTTAGCGTTGTGAATCTTCGACAACGTCAACAGCAGCAGCAAACGTCATCATCTTTGACAGCTATGAATTCTGTATTACATCATCATCAGCAAGAGGATAACACCATGCCATCATACCTACCTCCTCCATCCCACGAACACAGCTGGAACCATCACACCCATTCTTCATCACCTCCTTGCTTCGATGCTCACAAACCATCATCATCCATGGAATCCAATGATCATTACCTCTATCAGTCAGCAGAGCAACATCTTCCACATTTCAGAACATTGATACAGGTGTTGATGGGCGATCAACAAGAAACATCATCATCAAGGGATTTCAGCACCGGTTATCATCATCAACAACAACAACAACAGCAAGATGATGATCAATCCCACGTTTCCAAGGCTGTCATGATGGCTGCCACCCTTCTTTTCGATCAAGGAAAGCTCCGGCAAGAATTGCAAGAGAGGAAAAATAGGCTGCTTGAAGAAATAGAAAATGTCAATCTATTGCTCTCACAATCATCCAGAGTGCTTCAAGTGCTTGACACCATCGTCAAACCTTCTCAGCAACAACAAACAGCACCCTCTTCTTTCTCATCTTCTACTACTGCAAAATCAAATATGGCACCACCAGCACCACCCACCATCATGGATTATTCTGAACAGCAACAACAACAGCAGGATCCTCACATTCGAGCAGCATTCAATATTCTCAGCTCATTACTTCGTGAACAGCAACCCATTGAAAACAATAATGATAATAATCCATTGCTTCCATACTTGATGATGCTTCTTGAACCTTCAAATCACACTCAGCAACAAAGGACATCAATGACACGGACATCTTTTTCTACCCCAGCAGCCCATGCATCATCCTCTTCTCATCCTGATCATAGTAGTAGCGGACCATCCAGTAGTATATCTTCTTCATTTTCTCATACCCAACAATACCATCATGAAGAACGACGTCCATCTTCTTCTTCCTCCTCTTCACGCCATCCCCTATCATAGCTGATCTTCTCCCAATGTCTGCTGATACCGAATAAAACGAAAGGCTAGCTTGTATGTAATTCATATGATTTTGATAATGATGGGATATATATATAGATTCGACACTTTGGAAGGCATCATACATGACCAGAGTTTTGGGAGCCATAAGTATGCTGTCTGCTTGATTCTCCACGAAGCAATATTTGTTGTTCTTCATCTGCATCCATATCCTCTGTTTCTTCATCCACGTTATTCTGCCGCTTTCGAAAGAGTGCCACCAAAAGACCAATGACGTAAACGACCAAGAATGCCCACTGGGCGTAATACAGCACGACGCCGAAAAAGGGTGCATTGATAGCGATACGATCAATCAATGTGGATACAGTGGTTGGTGTACAAATGTCTTTCAAGAAACAATGCATGATGTTAGATTCCTCACAACATTACCATCACCATCGTGGTTACCTGTTGGGGCGTAGATATCGCATGGTACAATAAGTTCCTTATGCTCACTGCAATCGCGTGTGGTATCCGTGATCGTGTGGTTGCACTAAGAAAACACTATATAAGCAACAGCATCTTCATCCATTTCATGACCGACCACGTACATAGACTTGGCTGCCAAAATGGGCGTATCCAGGGGCAACGACAGCTGTAAGCGAGTAATTCATTGCGAGCAACCCCAATGTCATCAAGATGGTCAAGATAAGTAATGCTTGTGGCATGGTCGCTCCCTTGCGAATCTTGAAGAGTGATATCCACAATAAACGTACACCCATGGTGATAACACCCGACATGGTCGATAAGAAAAAGTAGATGATCAAGAGTACCATGAAGATGTAATCGAGTGGGAATACATTGGCCAACTTGACAAAGATGATGTTGATCGGATTGAACAAGTCTGGATGATTGATCACGTATCCGCAGCTGCTTCCACAAATCGAAGAATTGATCTTGTCAAAGCTAATAGTAGATGTACATAATAAATGAGTCAACCGATAGCGTCTAGAAGTGCCCATACATACATGGTCAAGAAGATCGATACTGTGATTGCAAGAGAGAGTAGCAATAAGAAAACGCCTGTAATGAGCTACTAAATGTATTAGCATGGAGGTGCCTCATGGATTGAAAATACCCTACAACGTACCTCCAGAGGTCTCAACCAACGCATTACACGATACCAAGTGGTTCCCGAATCATGCTCAATGGTGTTCAACATCCGTGATAAGGCTCTAAAGAACAAAGGTGGTTGATGTCATGGATGCATGTTGTGCCGCTCTCTCCTTAACGTTACCTTCTTTCGTCCTCGAGACGATCCAAATCGTGTCTATCATTCATACTCTTGGGCTTGGCTGTTCCAGAATAACGGGCTTGAATCTCACGCTGCCTCTCACGGTTGACTGCGATACGGCTATTGATATCTTCTTTTTCTGTGTCCACGCTACGACGACCTTTGATCATGCTTAATGGTAAAAGTGAGAGTCCTGGGGCCTTTGAACGATCATTAGACTCCAATGTGATCCATGCGTAGTAACACACAACCTCACACGTACTGTATAGCCTATAAACACCACCATGCCAACAAGGATAAGACACGCCAACACAAACGACAAGGATTTGAGACCATCTATTGTTGTAACAATGCATGATGAATGACCACCCTTGTATGTACTCTACGATGATAAGTATGACTTACTGTTTCCGATCAATAGTTTCTCCAGCCAATCCAATCCCAAAGTTGGTGGTTCCTGGCTAGGTTTCACGAATAAACCCGCCACAATCAGCAGGACGCAAATCACCACGAAGAACGACGTATATTTCAATGCGCCCAAGATGCGATCCAGGTTGCTTTGCTCGTCTTCATCATCATATTCTTCGTAATAAAAGTAGGCAAATGGGATCACAAGGAAGCTAAACAAGCCAATCGCACCATAACATGCTTGAAAACATGATGAATACAGGATCCCAAATGATACATCCATACATACACATACATACCATAGTAAACGATCTGTACTGTCATGGTGATCTGATCCATCTTATCAGGCGTTGCCCAAGGCTGTTTGAGGCCCGTAGACTGGTCCACCGTGGACGAGACCAAAAAGATATCAATGGGAACCAAAGCAACGGTTGCAAGCACCAATGTCAACGCGAGGATAGTGATGATGGTAGCCAATGCTTCGGATTCATGTTTGTGTTGGTAATGGCGCGTAAAAGCAATAGCGACACCGAGGAAGCCCTTGACAGCAGCAACAGCGACATAAATGAGTACAATGACAGTGAGGACACAACAGCCCATGGACGACGCGGCTACTCACTGTGACAAGAATGCCGTAGACAATCCAAGCGATCCCTACTACAGCTGACATGTTGGGAGAAAAAAGAGTCAGGAGAAGAATAACGTTTGGGGCCGAAAGAGCGCAAGGAAACGCGGCATGAATTAACTTGCAGCAGCAGCAGCAGCAGCTGACAAGGCACTTGGATGATGGGCCTTCCTAAAATCGAAATTCGAGCTCAGCCTTGTTGATCGTGGATCATATAATTACGACAAAGTAGGAACAAAGGTGCCAATGTATCATATATATACAGTCTCTTCCATTGTCTGTGATCAGGAGATCCATGTTGATTAGAACCTTTATTTCGACACTTCATATCACAAAGAACACAACCTCTGAGGATGTGAACAATGACACAATGATAATAATGGACACCAATAATAAAGTATTGGAAGAGTACATGGATGATTACAGAGGTCAATGTATGCATGAGTATACTCCATTTATGATATGGGTAGAATCACATAGAATCACGTAAAGACTGTCTTCTTGACATGTATGTACCAAAATGCTAGACTCTTGGTGGAAGATGGTATAGACAAAAGAGATGTTTGATGTATTTTCATAACAATGAACATTTAAATATACGCATGGATTTAGAAACAATTATCTCAAAAGAAATGGAATTGACAAAAGTAATTAGCCATCATCGATCATAGAAGAAGAATGTGAGGTCGAAGGAGCTCCAAGAAGAACCAATCCACCGCCTCAACAGCTCCGCTCAAGGAAGAAAAATTTGTGGCCGTCAAAAGCTTTCGCCCTCTTTCGACCCGCAAACATATAGCCATGCCTGGAATCACTGTCAAGGACGTCAACGCTCACCGTAAGTTATCTTGACAACATTTTTTTCTTTTGCTCTCTTGAAACAACGAGGTGCTGGTTGGTGGGTGGTGTGCGATTGAAATGTCATTGACCTGCGATGGTCCCCATGGCAACCAACTCGACTTGGCAACACACACACAACGCGACCTAGTGAACGAGAGGACGTGGCTTTGAAGGATGATGTTCTCAATGTATCTGTTTTTTCTTATCTCTACAATAGAATTCATCAAGGCTTACTCTGCCTACTTGAAGCGTACTGGCAAGCTCGAGATCCCCAAGTGGGTTGATATTGTCAAGACCGGTACCCACAAGGAATTGGCTCCCTATGATTCCGATTGGTTCTTTGTCCGTGCTGGTAAGTACAGGGCTTAGCTTTAGATAGGGGATGCATAGCTCATGACATGTATTTATAGCCTCTGTTGCCCGCCACATTTACATTCGCAAGAACGTTGGTGTTGGTGCCTTGAAGAAGGTTCATGGTGGCCGTATCAACCGTGGCTCTCGTCCTTCCCACCACGTTGATGCCTCTGGTGCTATCAACCGCCGTGTTCTTCAGGCTCTTGAGAAGATTGGTGTCCTTGAACAGGATAAGAAGGGGTAAGTCAATCAACCATGGATTAACATCATTCCCAATCTAACCCTTCAACAAATAGTGGTCGCCGTATCACTCAAGATGGTCAACGTGATTTGGATCGTATTGCCATGACTCTTGTTGACGAGGAAGACGATGAGTAAATCTTCAATCATCTTTTTTTTTTATTATAAAAGTTCATAAAGTTTGCATTGTTCGAGATTTGTATCATAACACACACATACTTGATCTGTGCGTTTCCACGTGATTTATTCTTTTGTCATCATCATCATCGATCATAATAATCCTCATTCTAAAACACGTGCACCCCATCGCACGTTGCTATTGTTACCATCTCTACAAGGATGATGTGGTAGCGATAGCAACAACGTCGTCATCATGCATTGGTTGACCATGGATTTGCAATGTACACATAGGATGCAGCAATTTAGATGCATGGCATGTATGTATCAATATTACACTTTTGGCTGATTAGCTGGATGTACATGTTTGGGTGTGTGTGTGTGGTGGACACCTTTTTGCCTTTTTAGTGGAAGACACGAAAAAACTCATTTAGACTTGTGGTACGAGCATTATTGACACACTTCTTTTTCCTCTTTCAACCTCTTCCTCACACTACACACACACACCACCCCCTCCTACTCACCTTACTTTTTGAAAGTCGTTCCTTCTGTGAATCTGTAAGTTTGTTTGCTCTCTCTTTTATTCAGCCTAATATCTATCTATTCACACCACTACAATAGCCTTTCCCTCCTCCGCATCTACCTCAAACAAATCTATACCGTCATTCCAACATGAGAGAAATCATTCACGTTCAAGCTGGTGAGTAGCATTGTCATGTTGAAGGTGGCTTGTTCTTGTATATCTCACGCACTTTTTTATCGCGTTGTATCTAGGCCAATGTGGTAACCAGGTACGTCGTAGAGTGACACGCTTCTTCTTGCATCCACTCACACCTCTCTATAGATCGGCCAAAAATTCTGGGAGACTATCAGTGCTGAGCATGGTCTTGATGGCAATGGCAACTATGTTGGTGATAGTGACCTTCAGTTGGAGCGTATCAATGTCTTTTACAATGAAGGCTATCAAGGCAAATATGTCCCGAGGTATGCATGCATCTTGATGGTGGTGATGTGATCTACGTTGCACGAAGAAAAAAGTTATACTCATCATTTTATATAGAGCCGTCCTTGTGGATTTGGAACCTGCCACCATGGATGCCATCCGTAGCAGCTCTTATGGCAAAATCTTCCGCCCTGACAACTTTGTCCATGCTCAATCAGGTGCTGGCAACTCTTGGGCCAAGGGTTATTACACTGAAGGTGCCGAGTTGGTTGAATCTATCATGGATGTTGTTCGCAAGGAAGCCGAGAGCACCGATTGTCTTCAAGGTTTCCAACTTGCTCACTCCATTGGTGGTGGTACCGGTTCAGGTCTTGGATCTCTTTTGCTCTCCAAGATCCGTGAAGAATACCCTGATCGTATCTTGAGCACTTATTCGGTGGTGCCATCGCCCAAGGTCTCTGATACCGTTGTTGAACCCTACAATGCCGTGCTTTCGGTCCATCAACTTGTGGAAAATTGTGATGCTACTTTTTGCATTGATAACGAAGCCTTGTATGATATTTGCTTCCGCACTCTTAAGCTTGCCAACCCCAACTATGCTGATCTCAACCAACTTGTCTCTGCTGTTATGTCGGGTGTTTCCACCTCGTTGCGTTTCCCTGGTCAACTTAACTCTGATTTGCGTAAGCTCTGTGTCAACATGGGTAAGTGTCTATTTTTTGCCATGGCAATGAAATTGGATCACGTGATTGATTTTTCTTGTATATAGTGCCCTTCCCTCGTCTTCATTTCTTCATGGTGGGCGTTGCTCCATTGACGGCTTTCAACTCTCAACAATACCGCAACCTTAGTGTGACGGAGCTCACCTCTCAAATGTTTGATGCTCGTAACATGATGGCTGCTTCTGATCCTCGTCACGGCCGTTATTTGACCGTGGCTACTATTTTCCGTGGTCGTTTGTCCACCAAGGAAGTTGAGAACCAAATGTTGGCTGTGCAGCAAAAGAACTCGTCCTACTTTGTGGAATGGATTCCCAATAGCGTAAAGTCCTCTTTGTGCGACATTCCTCCTGTGGGTCTCAAGATGTCGGGTACCTTTATTGGTAACAGCACGGCTATCCAAGACTTGTTCAAGCGTATCAATGATCAATTCACTGCCATGTTCCGTCGCAAGGCTTTCTTGCATTGGTACACAAGTGAAGGCATGGATGAAATGGAATTCACTGAAGCTGAATCCAACATGAACGATCTCGTCTCCGAATACCAGCAATACCAAGAAGCAACCGCTGATGAGGAATATGAGGAAGAAGAATATATGGATGAGGAGATGATGGAAGAGGAACTTCCTATGGAGGATGAAGAATAAAGAATTACACTCATTGTAGTGTCATTAAGCCCCCCCCAACAATGATCCCATATGCATACGCTTAATGTGCTTTGTAAAATTACACGTATACTAGGCCGCCAACTGCTCGCTTCGCTCGTAAACGTCGATTTTGTGTGGAAAGGCTTACCACTATGTGTGCTGCAAATGACCCGCTCATCCCACCACCCATCCACCCACCCCCAAATGAGATTTACTTTACTTTTACATAGTGACTTATATGTTGCTTTTATTCGCTTGCAAGGATTCGCTTGGAAGTATTCTGGAAGATGTCTGTTGCGATGGCGATGTCTTATCTGGGTTTCTTTTTTTGTATACTTGAAAGAGTAACGTCATTACAGAGCACAATCATTTTGATAATATAGACTTGTATACTTGTAAGAATGCGGTTGAGAGGAGAGATTCTTTATGCGCGAACATGCATGCAATGTAACATTTCATTTGCTTGCTACATGGCCTCCCTTTGACGCACCCTTGTACTTCCAACACACTGAATCATGTAAAATGGGATCACCGAAATGTCATTCACAATCATCCATCGCTATTGATTACTGCTATGTTCTTCAAATGAGAGCGATTTATTATCGATAGGGAAAGGGTAAGTGATCAATGATTGTAAATCTGATGCGTCATTGTGACGGGAGAAAAAAGTATCCTTCCTTTGGGAATCGATAGGGATGAATGTGGGGGAGCAAACAGTTGAATCTATCTGATGCGTCATTGTGACGGGATTAAAAAGAGTCCTTTCTTTGAGAGCATGAAAAAGAAGACGCCCGCATTTGAGACTTCCACCTGCTGATGTTGATGCTGCTGCTTTTCCGGGATCCCTTTTTTTTGACACGCTCATGCAGTTCCAGTACATTGATCCATGTAATGCGGTTACTGAAATATCACTGAGAGTCAACCATCATCGCTTGTTGCTGCTATCCTCTTCAATTGATAGCGATTTCTAATCGATAGGGGAAGGAGGGAAGCTAACAAACGTAATTTGATGCATCATTGTGATGCAAGTTTTTTTTGCTACATACAAAGGGCTATGTGGGCGCGTTTGTTATTTCTCTTATCCCACCACGTTACTCTTGTGCTGTCCTCACACTCTCTTTTTTCTCGTGCTACATGAGCCTGGGATCCATGCATGGACAATGACACGCCACCTTATCTCATAACATGTGTTGGTGTACTCATGCATAAACAATAACTTTTATTGCTGGAGGGCCATACGGGCCTAGATGTCTAGGCATTTTCTATTGTTTTCCCTCGCTACTCGTGGTAGATTTGGTTTACGTGTTGATCCCCCCACACACACACGCTCCTTTTTCTCATGCGTGAGCCTGGAGTCCATGATTCAACAATGACACGCCACCCTTATCTCATGCTCCTTGGACAGTGCATTCATGCATCAACCATAGTTTTTTTTCTACAGCGTGCTGTGCAGGCCGAGAATGAGACAATGACATGATGTCTTTATTCTTGTTGTTGTCGGGTATCCACATTCCATTTCCCTTACCCAATGAGCTACGTATTCATGCATCAAAAATGACGTGCCCTTATCTCATACATACTCCAGGTACAAACAATAGCTTTTTTTCTACGTGGGGCCGTGTGAGTCTAGATGTAGATTTAGACATTTCCTTTGCTACTCGAGATAATTTTTTGTTTGTGTTGATCTCCCCTTACATACTCCCTTTCTCATGCATGAGCCTGGAGTCCATGACTTAATAATGACGCGCCACCCTTATCTCCTACTCTATGAGCCAATACATTCATGCATCAAGTATAGTTTTTTCCTTACACCTGGCTATGTGGGCCGAGAATCAGACAATGACGCATACAACTTTTTACGCTACTCTGGGTACTTTTACTACATCGAATGACCCGTCACATTCCATTGTCCCATACTCATTGAGCTATGGATTCATGCATCAACAATGACACGCCACCCTTATCTCGTAGCTCTGTGAACCAATGGATTCATGCATCAACAATAGTGTTTCTTGTTGGGTTTCTGTGTTTGTGGGGAGGGGGTAGATTGACCCCTAGATTTTGACACAATGTATTTTTTTTCTTGGCATCCTTTGATTCATGCAGTGACCTTTCCACATTCCTGTAACGCCTTGATGCCAACCGTCAATGGATCAACAATGACGCATCCTCGCTTGTCTTCTTTTCACAAAGTAATGGTGGATCATCAACAACGGTTTTCTTCCTCCAAGATGTGGTCATCGGAGACCCACCCCACCTTGTCACTGCTGATACTTTTGGATTCATGTATTACCCATTGCTTATCTCTTCCTCGTACACCAATGAAGTATCAACAATGACACTTTTTTTTTGTTTGTACACGCGACCATGTAGGTCGAGGCATACTTTTGGACTCATGTTTTCTCCCGTTTGTCACTCGTGATGCTCCTGAATTCATGCATTGATCCCCAACAAATGTCATTCTTACCCTTATCTTGTTCTTCTGCGAGGGGATCCCATAGGTGCGATAAAGATGACTCATTGTTTTATTTTTCTGCACTCTCGGATGCTGTGTGGATTGACTCATGAATGACGGGATGACTTTTTTTTTTCTGGCGCCTTCCGCGGGACCGTGCTCGTTGAGAAACGATATATAATATTGAACACGCTCTCTATCTCACGCTCCTTTATCTTTCATCTCTCTGGCCACACACACACACACACAAATCATCTCGGGGGTTCGTATTGCTGGCTCAATCAAGTTATGCTTCTTCCATGTACTCATTGCAACCATGTCATTATAGCCCGGCCACCCTCCCAAACGTCTTGCTGCCACCTGTTGCTACCAAGTCCGAAATGCCACTAGCTCTTGTCACTCGCCTCCGCACTTCCCTCTTCCCCTCCCCATCATCCTCAGCAAGGTAAGTCTTCAAGTTGGATCTGATGTATGATTTATGTTGACATCTTTCAATAGTAGGGATAAAACAACGGCACAGCCATTTCCCGCCTCCCTACCTTGACCCGTAGAGGACATCGGCAGCTGGGTCCATCCCAGCGTTCCCTCCTTGCTTTGCTTGTGGGGGTAAGTATTTGTATTTGGGTATGGTGGTTTTTTCGTTGCTGATACTAACAACATTCTCTTACTATTCTTCCGTCATCTCTTTGGTCTTCGTTTCCTTTTTGGTTATCTCCTATTCCTTTTGTGGATTACTTTATCTTATCAACATTCAATTATTTTAATAATAAAGACTAGCGGCCCGGGTTGCTCGCTTCGCTCGTAAACGTCGATTTTGTGTGGAAGGGCTTACTACTACCTATGGAATAATGCTTTGATCCACAGTGTGTAATAAGCATGCAGACACAATATGTAGCATCCATCTTTATGATCGTTATAGGCACTCACGCTAATAATAATAGGCTCAACTTCTAATCACCCGACTCAGGTGCTGCCTTATTCTCTCTTCCCCTTGTGTCCTACATTGCACACTCCCAATCTCAACTGTTTGCCATTCCATCGCATGCGAACGATTGCCCTGCTTCACCCCATCATGTCAATCCTACAACTGCCTTGATCCGATTGTCTTTGACTGAATGGTAAGTCCAAGGCGTGTACACCCCACTACAACATCCTCGTTTCTCTTGACACCACACCCTTTCGGGTACAATCCTCTACCACCAGTAAACGTATCGGCATTCATCACAGCAGTTACTGTTGTCTGAAACACCTTTCACAACCTTGGCAACTTCACTACAACACATGGTCTTACACGCATCTTTGCCACAGCCAACCGTAACAGCTGGTGCTATTATTGCATTATCTCCAAGTTACTTGTAGCGACCTACATTGCAGCTTTTATTTACATGTAACAACTTGATCCAATAAATACGTGTCCCTATGGATGATACCATATCAACTATCAAGCACGTCGCAATACTGGTTGAGATGCAATGGGCAAAAGAGAGAGGATGACCAACATCAGGATGGCTAAGCAAGCATACAAGGAGTTGTATTGGGATATGATGGATGGGATCAACCAATTGAAGCGATGAGAACCTTGGAATGCTGCTTGCGTTACTTGGCACGCTGTCAGCTGCAAGAAAGGATCATACCATATGAATGCGGTCGACGATGATAATGGATTGGATTGGGGTGGCATTGACGAGAGGGCTTATATCTCTGACAAAAGGCGTTTTACAACTGGATGGGATTATCTATGCGGCAGCAACGAACGCAATTATCCATGTTGATTCGTAGTATCGTCATCTTTGAATAAAATCCATCGTATCCCAGGCAAATCGCGTCCATTCTGAAAATGTAAAATATGGAAATGAAGAACAGGTGTCGGAGAACATTTTACTCTTGAGGCATGATATAGCTTGTAAAGGAAACCAAGGTATGAGCTACAATACTGTCACGTTGCAGAGGAAAACGGTCGTATCTCAGTCAGATTGCATCCATTTTGAAAAAGCAAAAGACCAAAACGTAGAGCAAGTGCTAAAGATTGTTTTATTGTTAATACACAGCATGAAGTGTCAAAGGGTGAAAGGTATGGGATTAAGTATTGCCATCTTTGAATAAAATCCACCGTATCTCATGCAGATCGCACCCATTCCGAAAATGTGAAATATGGAAATGAAGAGCAGGTGTCGGAGAACGTTCTATGATTAAGGCATGACATAGCTTGTCAACCAAACAAAGGCTTGAGTTACGATAATATTACGTCTCACGGAAAATGGTCGTATCTCAATCAATCCCATCCATTTTGAAAAAGTAAAAGACCAAAATGTAGAGCACGTCTCAGAGAGCATTTTCATATATACAAGTGATTATGACTTTTTCCTTCTTGCATGTTTTATAGCCTTGCAAAGACTAACTTTGTTAGATTGGCTCGGATCAATGCGCTTGAAACGGTTTTGGAATCGTCTCATGAAAAGAACATGAGTTACAATGATCAGGGGAAAGGATTGCATTGAAAAGAAAAAAGCCAAGGGCAGAGGTATCATCAATGTGATGGCGTGCTCATGTCGCGTGTTGCGCGCAGAAATGATAAAAGGCGACCCCCCGTTCCGCAGCAGCTTTTTTTTTCTTCTTCCTCACTCACACCCACACACACGCACACGTTCATTTGGTAAGTGGACAACTAATAGTATTCATCCAATGTCATCTCATTCGTATGTACTTCTTGTAGCTCCAATATCATCATCAAGATTTGCTGCCGTTCCTTCTCTGCTTCTCCTCCTCCTCACCATCATCATCATCATCAGCAAGTGTAAGTTATATGATCTATCACTTTCAAAGCAACATTTCCTTACATCGTCTTCTCTTTAGGATTATCAACAAGGGTGTTACCTGCAAGACCTTCGCTGTCCTCTGTTTGGGCCCCGCCTTCCCACAAGCTTCGCCTTGTTTCCCCATGCCTGACCCCACCTGTGCAGGGTAAGTGTACTTGTTTTTGCATTCCATCTCCTTGGCCTAACATCTGTTTCATTGCTGCAGGTGAGGGGATGGCCTTCCAGCCGGATTCTTTCTTTCTTTCTTTTTTTTTTTCTTTGTACATACTTCTTTCTTTCCCTCTTTCTCTCTTTCCCTTTCCCCCCTCTCTCTTTCCCTTTTTTTTTCTTTGATTCCTGGCTGGAAAATCACTTGGTAAGTCTATGATGATGCGTTGATGCTACTCTCCAAATGCTAACGAATACTTTCATATGCTTTGTCTTTGTTGGGTGCCATCCTTCGGCCTTTTATTGTATTCCATGCTCTTGTTCTTTTCATCTCCACTCTGGTTCTCTCTATTACTATTACCCATCTCTATTCCATATTTGTAAATTACGTTATTTTCTTAATATTATAAAGTTGATATTAATCATCATCAAGAACTACCACGGTATCACTAGCTGTTGTTTTGGGTATAATGTAATCAGTCAATTTGGTTTGCACGCCTTTGCCTTTGTCCTTGGGAGACTTTTTGCGAGTAGGTTTCTTGGGTGTGGACTTTGGCTTTGAAGAAACGGTTTGCTTGAATTTGGATACCATAGTGGGAAATGCCATGGCTACGAGATCCGCTAACATCCACTTTCGACAAAGCTTTTCTGGCTCGATCGTATCACCTTGATCCTCCTGCTCCTCCTCAACACCATTGGCACCATTGGTATCATCCATCCCTTGTGATGCACATTCAGGATCCAAAAGTTGGGCATATTTTTCATCCGCATGTTCCAGCTTGGACGTGATGGTGGCGGTAAAGTCATCCAATAAATGGAGGTCAAAGTCGACGTGGTATAACAATACATTCCCCAGGACCTTTTGATTACGTATATGGAGGATATCAGGCTTTGGTTGCGAAGACATTATGCTGCGATCATTATAACCTCCTTTCGATACACCAAAGAAGGAGCCGATTTGCGATTGAATGTACGTTTGTTGTGAGGAGGATGAGGATGACTCTGATTTTTTGCGTCGTTTTTGTTGCGAAGACATTGGTTCTGCCACTGCATCACTAGGTGTCGAGGCAAGGTTGCGTAGGTGCTGGTTTAGGTATGCATGAAACAATAAATTCTGGAATCGTCGTACAAGGTATTTGGGTGGCCATTCGAATACAACTTTGCAGAAATGAGCAATCTCGGCTAAATCCACTGAATTCTCGCTGTTGATCCATTGCTCAAGGTCGCGTGTTGTTGTGTTGGCAATGCGTGTTTCTGGATGAACAAAATCGTCAAGAATACGTCTGTCAGGGAAATGGCCATCATCCAAGTCGATTTGCGAATACTGCATTGATAAATGTCCTTGACTACCATGAGCAAGTTCATATTGTAGATCTTCAATCAGCTGCTGTGATAATGATTCAATAGCGTCTTCCTCAACATTCGATTGGTCTTGTTTAGCGCGTTGCACGGCTTCCATCAAAGGCAAATGTTTCTTGCATCGCGCCAATCCTTCTGCCACACGAATACCCACACGTTCTCCTCCATGATGATAATCAGATCCACGTAAAAGAGCAATCAAGATCATATCCGAGCGATCGAGTCCTGTGGTATCGGTGATCCACGCCATGTCATAACAAGGTACAGGGGAATGTCGTTTGGTTGGCCATTGTCGAATCAAGCGTTTAGCACCAAAGAGAAAAGCATCCACATCACCGGTCATGACCATATCCACAAATCCAAGACGTTCCAAGGCAGCACATTCGGCTTCAGCTTCTCCATTGGCATGCCATACAAAGAAATTGAATAGTTTGGCAAGGGCTATCACGGTTCGCCGAAACTCGCTGTTGGCAGGTATGGTACTGATCTCACGGTCTCGTTTAAAGGTGGGTCGGTTGGGTCCATCAAACACAAATACAGCTCGAATCCCAAGTTCAAAGAGTCGACAAAAGCGATAAAAGATAAGTCTCAATTGAGGTCGCCTATGAATGAACAATGAGTTACTCGCCCTGTTTCTCGTTGCATGCTCTCCTTTGTCTTACTTTCCACCTTTTGACGAATTGGCCTGGTAAGTCCAAAGCGCAATATCAATGGCGATAAAGAGTTGATGGCGATTGTCTCGATTGGCACGATCGGCGCTGATTTCCTCCAACGTGTAGGATCGTTTCGCAGGGTCAATGACTTCCCATAGCTTTGTTACGCCCATAGCCGAAAGAAGAGCAATTTCTGAGTTTGGCACCGACCCATTTGCATAAGTACGCTATCAACATCTGAGACAATGTGGGTCACGTGGATACGCCGTATCACTAATTCATGCTATCATATCATGGCAACGCGAGTTTAAAATATCGTCTCGAATAGTCGCAGGTTTCTCGTGTATGGAAACATGGGCAAATGTGACATAAACAAAAGAAGGTATATGCTGTTTTATTTTTGCTATGAGCTTGATGATTGATGTTGGCAGTTGTGTTTCCACTTGCCGGTATTACATGATTTCAACAGCATTGTGTGTTAGTTGGAGGATAGTAGTAGAGGCTTAGTCATACAACAATGAATTCAATGATGGCATCGATACACACATACCACGACAACATTGATAGATAAGACGAGCACACTATAACAACATCCCTTGGCTCATGGGTTATCATTTTCAAATACATACAAGATCAATCAAATGCTACTTGATAGTGCGTTACAGTATCAGACATGCAAAGACAAGGATGTTTAATTGATCAAAGAACATGGTTTATTGATTATGATATGTACTAGAATAAACAAGTAGCTGTTGGTTTCCTAAAGCCAAGGCTAAAGTACTCACAGGGATGACCAACGAGAAGGTCGCTACTCAACCATCCCCAACCTCTACCTGTAGGCACCAATTCCAGGTCGACGAGGCCGCTTGTACATGCCACTTTAAGGTGCCGGGACTTGACGCGCCAAAACCTCGTTTGGAAGAAACCATGCTGCTTGTGTCTTTGAGATAGAAAAGTGTAGCATGTTTTTGGTGAGCGAGAAACAAATAGGTAATAAGAATACTTATCTTCCCTCCTAGTTTCCTTCCAATGAATCCTTTGGCATTACCCAAACAAGAGCCACTTGTTGGTATCTTTGGATAGCGGTCTTTTATTAGTGCACCCTGGACACTGCTACCGGTCTGCATTTCGTCCTCGGCCAAACGCCCATACAACACGCCGACACGTAGTGGGCAGCCAGTTTACGAGGAATGGCCAACATCCTTGCTACCTCCGTATCAAGATCTGCTGGGATTCATGGAAGCCTTGTGTGGAAACCGGGCTGGTGAGGGGCGGCAAAGAGTTTCCAATGCACACCATTAGGTCCCCCAAGCTGCAAACAAGGCATGGTGAGTATTACAAACAACACAACGAAAAGATAGAAACAACTTACTCTGGCCAAAACATCGTGATAGTAGGAAAAGCACGCATGCCACGCGAGTCGATCGATTGAGTTGAGAGGAAAAAGATGGAGGTTGCCAGGGTGATCCGCAGTAATTTGTCTCTGGTCGCGACGCAGCTGGACTTAAAATTGAGGCGTCTCCATGGACCACCCCCCATACCTCATAATGGCTAAGGCGCCAGGCTTTGATTTTCGCGGCTTTGAGTCGGGAGCTTCCACACAATACCACTTACCCCAAAGTCATTACGTATTATTCTTGTATGTTATTATGGATATAGTTCCAGTAAAAGTATAGGGTATTCAGGAATAAAAGCATCGTTAATATACATCACCATCGTGTACTGCTGGTATTGTTGATCCAGGATTGTTGATTATTGTTATCACTATGATGGCTCCCATATAGCAACACCCATCCAACGAATGCATCATTAATACATAGACATGTTGGTCAACTTCATTCAGATTAAGATCACATGCTTCATTATAAAAATTTGGATGAGCATGTGTCCCTTTATTGTACATTTGGATGATGGCAGCAAAGGATGGCTGATTCCTGTAAAGATAAACCTACGAAATTGCAATGTTGTTGCGTACACGCGTGTAAGCTTATTGTAAGATCATTAGTACATATCGCATAGACAGCATTGAGCCCATTCAAAAGTTTATGGAGTGAAGCGAGCTAGCATACACAGAAATTAAAATGATAGTATTATTGGATTCTTCCTCAATCAACTAATGATACACTGCTCATCAGAAGAGGATGTGAAAGCAGCTACAGCACTATTCTTTCTACTCCGTGTTTTCCTGCTGCTGCCTCCTTGACGTCCTATATCCTCGGCACCCAATCGCTGTTGGTGTTCCTGCATAGCGATCGTATGTGAGAGTAATGCTGGATTCTCACATAGCGCCTTGACTTCGTGTGGTGTTAGGCCAAGAGCCTCGGTATACTTGCGGATGTTGGCAGCTTGTGGATGACGCTTTAAGAAATCGAGCGACGAGGATTCGGATGCACAACGTATGCGAGCAAACTCGGGTTCCATGGATGGGATTCCTTTGGGCATCACATGTTGATCACGACGGTGATTGTAGATCTTTGCAGAAAACACCCACTATACATAGGTCAGCCTTTTGTTGTCCTATATCCTTGTTGGCATAGATAATTACTTACATCATAAGAGGGCTGTTGATTATTCACTTTGGGTGGACATGAAAAGGCTTGATGTCTGCATTCATCGTGACAAACCAAGGAACACACTAGGCATTACATTTGTCAGCAGCAGGCATATGAGCCATGCAGTAAACTACTTACCTTCACAAAAAGACACTTGTTCCTCAAGTTTGCCATCGCATACTTTGCATTCAATCGCTGAAACAAAGGATCATCATTAGTACTTTATACTCTTATGACCTTTCATTCGTAAACACTTACTTCTTCCAAAGTTCGTTTGAGTGAATCGATGTGCTCCAGGGGGGAGTTGCTCATTTTCACCAGCTTGCTCATCCAGCGTGCTTCTCCGGCTTAGGCCACCATCCGATCCATTGTCCTTTGAACACTCATCAGGCATGATGTTGTAATACACCCTTGGATATTGCAGGTTGCGCTCATTCTCAATGGTTGGTGGTTCTTCGGATATGATACTCTCTTCCTCCTCTGATACTAAAAGATATCAATGAATCCATTCCAATACGTTACGTCATAGTATTATCTTACCAATAGATGGCTGTCGCATCCTTCTTTTAATCGAAGATGATGAAGCTGCTGATGATTTCTGCTGGTGTTGGATGATCCATGGATGCTGTTTCAAATGAGCTGCACTGGGGCGCTGATCGGGGTCCTTTTGGAAACAATTACGTAAAAAGTCTTGTAGATCCTGTTATCAAATAAAGTTGTCAGCATGCAGCTGATAGTAGTAGGATCATTGTACATCTTACATCAGACAAATTTTCGGGTATAGGTGGGCAATCATCTTCAACAATGCGAAACATGGCTGACATGGCAATCAGGTTTGCATACGGTGGTTTCCCAGTGGCTAGCTCAACAATGGTACATCCAAGCGACCTGCATAATGATCTATGTCAGCCCTCCTTTTCAAATAGGGTATAACAAAGTACGTTACCAGATGTCAGACTTGGGCGTTGCACCTTTGAGTTCGATAACTTCGGGTGCCACTATTCAATTGAAAAATGAATATCCTGCCACCTTTGTTCCTTTGTATGCACGTACTCCAATTAGGTGTTCCAGATATAGCCCCATCTTCTGTATTTTCCTTGATTTTCATGTTCAATGACACACCAAAATCAGTCAACTTGACATCGCCCGTCTTGGTGGTAAGGATATTGGCGGCCTTGAGATCACAGTGGACGACCTAATAGAATCGCTGATATAAGCACGTGTTGTTTTTTCTAGGACTCCCTTCACCATCCATACCGAATTCTCGTGAAGATACTCAAGGCCATTCAAAATCTTGACGCAAAATGAAGCGACTAGCTTTTCCGGAAAGGCACCAAATGCTTTGAGCGTCGACATTAAAGATCCATTTTCAGCATATCTACGTTCATCATCATCATCCCATGTGAGCTTTAAAAAGTATATGGAGAGATTGACAGCACATACTCGAGCACAATGTTGATGTGGTTCTTGCTACGAACAAATCCCAAATAGCTGATAACGTTGGTATGTGACAAGGTGCGTAAGAGAGCGACTTCTTTCTACGATATCCATGGTAGGTATCTTAGTAGCTAGATCAAAGCCGTGGATGCCGTATAATCCTTATATTACCATAATCTCCTCATCCAGCATGCCGTCTTCGCCAACTTGAAGTCGTTTCACAGCAACAATCTCACCGGTCGTCAAATCAAGGGCTCTATTGTATTCGTTAGAGTGTGTGTACATATATGACGTTTGCTGTACGTACTTGTATACGGATCCAAATTGACCCTTTCCAATGCAATTCCCTAGTTGCTATGAAACGACAAGTCAATGCATGATGTTACCATATGCGAAATAGGACTTACAAATTGGGATGTCGGTGTCCCATCTCTGCTCTTTAACGATAGCGTCTCACGTGCATCTTGAATCAGCAAGCTACTTCTTCTTGACCCTTCACAGCCAGGAGCAGAGGAGTCGATCGACGTATTGCGCGACATGGTAACCATACACTCTTCTACCAACGAATCGCTTTGTTCACGATGGCGCATACTGATAGTGGGAGCTGATGGACGACGACGATCGAAATTGTAGAACCTTGCAGCTTGTTCGTCGATATCGAGTGGTTCATTTTCAGGAATTAGTTGCGATAGTGAAGTTGATGCAATATAGTGGCTTTGACGGTTGCGATTGGAAAGTGAGTTTGATGACAAACGTAGTGGCGATCGTGGTGGACGGGAGCCTGAGGATAAGGATGGTAGTGGAGAAGGAGAGGGAAATCTGTAATTGGTATCAATGGAATACCCAGCATCAGGGGAAAAGGAGGAGGATGATTGTTCATGAGAAGGGAAAAGGTGTGAGTGATTAAACAGGATATTGGATGATGAGGATGAGGATGATAAGGATGACGACAATGACGATGATGGTTGTGGTGGTGGCTGTTGATATGGGTGAAGATCGTCATCATCCATTACTGCAAGTTCGTTGATAGCATTACTCAATCTGGACATATTTTTCTTCTTGTTCTCCTGACAGTGGCCGTTCTTCTCCTTGATGTGATCATTCTCCTTGCCAACGGATGATGCCCGACGACTAAAATGGGATGGGTCTTGCTTATACTGTGCCAGCACGAGAATAGTGTACAAAACCTTTACAAGGCAATGGATCAGCAATTGACAATGACGTTATAGTGAGAATCATTACAACTTACTGGTGTCAGGTTTTTACCCTCGAATAAATCTGTTGCTTCAAACAGCTGACTTTCTTCCAATCCAAGCTATATTATATCACCACATTCAATGTCTGTGCCCCACCATCATCATCCCCCAAAAAAGCCTCCTCCTCTTTTGATGATTCCCCCCCCTTACCTGACGAGCACCATGTAAGAATCGAACAATGTTATCCATCTACACCGCATTGAAAAGTCTTAGTAAAGGCACTCATCACTACTACTATAAGGATCAACGATTACTTTGACAAAGGATAAATCCTTTTGGCCAATGTTGCGAACGGTCCCCGGTCGTAAGATGTTGAGTAACCTATGTAATAATCAAAAGAAGCGTATCAGCCTTGCATGCATTATTTGACCCGACAATGAGGTAGGTACATACTTGCATAATACAATGCCATCTCGCAGTACATGGCTCAGTTGATCGACGCTTTCGACTTGTTGCTCTTCGTCTTCCTCGGCAAAAACGGTGTCGTTTAAAAAATCAACGACATAGGCTTGTTTCTCTTCTGATAGCTCATCCAGTAATTTTGGTTTTGCTATGCAAGAAGGTGTTGTATGTGGCAAATGGCTCGTTGGCGTTGTTGCAACGTATGCATGTGGTATGGGCGCTGAAGTCGTCATAATGAGAAGATGGCGGTTAGGGTAAAAAGCGATAAAGAAGAAAAGAAAGAAAATGGAAAACCTCTTTCCAATTCGGCGGCAAACAATGTGATGGGATTGGAAGGGGCTTCAAGAGTGTTGGTTGATATTATGGGTTGGGGTGATGATGATGATGATGATGATCCTCTTTTTTTTTTATTTAGGACAAGATGCAGCAGCAAACAGCAGCAGCAGCAGCAGCAGGAGAATCAAATTGTCACGAAGGTTGGATACAGTTAAGGGTGATGGATTACATTGTTACATCTGAAAGCAATTGCTGATTTCATCCTACTACTCCTGCTCCTGATATATGGTATTGAGGAGATGATCATGGGAAAGCAACAATGATGAGCTCAGTTCAACAAGCCAAGTCTCTTCATTAAACAAGGAGGAGTAGTTTGACTATATCCACTTTTGACGTTTACCCCTCGCTTTGAGAGCTCTCCCATTTTGTAGTATTGCCCTATTGGAACGTTTCACACAGACATCGTCTATGTATGTATCGAATCATCATGCATTCAATTTCCCTAGATGCCCGTGTTATACAGCTATTCCCACCCTCCTTCATCATGACTATTAACGATCATCACCGGTTTGATGATAAAAATCAGCACTACAATGAGATCAGAATCACGCGTGCAAATGAAAACTATACTTTATAAATCTAAACAACGACATGCTTATGTATCCTTTATTGCTATGTACCAATGGGTGTTGAAGAACATCATTGATAGCATTTAGGGACATACTAAGCATGCATCGCACGTGCATAACACAAGTCCAACAGCAAATTGCTTGGTGATAGGAAGCAACAAAGTGCCGTTTGATAAGGAATGTAATCGCAGATGCATGATTTAGGTTCTTCTCACAGAGTCGCTTTGCATGGAGGATCATACCCAAAGTGGCGATTCATGTGAATTGTTGTCAATCTGACTTCCAAAGTTGACAACAACAAGCTTACCTTTACCTTGCTATGGATGGCCGTAAGTGAATGATTGCCCATTAATCCCAAGACAGCAATGTCATGTCGATAAATGATATACATGTGCACCCATCATAAATAATCAACTCAAAAATCTTTTTCAGCACCACAACCACCATTATCATCAATCATCGCAATAATAAGGACAAGGGAAGTCTTTAAGCTCTGGACAACGATTACATTCATATTGATTTTAGCATTTACATAGCTGTATAATTCTTTCTATCCTTCATTTGGCTCCCTTTCAAGTGCTGTAGGGAATGGCGAATGATATGACAGTAGAATTGTATGCATTAATGTGGTGGATGTGTCACATGTCGGAGTGTAACGAATGAGCATAGTAACTGCCTCTGGCCAAGCAAGCCTTGAAGCTACCTCTTGCCCCATGCCTCCATTCTACGCGGTGAAGCCGGATAACGCCCTTAAGCGAGCTGAAGGTAATGGATGGATGAAGAGATGGATGGATAAACGATGGATGAATGCTGATAGATCGATGTTCAAATAGAGCTCTGCCAAGCTGGTCAAGATGAAGTCGCATTGCAAGCTCTTCATGAAGTTGTCCTCTCAAAGCGATCCCGCAGCTATGCTCTCACCATGATGGAACCCATCATGCTCAAGTACATTGAGTTGTGCGTCGACCTTCGTAAGGGAAAGATGGTCAAGGAAGGCCTTCATCAGTACCGTAACATTGCACAGAATACGAGCGTCAACAGCATCGAGGTAATACGCGAACCCCATTTGCCACGCAATCTTTGTACGACAGGAATTATTGATACGAGCATTCTCTCTCTTCACGATCGATAGACTGTTATCAACAAGCTTCTTGAATTGGCCGAGCAAAAGGTTGGCGAAGCACGTACTAAGGCTGATCAAATCGCTGTGGATTACATTGACGACTTGGAAGCTTCTGAGACGCCTGAATCGATCATGCTCAGCACTGTGAGTGGAGAACAGACCAAGGATCGTACGGATCGTGCTGTTGTTACACCATGGCTCAAGTTTTTGTGGGAGGCATATCGCACTGTGCTTGACATGTTGCGTAACAATGCTCGCTTGGAAACGCTTTATCACTCGGTTACCAACAAGGCATTCTCTTTCTGCTTGACCTATTCGCGCAAGACTGAATTCCGCCGCTTGTGTGAAATCCTTCGCAACCATTTCCAAAACATGTCAAAGTATTCGCATCAACCTCATTCGATCAACCTCAACGACCCCGAGACTTTGCAACAATACCTTGACGCACGTTTCACTCAATTGAATGCTGCCGCTGAACTCGAGCTTTGGCAAGAAGCATTCAAATCCGTTGAAGATATTCATATCCTCTTGACAACCTCGAAGCGCCCACCCAAGCCATTCATGATGGCCAACTATTACGAGAAGCTCACCAAGATCTTCATGGTCAGCGAGGATTATTTGTTCCATTCTGCAGCATGGAACCGTTACTCCAACATTGAGCGCATGTTCAACAAGAATTTGACCGATGAGGAACAATCACGCATGGCATCCATTGTTTTGCTTTCCGCCCTTGCCATCCCTATCATCACCACCACCAAGACTCGTCCTGGCTATGTCGAGGCTGATGAACAACGCATTCAAAAGCTCAACCGTTTGTCCATGTTGATGGGTCTTCCTTATCATCCTACGCGTACCGGTCTTTTGAAGGAGGCTCTCAACAAGAACATTTTGTCCCGTGTTCGCCCTGAGATTCGTGATTTGTACAACATCCTCGAAGTTCAATTCCATCCCTTGTCCATTTGCAAAAAGATCAACCCTATCATGACTAAGCTTTCCGAAGATCCTGATATGGCTCGCTATGTTCGTCCTCTTCACCAAGTCATCCTTACCCGCTTGCTTCAACAACTCTCCCAAGTCTACACCACCGTCAAGCTTGACTTTGTATTGCAACTTGCCTCATTCCCTGAACCTTACAACTACGATGCCGCCACCATTGAAAAGTTTATCATGAACGGATGCAAGCGTGGTGAATTGAACATTCGCATCGACCATGCTTCTCAAAGCTTGATGTTTGAGACCGATTTGTTTGCTCCTCCCAAGGATACTGTTACTGAAGGAATGCAATTGCAATCATCCCCTGCTGATCTTATGCGTACTCAACTTTCTCGTTTGGGTAACCGCCTTGGTGCTGTTGCACAAATGATCGATCCTACCGTCAAGGAGCATGCCACCAAGAACAAGCAAGAAGCTCTTCAAAAGGCACTCAAGGGTGTTGAGCAAGAACACAAGGCTATGCTTGCACGCAAGGGTGAGATTGAGCGTCGTAAGGAGATCATTGAGAGCGAATTGTCTCGCAGAGAAAAGCAAGCTGCTCAAGAACGTGCTATTGCTGCTCAAAAGAAGGCTGAGGCTGAAAAGAAGCGTGTTGAAGAAGAGCAACGTCGTCGTGAAGAAGAACGTCTCAAGCGTGTGCAAGAAGAAATTGCCCGTGATCAAGCTAAGCGTATTGCTGAAGAAATTACCGCCAAGACCGGTCTTCAACTCAAGCCTGAGGAGATTGAAAACTCTGATGTCAAGACTCTTCTTGACTTGAAGGTGTCTCGTCTCCAGACTGAACAAAAGGAACTCAGCGACCGTCTCAAGCAAATTGGCAAGCGTATCGATCACATTGAACGTGCTTATCGCAAGGAGGAAATTCCCTTGCTTGAAAAGGACTTTGAACGTCAACAAAAGGAAGACAAGGCATTCTACCAAGCCTCTTGCAAGGCTGAGCTTGAGACTTCCAAGGCACAACATGAGGAGAACATGAAGCTCAAGTCACGTCTTTCTCGCATCCTCGATGATTACTTGGTCTACAAGAAACAACAACAAGATAAGCTCCAATCTGCTGTTGAGGCTCAACAACGTGCCGTTGAAGAGGCTATTGAAAAGGAGAAGCAAGAACGTATTGCCTTGTGGCGTGAAAAGCGTGATGAACTTATCAAACAACGTGAAGCTGAGGAAGCTGCTCGCAAGCAAAAGGAAGAGGAAGAACGAAGATTGCGTGAAGGTAAAAAGAGGGAAAAAAAGAGATTCACATGCATCAACCATGTCATATTCATTTTTATTTTTACTATACAGAACAAGAACGTAAGGAAGCTGAGCGTGCTGAACAACTTGCTAGAGAAAAGGCAGAGCGTGAGGAAATCAACAGGTAATGCGATGAGATGATGGGTTGGCAATATGATTGATATTGACACTCGATGATAGAAAACAAGATGAGATTGCTCGTAAGCAACGTGAGAAGGAAGCCGAAATTGAAGCAAGGATGGCACAAAGACGACAAGCATCACCAGCACCTGCTGCTGCTGCTGCTGCTTCTGGTGGCCGACCTTCTGGTGGTGCCTATGTACCTCCAAGCCGTCGTAATCAACCCCCTGCTGGTGGCGATGAAAGAGATAGCTGGCGTTCAGGTAGCCGTCCTCTTGGTGCATCCTTTGGCAGCAACCGTGATCGTGATCGTCGTCCTGGTGGTTTTGATCGTGGTGGTGAACGTGAACGTGAAGGTGGTTGGCAAACTGCTCGTCGTGGCGCACCTGGTGGTGGTGGTCGTGATGGCGACAGTGGTGCTGGTGGCTGGAGACGTGGAGGAGGAGCAGGCCGTGGTCCTGGATCATCCGGTAGTCGCTGGTAATCAGAGTGGAAACGAAGATAAAGAAGCATCGACAACGGTTGATACAGCAATCCCCTATCTAATCCAACAACATTTTGTTTCCGTATTTCCCCCCATTTCTTGTCATCAACATATAAAGTCCCTTTTTTCCATTTTGTATTTGAGCAAATCAATCAATCAATATACAACATCCACAACAAGATATATAATTTGCAAACTAAATCATAGTCCACTACCACCGAGTTGTTCAATCATCACATCAATAGCGTCACCATCCTCCATTTCAAGCTATATACATAAAACATACATGAGACACTTATTCCGTTATGCAACTTCCTTCTTACGTACCTTCTGAGGGGTATCAGTGGGTTGAACACGTTCACCATCGTAAAGGAAACGCACCGAATCAGGCGACTTGCCTTGACGTTCGCAATAGGCATCCATGAGCTTCTTGAGGGGAGTGCTTTGTTTAATCTTGAAAAACACCTCATTCCGATCCTGTTTGTCCTGGAGTTGTCAATTCACAAGCCATGCTCTTTGCAGGGTCTACTTACCTCGCCGACGACCTTAATGTTGATGTGTTCGGTGGATGGGGCTCCTTCCTTCTTTTCAATCTTGGTATCAGCTTTGTCCATTGTGTGTAGTTACAGTGACGCGTGAAGAAGACAAGAGTGGTGGTTTGACGCGTTATGCGGCATTTGACCCTGTTTGAACCAGTCATACCCCGCCTCGAGCAATCCCAGCAACCTCCCCATCATCTCCCTGACACCCATACTTCACAATGAATTGATCCATGCTATGTATGATAATGAATACGTGCAACAGTGGTTGGCATGCTTTACCATTACCCTGATAGCTCATTCAAGTGCATCCATCAAGGTGTAGTAATGGCTCAAAGCCCATCGTAATAGCTATCCATGACCACCCTTAATTCCATCTTGGCATTCTCGAATAAAGTTCAGTTGTTACGCTCGAAAGACATTACGCATACTCCATATAAAGTCCATTGAAAGACACGACACGTCCATAATGTAACACAGGCAATATAATCGCCGAGGATTTGAAGACACATTGTACATGTTAAAGTTTGCGGTCATTATCTCTGGTGCCGAGCCACGTTACCAAGCCCCATCCCAAAGCCTTACCACTCAACAATACGCACCTATCATCCTAGTATATAAAAAGTAGCACGTTGTTTTATGTCCTGAGCTATTAACTCTTTTAAATTCATCAAAGGCTTGTCCTCAAAATGCTATCATCATATTATTCATTACTGCAAGGAAACGGCGACATTACAAAGCATGCCACACCGCTTTCTCTATCGGCTGTTGCTGCTGCTGCCGCTGTTACAAGTCTTTTAGTCTCACGTTTAATGAGAAAAACGGGTGAATACAAAGAGATACCAGTAGCCAAGGGGTCTATCCCGTATTTTGGTATGCTAATTTGAGGCGGCAAAAACAAGTTTGTAATGTGCTAATGACCTTAATCCTCATTCAGGGCACTCGCGTTCCTATTTGTACACGTCTATGTTTGATATCCCGGCCATTTTGATGGCTCAGAGAAACAAAGACCTGGGGCCCATTGTTCGTTATAATATGGGATCACAACCATGGCTCATTATTTCGGATGCTGACATGGCCCATGAACTATTGAATACGCATGGCGTGGCAACATCGCATCGTGCTAACCATACCTATGGGAATGCATTTGATGTGGCACAATACGGCATCACCTTTCATGATCCAGTTGGTAGCCGTTGGAAAAGAATGAGGGCTGTTCGTAAGTAAAAATAATACGTGTGTATGTATCCTTTGCATTTATATTAACCACGCTTTCATGCAATACTTTTAAAGTCAGCCAATTTGTAGCACCAAAGCAACTAAGTATCCATGACGACATCCTCCACAAGGAAGCCGACTACGCTGTGAAGCGTCTTTTGTCATCATCCAATGGGCCACCTACTGCAGTTTTCAATTCATTGCACCAATCAACATTGAACGCTACACTCATGCTCGGTTTCAACTATCGTATTGAAGACCCTGAGGATCCATTCCTTGCAAAGATATTCGATTTGATTACAATAAGCATAGACAGCAATGAACATTTGTACGACCGTCGTGCATTCTTTCCAATCACTATGGCCCTGGTTGACTGGTGGAAGCAAACATACAAGAAACTTGTTCGTGTTGGAACCGAGTTACGGCCTATGGTATTACAAAAACTTGCTCGCCATGGATTCGACAGCGATAGGGAATGTCTTTTTAAGGTCGTTGATGCGATACGAGATGGCAAGGATATTGATGATGAAGCTGTGCGCAGCTTATGTTGTAAGTTGCTACACGAAAAAACGACCTTCATAGAGATCATCAGGTGCTGATCCATATGCATCATGATAGTTGAGCTGGTTGCCGCGGGAACGGGTACTACGGCTGCAGCCATGACGTGGATCTTGGTTATCCTTTGCAATCAACCTAACGACCAAGAAAGGATACAAGCCGAAATTGATGCTTTTATCAAGACCCATGGTCGTATCCCGGTATTCAACGATCGTGAACAATTACCATTGTTCATGTCAGCCATCAAGGAATGCTTACGTCTTCGTCCCATTGCGCCGCTTGCCTTGGCACGTCAAACATCCGAAGATGGTAACTATTTTTTCTCACACGCTGTATATGCAATGCAATGTCTCATCATGAAGTAAAGTCGTTTGTCGAGGCTATTTCATTCCCAAAGGTACCATTCTTCGCCCAAACATTTATGCCATGAACCACAATCCCGAGGTCTATCCTAATCCCGATCGATTTGTGATCGATCGCTTTTTGGATGAACCCCGAACTATGTGGACCTTAAGCAAAGCCAAAGCACAAGAGCGTGATCAATTTACGTTTGGGTTTGGCAGGTAAGATGATTGCCTCCTCCATGAAGAGAGAAGATTACGTATTCATCCTCGTAATTCTAACATAGACGCATATGCCCTGGTATCAATTTGGTAAGTTATGACGTGGCAAGAGCAAAGATCATATCCTAACGTGATGCACAACAGGCTGAGAACGAGATTTTCAATGTCTTGGTGCGCTTATTGGCTCAAGCAAGCATTAAGCCTGTTCTCGACAAGGACAACAAACCAACCTACCCAAGCATTAATGGCTTCATCAATGCTGGTACAGTTATGGTTCCTGCCCAGGATACAATGCAGTTTGTCAAACGTGATAATCCCTTGAACCTTTAAAATACCGAACAAACGATCGATCTTCTTTACATGTAGTATGCATGATAATGCAGCAGCAGGATGAATTAAAACCCAGCATACTTAGACTTTGATGCTCACTTTGCCCCCCTTTTCGTGCCAAAAACCATCATCGTCATAGGAATGATGATGTTGCATTTTCTTCTTTTCTGCTTTTTGCTTAGTATCAAGCACCATCATAGCACGCTTACATTATTAACACTATTACGAGAATGGACCTTAAAGACAATATCACAAAGCACATCAAACCGCTTTCTTTGACGGCAATTGCTGCTGCAGCTACTGCTGTAAGCATCCTCGGATATCGTTCTTGTCATTCTTCCAAAAAGACAGTAGCCGGCGAGTATAGAGAGATACCGCTAGCCAAAGGCTGGATCCCGTATTTTGGTAACTTTGGCACTCTTTTATTGCACACACGTACACATTCTCATCGATTCTATAGGACATTTATGGACATACGTATTCAGTGGCGCCATTGTGGGCATGGAAATGGCACGAAGAAATGTTGATATGGGACCCATCCTTCGTTTTCATATGGGACCCAGGCTATGGGTTGTCATTTCAGATGCTGATATGGTACATGAGCTGTTGAATGTGCATGGCGTATCAACATCATGCAGACCACAGTATTCCTATGGAACAAGGTTGCAGTCTCAAACCCATGGCTTGACCTTTAGTGATCTTGGGAGTCGATGGAAAAAAGTTCGAGCTGTCTGTAAGTGCAATATGGGATCCACCACCTTTTTTCAGCTGTGCTCACTATTATGATCCCTCTAGTTGTCCAATGTCTCTCCACCAAAAGTGAATCCATCCACCTTGATGATATCATTAGCAAGGAAGCGGATTACCTTGCCGATCGACTTTTATCCAACAAGGAGCAGGCTGTGAGTGTTTTCAAGGAAATCCAATGGTCGGCATTAAACGTCAATCTTTTGGTTGGTTTTGGTTACCGTATTGATCATCCAGAAGATCCTTTTTGTGAACAATTGATTGATTTGATCAACACGAGCGTTCAAAAAGCCGACCCGATCATTGATCGAAAAGAGTTTCTACCCTTCATTATGGCGACTTTTGATTGGTGGTATCAAGCATTCAAAACCTTTGCTTGGTACAGGACCAAAGTACGAGATCCCATTATGCAAAAGCTGATCCACCATGGATTAAAAAGTGACATGGACTGCATGGCCAAAAAGATGCATGCCATGAAGGACGGCAAGGATGTGGATGATGAGACTGTTTTAAACGCGTGTTGTAAGTATACATTGTTATCCTAAAACACAATCGTCGTACGTATTAATATGGAGGAACAAGTTGACCTGGTCGTTGCAGGAACCGATCCAACAGCTATCACCCTCGCATGGACCATGGTCATTCTGTGTAATCATCCCGAGGACCAAAAGCGGCTTCAAGCCGAGATTGATGCCTTTACAAGTGTCCATAAACGCATACCAACTTTTGACGAGCATGAGCATTTGCCACTGATGATGTCCACATTGAAAGAGTGTCTCCGTATACGAACCCTGGTTCCCCTTGGGTTATCTCGTCGTGCAGTTTCTGATGGTATGTATACATGTTTGATGATTTCTTTTTTTCCCTTTTCACTCACCATCGTTGGTAAAGTGGTATGTCGGGGATACCTGATTCCCAAGGATACGGTTATTTGTGCCAATGTCTTTGCCATACACCATGATCCCGAAAGGTATCCTGACCCTGATCGTTTTGTGGCGGATCGCTTTTTGGATAAACCTCGTACCATGTCAACGTTGAGTAAAGCAAGAGCAAACGAACGTGATCAATTTGGTTTTGGTTGGGGCAGGTAAAAAAGTATCACGTTTCATCATCGCTCTAGTATGATAACGACCTTGTTTCTCGATAGACGCGTGTGCCCAGCGATCCATGTAGTAAGTAATTGTCCCCAAAAGGAGAACAAAAAAAAAGCCTTTGCTGACGATGTATAATAAGGCAGAGAATCAAATGTTCAATACCCTAGTTCGTTTACTGGCAAAAGCAACCATCGAGCCTATGCTGGACAATAACAGCAACCCCATCTACCCAGACATGAACGCACTCAACTATGTTGGTGTCGTTATCATTCCTGGTGAGGATAAGATGCGATTCGTGAAACGTAACAATCCCTTGAATGTGTAAAAACGTGCAAGTTCCTGCTGGCATCTTGTTTACTGCATGCAACTCAATACGGTAGTAATAGTTACTATGCTCCTTATATAGCCTCTTAATATATAAACGTTGCCATGCGACATGTGATATCTTTCTTTTTTTGCTTATACGTCCACCTGATTCTTGTAGACGTCTGTAAGTAAAAAAACAGCCCTTCAGAGAGATCATCTGATGGTGATGATGCATATGCATCATGATAGTTGAGCTGGTTGCCGTGGCAACGGTTACTACAGCTGCAGCAACGGTGTGGGTGTTGGTTACTCTTTGCAATCAACCTAAAGAGATACAAGCCGAAATTGATGCATTTATCAAGACGCATGGTCGTGAACATTTGCTATTGTTCATGTCAGCCATCAAGGAATGTTTGTGTCTTCATCACATTGCTCCTCTTGCCTTGATACGTCAAACATCCGATGATGGTAATTATTTGTCACACACGCTGTATATGCAATGCAATGTCTCATCATGATGAAAAGTCACTTGTCGAAGCTACTTTATTCCCAAAGGTACCATTCTTCGCCAAAAGATCTATGTCATGAACCACCATCTCAAAGGCCTATCCTAATCCAGATCGATTTGTGGTCGATCGCTTTTTGGATGAACCTTGAACTATGTCGACATTAAACAAAGCCAAAGCACAAGAGCGTGCTCAGTTTACGTTTGGGTTTAGCAAGTAAGATGATTGCCCTCGTCTCCATGGAGATACCACTTTTTACATTTTCCTCGTGATTAGACGCATATGCTTGGTATCAATTTGGTAAGTTGTTACGTGGCAAAAACAAGAGCATAGCCTAACGTGATTGCTGCACATAGGCTGAGAATAAGATTTTCAAGGTCATGGTGCGCCTATTGGCCCAAGCAAGCATTAAGCCTGTTATGGACAAGGACAACAAACCAATCTACCCAGGCATCAATGCCTTCATCATTGGTGGTACGGTTATGGTCCCTGCCCAGGATACAATGCAATTTGTCCAACTTGATAATCCCTCGAACTTTTGAAACACAGTAATGACCCAATCCTCTTTACGTTGATGTTCTTACATATGCATGCAGCAGCAGGAATAATTAAAACCAATCGACATAATAGACTTTGTTGTTGGTCTTTATAATCAATGTCTTCTTTTTCTCGCTCCACTTTCTTTGTGGTCTTTGTTTTAGACGCTGAGCCACGCACTTGGCTTGGAGCCACTTAGCCCCTTTGGTGTCAAAACTTCCATCGGTAGAAGAAATGCCGAAGTTGTGTCTTTCTTCTCTCCTTTTTGCTTATCAACGATCTCACTATTATAGCACGCTTACGGAAATGGATCTTGGAGACACTATCACAAAGCACGTCAAACCGCTTTCTTTGACTACAATTGCAGCAGCAGCTACTGTTGTAAGCATCCTCGGATATAGCTATTCCCGTTCATCCAAAAAGACAACAGCCGGCGAGTATAGAGAGATACCGCTCGCTAAAGGATGGATTCCATACTTTGGTAATTTTTCTAAATTTGGGCACTCTTTTATTGCACGTATTCTTAACGAGTCTACAGGACATTTATGGACCTATGTATTCAGTGGTGATATCGTGGCCATGGCAATGGCACGAAGAAACGTTGATATGGGACCCATCCTTCGCTTTTATATGGGACCCAAGCCATGGATTGTTATTTCGGATCCTGATATGGTGCATGAGCTATTGAATGTGCATGGTGTATCAACATCACATAGGCCAAAGCATTCGTATGGAACAAGGTTGCAGTCTCAAGACCATGGTTTGACCTTTATCGATCCTGGGAGTCGATGGAAAAAAGTGCGAGCTGCCTGTGAGTGTTTCAAGTACATGTCTTCTTCATGCTGTGGGCTCATTTTTTCTAGTCACCCAGTATCTCTCAACCAAAAGTGAATCCAACCACCTTGATGATATCATTAGCAAGGAAGCGGATTGCCTTGTCGATCGACTTTTATCCAACAAGGAGCAGGCGGCGGGTGTTCTCAAGGAAATCCAATGGTCGGCATTGAATGTCAATCTTATGCTTGGTTTCGGTTACCGGATTGATGATCCAGACGATCCTTTTTTTGAACAATTGATCGATTTGATCAATATGAGCGTTCAAAATGCCGACCCTACCTTTGATCGACGCGAGTTCCTACCCTTCATCATGAGTATTTTTGATTGGTGGCATCAAACATCCGAGAAATTTACTTGGTACATGACCAAAGTACGAGCGCCAATCATGCAAAAGTTGATCGACCATGGATTAAAAGGTGATACGGATTGCATGGCCAAAAAGATACATGCAATGAAGGATAGCAAGGATGTGGATGATGAGACTGTTATAAGCTCTTGTTGTAAGTGCGATTGGGTATCACACTTAAAACGTCGTGGATGCTTACCATCATCACCCTACTACTAGTTGACCTGGTCGTTGCAGGAACCGATCCAACAGCTATCACACTCGCATGGGCCATGGTCCTCCTATGTAACCACCCCGAGGACCAAAAGCGGCTACAAGCCGAGATTGATGCATTTACAAGTGTCCATAAACGCATCCCAACGTTTGACGAACATACCCAATTCCCACTTTTGATGTCCACATTGAAAGAGTGTATCCGTATACGAGCCATTGCTCCACTTGGATTATCTCGTCTCGCAATTTCTGATGGTATGTATACATGTTTAATGGCTACTCTTTTCACTCACCATGGTTGGTATAAGTGGTATGTCGGGGATATTTGATCCCCAAGGATACGGTGATTTGTGGCAATCTATATGCCATACACCATGATCCCGAAAGGTATCCTAATCCAGATCGCTTTGTGGCTGATCGTTTTTTGGAAAAACCTCGTACCATGTCAACGTTGAGTAAAGCAAGAGTAAGCGAACGTGACCAATTTCTTTTTGGTTGGGGCAGGTAAGAAGCATCACGTTTCAGCGTTGCTATGACAACAACTATTTATTAATAATGATACTACGTGGACTTTGTTTCTCGCTAGACGCGTATGCCCAGGGATTCATGTTGTAAGTAAAGAGCAAACGCCTGAAAAAAAGCGCTTGCTAATGATGCATGTATACAAAAAAGGCAGAAAGCGAGATGTTCAACATCCTAGTTCGTTTATTGGCACAAGCAACCATCGAGCCTATGCTGGACAAGAACAACAAACCCACCTATCCAGACATGAACGCACTCATCAATGCTCATGTTGTTATCATTCCAGCGGAGGATAAGATGCGATTCGTGAAGCGTAAAAACCCATTGAACCCCTAAGGTCAAGCGTGCAAGTCCCTAATGCCAACTTTTTTGCTGCATGCAACTCAATACGGCAGTAGTAGTTACTATGCTCCTTATATAGCCTTCCAATGATGTATAAACATTGCCATTTGACATGTGCTGGGGTCTTTTCTTATGCTTGTACATTCACCTGATTCTCGTACATAGACATCAAAATACATGGACAGCGTTGTACATGTTCTTTTTGGGAGGATTTGAAAAAATGATTTTGATCCCTCCCAACGAGAACTGCATTAGTGCATGACTTGCTGCATCATCACCAAGCCCCTTTGACGTGTACCCTATTTCAATGCATTGTTGCAGCTAGGACACGATCCTTCCCTCTTTTTCTACCAATGGATGGCATTACAAAGCACGCTCCTTTAAGCATAGCGGCTGCTGTGGTTGCCATGGTTACCTGTACTCTCGGTTCTTACCACTATCCTTGTTGCATCTCACGATCCAGCACGAAAAACGAGTATCGCGAAATACCTTTGGCCAATGGTTCCATACCCTACTTTGGTAAAACGAAGCAATCATTGAAAAGTTAACAAAATTGTTCTCGCTCATCACCTATTTTAACAAAGGCCATTTGATGTCGTTTTTATTGACGGATGACATCCCAGCGATTTTGATGGCGGAACAAAATGCGAACAACAAGGAACCCATTCTTCGTATCAACATGGGCTGTAGGCCGTGGATGATTATAGTGGATCGCCACATGGCTCATGAAGTACTCAACGGCCATGGTGCATCAACATCCCATCGTCCAAAACATACGTATGAAAGGCTGCAATCTTCAGAGTATGGGCTTGTTTTTAATAGCCCGAGTGATCGATGGAGAAAAACAAGAGCTGCAGGCAAGTTTATGTACTTTGCATGGGTAACAAAAAGTAGCTGATACGTAACAACAGTCATCCAGTATTTATCACCTAAGCATTTGGATACTACCGCCGGTGTGCCTATTCTCGAAATGGAAAGCGATTGTGTAGTGAATCGATTGATTTCGTTTGACGAGCCGGTGGGCGTACTCAGACATTTAAAGCACTTCACGATGAATGTGGTCCTCACACTTGGCTTTGATCAACGTATTGAGCACCCCGATGACCCCTTTTTGGATACCATGCTGCAGTTGATCGAAACAAGTATGCAGCATGCTGACCCTTTTTTCGATCGTCGTGCATTTCTTCCTCTCATCATGGGCTTTATTGATTGGTGCACTGGCACGGAAAAGAAGCTTACTCGCTTAATGGAGGAGGTGCGTGATCCCATTCTACAGCAATTGATTCGAGATGGTATAAATAGTGACCAGGAGTGCCTTGTCAAGAAACTTAATGACATGAAGGATGAAGATGTCAATGACAAGGCGATTATCGGAGCATGTTGTGAGTCGTTTCTAATGCATTCTACTACCGGGTATGTAACACAAGTACTAAAGAACCCTTTTTAGATGACTTCATTGTTGCTGGTACGGATACGGCATCCACCACACTTTCATGGGCCATGGTTATTCTATGCAATCACCCCAAAGAGCAACATCAGTTGCAAGCTGAGATGGATGCATTTGTTCAAAAGTACAAGCGACTGCCCAAGTTTGAGGAGCGTGATCACTTTCCATTGCTCAATTCAATGCAAAAGGAGTGCATGCGTATGCGTCCCATCTCTCCTTTAGGTTTATCTCGCCGTGTTGTAAAAGATAGTAAGTTGATAAAAGTAATCGGATGAAGACTCATTCACAATGTATGTAGCCGTATGCCGAGATTACCTGATCCCCAAAGAAACAACGCTTTGTGGCAATATCTATGCCATGAATCATGACCCTCACGTGTATCCCGATCCCTATCGATTCAAGATAGATCGCTTTTTAAACAATCCTCGTCCCATGTCAACGCTGGCAAAAGCTAGAGTAGAGGAGCGCGATCAATTCACATTTGGATTTGGAAGGTACGTATGGAACCTGTATGATGGATGACCTTTTTGATCTCATGCAAGTACATTATTAGGCGGTCATGTCCTGGAGCGTATCTGGTAAAAAGTTATGGTCATTATGTTGACGCATTCTTAATGTATGTATACTACAGGGTGAATTGGAAATGTTCCACATTTGGGTACGACTGCTTGTCAGGGCAACCATTGAACCGCCTCTCGATCAAGCTGGTAACTCTGTTTACCCTGACATGAATAAGATTGGAAACGGTGGTGGTATCATTTTCCCAACACACGATAAATTAAGATTCATTCGACGTGAGAATCCTTTGAATCTTTGATTAACAAGATCACAATCAATGACAAAGTGGGAGTTTTATATTACACGAAGGATTTCAAACTTTTAGTTTCTACTTTTTTTTGTTGGGAAGGCTCATTCTTGGGTGAGGAGGGAGTGTGTGTATATGTATATAGATGACAATAGAGGAACAAGGGACATGAAGGATATAATAATGTAAGGTACTAACTAGAGAATACATAGATCATGATTTCTCCAATAGCAAACCACGAAGCCACTTGACCTCTTGTTCCAACTCGACCACACGTTCTTGTAATTGATCCGATTTGGCTTTCATTTCACGCACCGTTTGTTCCATAGCTTGTTCACGTTGCTTCTTTTTGATTCTGAATCGAGCACTGGCGGCAGTGTTGCGTCGACGCTTATCTTCTTCAGCGGCAATTTGTTCCTCCGTTTTCTTTTCACTTTCAATTGCAGCTGAGGCAGCTCGCTTTGTACCAGCAGTCTTTTTACGTCCTGATGATGATGAAGTTGGGGTCATGGTCGGTGTTGATGGAGGAGCAATGGATAAATGTTGAGGCAGAGATGGCTGTTGAATAAAGCTGGCAGCAAATTGAAGCGGATCCAGTGGAGCTGGTTTAGGTAGCAGTAATGGTCTTCGAGGAGTTGCTGTCGTGTTGGCATTATTATTGTTGTTGTTGTTGATGGTAGTGGTGGTTGTAGTTGTGGAGGTAGTGGATGAGATGGGTTGATAAACAGGAGGAGCAATAGCGTTGTTGGATGATGAAGAAGGCTGATTATCAAATGTCTCAGTGTGCTGCTGATGTTGCTGCTGCTGTTGCTGCTGCTGGAGTGGCAACTCATAGTCAAGGTAATTTACAAGCTTCTCATACGTAGCCGCATCAAGAACATCGTCAAGTGAACGACTTTGCTGCTGCTGTTGGGATTTCGTTTCATCTTGGCAAGTTGAAGTAGTCTCTGGTTTAATGTCGAACGTGAATTGCGCATTGCTCTATATATGAAAAGTGTATTTGTCATCAGCCAAAAGTCCTCAAAGCTCTACTCTCTCTATTGATAATTACCCAAAGATCAAGTTCCTCGGCAGCTTCACGTTCAGATTGTTCGTTATCAACAGCGTTTCCAAAGAGAAGGGATTCAAGGGATGACATGGTGGTGGTGGTTGGTGCTCAAAGGACGACGACGACTGAGCCTAGCGCGGTGGTAAAAGGAAAACAAAAGATGTTGTATGGAAAAGAGATCTCCATCAAAGAAGTCAGCAATCTCATTTTCATACCCAGCAGACCCCACCCACCCACCAACCCCCATTATCAGTGGGTCCGTCGCCGTCATATTGACACAAATATTGCATCACGTGATTGGTCCAAGATAATAAATGTACTATTTACAACATTATGATGACGATGCCTCCTGCCGATGCTTCCAATAACAGCGATGGCAAATGATCTTTCCAGACTCTGGATCGTCTATCGATGGCCACCACATGGGTGAGATCTCGACGGGGCATTGGCTGCATGTGGGTTGCCAAGAAGAAGAAGGTGTACTGGGAGGTGGGCTAGCAGGTGATGAGGATGATGAGGTAGTAGTAGTAGTAGTAGAGGTATCCGATTGAAAGGTCAAAGGTAAGGGTTCTTGTTTGTAGGGCGGACTATAAGGTGCACCGGATGATAGAACAAGGGCCTTGTAACGTCGCATAGCAGGTGTCGTTCCCGGTTCCACTTGCTTGTACAAGGTGGCGTAGACACTGATACATGACTATATAGGGAATTTAGCTTGATCATAAACAAGGAACGTATGGATTCAATCTTTTTACCTCGCCATTGTCGACATCTCTTGCTGATAATTGGATCCATTGTTTATGAGATAAATTATGCTCAGGGCAACACACTTGCGGTATCATTTCGCCTTGTCCATGATTTCCAAAACGACCAGCACGTACAGCAGCTCCTTCTGAACCTAAAGAGGACATGATCTCGAAACCCACGTTATAGCCATGCTGGATCGCACATTGTACATGCACTGCCTTTTCGCATTCACCACATTTGACACATGCGCCGTCTTGTCGTTGGCACAAGTGACACACCTTTATATCCCATGTGAGTGAGATTGATAACACCAATATCACCTTCACCATCTTACCTTATCCCATCGCCACGCGTCAATAGCAGGAACGTATTCAATGGTATCCAAATGTGCAGCGTCGACAAATTTGATTTCGGGTATACACATGGCACATAAAACATGGGCCCAATTGTATGAAGACGTCTTTTTCAATGGCTGTTGATGTGCTGATGAGGAGGAGGGTTCCTTACAGAGAATGCACTCGTAATGCTATACATTTGCTATTAGTATATTCGCTTTTCCCTGTAATCCATATGAAAAGACTTACATAGGAAGCTGTAGGGTTCCTCTTGTTTTCGCATACATTGCATATCCAATTGTCTTTGGATGCTTGTGAGATACCATAGCAGTCTAGTATTATAATCATCCCATGTCAGCACACACACATAATCCATAGACCTGGTGATTACTTTTTACCTCGATGCACAGACATTCCACAATCGTAGCATATAAACAAAGGATCATGTGGTTCTAGAATAGTGCATACAGCGCACGGGATCGGTTCAAACATGAGCCGTTTCTATGTAGAAAAAGAGGATTGGTCTAGGTTGAAATCGGGGGATGATATGTTTTTCTTACCTTGGCCGCCATCAAGCCAGAATTGACACGTTTACGTTTCATGGAACCATTACCATTCACCGTTTGCAGCGTTGTAATAGGCATTGGTGTTGGAAGATCCTTGATGATGGTGTTTGCTCCTCCTCGTTTCATGTTACCAGCACCACCAGCACCTCCTTTTTGTAAAGCATGCTTCTCCACCATGGCCGGTGTTTTGCGCATGACACCATATTTAAGCCAATATTCACCACATGCATCACACAAGACTTGACGAAATTGTTTACGTTTGCGATCGATATCCGTTGGCATACGTCTCCATCGAATTGAATCCATGGCAAGGCAATTGGCACATTGAAAGGAGCGCATGGTCTGTGCATCCACGTGAACCACGGTAGCATCATGCTCTGAATCACTCTCATCATCATCGTCATCTTCTTCGGTGATCATCATCGTAGTAGCGTGCTGCTGCTCTTCCTCTGCCATCACCATTTTGTTGTCAATAAACTTTTTGAATCGTTTGGTGGGTTTGTAAATCGTCGTCCATTGTGAATACACAGGCTCATAGCGATCGGTCTTTTTCCATTGATAAAAGTAACGCACCACATCCGCATGCTTTTTGCTAGGCACTTTGCGTCCCACTCGGAAAAGATCATGACCATACAACGTAATAGCCTTTTCAAACGATTCAACTTCTTCAGGGGTCCATTCAACAGCACGCGGGAAATCATCCAATGTCAACTTGGATACTGCATCAAGAGCATCTTGCGTATTGTAATCATGGCGTTCCAATTCTTCAATAATGCGCGTCTTCAAATCCACTTGGCAAACGGGTAGCGTGAATGTTGGAAGTGACATGGCCTGTGTCATGTAGTTGTCCACTGTGTATAGATAAAAGGCTTTAGATCACTATCATCTTCAAGAGGAGTAAAAGAAGATTACATGTTGCTTCATCCAATCTTGATGGCTGGCTAAAAAGTGGGGTCACTGTAGCATCGGTGCCTCGTTCAACAGGTCCTTCTTGTATATCATCATCAGGGATGTCAGGGCTAGCCTCTACAATAAAAAGGTCATTAGCATTGAATTTTGAATAATAGATTATAGAATGTATCCTTGTATTACCCGTACGCTTCTTTCGAGGTCTTCCTCGTTTTTCCACCCTCTTTGCTCTTCCTTTATTGGCAGTAGCAGCTCGAAGGGATGATGGTGGTGGTGACGATGTTGTTGTTGGTGTAGCATGTCGTGAGGGTGGTTCGGTGGTGAATTCATCAATTGGCTCTGCTTGGTATCTTGGACCAATACGACTACGTGCACGAGGATATATCCGATCATCAATGTCTACAACATCGAAAATTGGATGGTTAGTCATAAAGAAACAGCGCCTAGTAGCAATAAATCGAATGGGTTTACCGAGAATGTCTTGCATGTCCGTGTGGAAGCCAAAGTATCGAAATGGCCACATGTGTGTCATTCGCATACCATCGTGGTGTGGTGGACGATCTAATATCAAGAATAATATTACGATTAACTTGATGGGGCAAAACATTTAGGAAGGGCACGTGGTGGTGGTACCTTTCTCATTAGAAGCATTCAACTTGGTGTCCGACAATGGTGGTGGTGGTGGTGGTGTTGGATGTGAAGGATTATTGGTATCCATGATTTTGTCTGTTGCAGAAGGCATCGATTGTTGCGATTGGATACGAGCGGAAGTACGTGTTTGTCGCTTAGCAACGGCTTTGGTCGTGGTCGCATTTGTTGTACGAGGCGCTGGCTTATTGGATTGTTGTTGTGATTTGATAGTGTTGTCGACGTCCTGAAATTCTTTGCGAGAACAAAAGGCACATTGCCATGCAAAGCCCTTTGGTGGTTTCCTTGACAATGGTGGATTGACACATGACATGTGATAATTGTTCTGACATGCTGCACACTTTACAGAGCTTGCACTAATATAACTTGTTTAGACATCATCATGGAATGATTAGGGTAGAAAGAATACCTTGCACACCAATCATGACACACACAGCATGTACGTCTTGCCACTGTCAAATCGGCTGATGCCTTTCCTTGCTCGACAACGATAAACTGATAGCGTTCATAAAGGGCTTCTTGTACATTGGTGGGCACGTTTTGAACCAACTCGCATGGGATCACGTCGTAAAGGCGTTGCATGTAACGATCATAGAGTTGATGATAATAGAAATGATTGTCTTGCTTTTTGTATTGCTCGAGCTTCCCCCTTGGGATATAGTGCTTGTGCGTCACTGTACACTTGCCTCGGATAGAAGACACTGGGTTCAAGTCGGAATGCATGGTCGCAACAAGAAGACGGGGATCATAGGACCGGCCACCCATGACATCTTTGGGACGATTGTACCAGGCAATGCGAGCTTGGAGACCTCGTCGTTTGGCATTGCCACCACAAAACTCCATGACACGTCCAATGTAGTAACATTCCCCCAAGTGTTCTGGTTGAAGATAGACATGGTCTAGAAAATGAAAAATAAAATGGGGCTTAATATCAGATCCATCATCATCGTATCCATGATACTACCGTTGACAGCAATAGTGGACCCATCCGTAAGAGTAGCCTCCGTAATAGGCAAGGAAGCTTTCGAGTCACTCATACTTGGAAACCTTGGTTACAACAACTTTTTTACAATGAAAGCGGAAGGATATCAAAAGGGGGGGGGGGGGGGGGGGGGGGGGGGGGGGGGGGGGGGGGGGGGGGGGGGGGGGGGGGGGGAGAGAGAGAGAGACCCTCTCTCTCTCTCTCTCTCTCTCTCTCTCTCTCTCTCTCTCTCTCTCTCTCTCTCTCTCTCTCTCTCTCTCTCTCTCTCTCTCTCTCTCTCTCTCTCTCTCTCTCTCTCTCTCTCTCTCTCTCTCTCTCTCTCTCTCTCTCTCTCTCTCTCTCTCTCTCTCTCTCTCTCTCTCTCTCTCTCTCTCTCTCTCTCTCTCTCTCTCTCTCTCTCTCTCTCTCTCTCTCTCTCTCTCTCTCTCTCTCTCTCTCTCTCTCTCTCTCTCTCTCTCTCTCTCTCTCTCTCTCTCTCTCTCTCTCTCTCTCTCTCTCTCTCTCTCTCTCTCTCTCTCTCTCTCTCTCTCTCTCTCTCTCTCTCTCTCTCTCTCTCTCTCTCTCTCTCTCTCTCTCTCTCTCTCTCTCTCTCTCTCTCTCTCTCTCTCTCTCTCTCTCTCTCTCTCTCTCTCTCTCTCTCTCTTTTTTTTTTTTTTTTTTTTTTTTTTACCCACCCACCCACACAACATAAACATACATTCACACACCTTTATCTTGTTTACTACTACTACTACTACTACTACTTGAACATCATCATTCTACTACAACTTGTTCTTCTTTTCAAATACAACAGGGTTCACTAGACTTCCAATCCCTTCGATATAAATCTCGCATACATCATTATGTTGTAACCATACTTGGGGATTGCGACTAACGCCTACACCATGGGGTGTGCCTGTAATAATGACTTCTCCTGGTTGCAATGTCGTTCCTTGTGATAAAAAGCTGACAAGGGTAGCCACATCAAAGACTACCAATGAACGTTTGTGTACATTAGTCCCGCTGCTGCCGCTGCTGCTACTATCACATGATACAACGATGTACTCACTCATATCACTGGTATTGTAATCCTGCAACACTTGCCCATTGACTTTGGTACCCAACTTCAAGTTGTTTGGATCCTTGATCAATTTGGAAGAGACAATCATGGGCCCAAGAGGATTAAATGTATCAAATCCCTTTCCAAAACACCATTGACCACCACATAGCTGCGTTTGCCATTTGCGTGCAGAAACATCGTTGCACACGGTATAGCCTAAATAACAACATCCATTACATCCCCACTCCTTATCGTGCGTTTGATGTTGAGTTGAGACTTACCAGCGACATAATCCAAGGCCTCCTCCTTGCTTACATCCTTACAAGCTTTGCCAATGACCACGGCCAACTCAGCTTCATAGTCTACCTGTCCATCCTGGCATATCGTGGGAATGACAATGGGGTCCATGGGACCTGCTGTGGTCAGTGCTGGTTTGATAAACACAATAGGGTTCTTGGGAATTGCTGCTTTGGTATCTTGTGCGTGTCGGTGATAATTGAGGCCAATACCACGATAAAAGGATGGCAAAAGGGGTGCAAGAATCTGCATGAAACCATGGATTTTGTGTTTATCATTTGGATGATCTTCGCCACATGCATGTATGTATAATACCAACACCCTCTTCTCCTTATTCTTGACCACCACGCTGTTGACAGACTTACTCTTTTCACCGTAACTACTTCGCTTGTAACGCGGTGCGCACCGAAAACATCGCCTTCAATCAAATGTGCCTTGATATTACCACTGGTCACATCAGCCAACGTCATCTCGTTCTCACGAAGGATAGGTTGGCCATAATGGATATTGCCTTGGTGATCCTCAAATCTTTTAAGAGAATTGTTTAGCTCATGGATCCCACTCGCTTAGTGTCCCACAATACCTTATAAGACGTGTCCATTCGTTGGTGATCTATTACGTGCATGTAGAAATGGATCAATCATCACCACTATACAACCATCAACTTTTGTTTCATATGTACCGTAGTACTGCTGCTGCTTGCCATGATCAATGTAAAATGAAAGGGAGTGAAAAAGAAATGCAAAAGATAAAAGGCTGCACATGCACCAGCTTTTACAGCAGAGCGAGTCTTTCCAAAAGAGGCATGCTACGTTGTAGGGGTCGGTAACCTAACTCTCTTTCTCTCATTCATGTGTCTTCACGGGAATACACGGTTTTCTTTATTGTACACAAAGGCATCTTGATTGGAGGAGGGAAGGGACAAATTATTATGCGATGATCGGGAAGGAGAATTAAAAGTTATTAAGCGGTATCAAATGAGCAATGTTTACAGAGCTACGACACAAAGGACATTCAGGCTATATAACAAAGAGCATGATGAGCATCATTGTTGTGAATGGAATACGATATCGAAGTTACCTTGTTTTGACACCATTCAATAACACAACTCCAGCAAAACAAATGTCCACATGGGGTGGCCGTGGTCACCTTGCGTGGTTCCAAACATAATGCACACTTTAGGAATTGCATCTCTTCTTCACTAAGCTCCTTTTCTTCATGTTGATCCTCCTCCTTGGGTTCATCATCAAATTCGTTCATGAAATCAAAGTCATCCTCGGCAACAACCTGATCCACAGATTTGGTACTTGATGCAGCAATAGCAGCAGCAGCAGCTTCCTGTTCCTGCAACTTCAATTTTTCTTGTTGTTCTTGCTCCTTTCGACGTGCTTCCATGCGCTTTTTGAATGAAAGATATCCCTGGATCGCCAATTGTGCAACAATGAGCACACCCAATACTTCATAGCCAACACGTTGTTCATGAGGACCCAATTGTCGTGTAAAGATCTAATCATTTGCATGAATACGATGATGATGATGAACCCTTTGTGCATCCATTCACACCACTACTACTTACATAACGAGTACCAGTGACACGCTTTGAAAAGTTGTAGTAGGCCCCAACAAAATAAAAAATTGCCAAATGCATAGGCTGTACAGCTTTCTGGAAAATCTCCTGCAGGGTGGGTAGTCTTGGTTGCAGCCATTGGATGAATTGATCCTTTCGACTCACGGCGGCCTTGCTCTCATTGTTGTTGTTGTTGCTACGTGCATGTCGTGCTCTTCGTCGCTTCAACTCGGCTACACCACGTACATAAATGTATGGCAATAACGTATGTGCAAAGACCAGCGATGCACGTCTCTATAAAAAGAGCATCACCATGAGTCCATGTCCAACCCGATATCACACACACACACACACACACATGTACTTACCAAAATACCAGGAAACCCTTGTGCATAACGATCCACTTGAGCAAGATCACAATATTCCTCACCCAACGTTTGTGTGCCTAATGCTCTCGATCAGCCATCCATTGCTTGCTGTTGTGTGTTTGTGTCTTTTTTCGTACCAAGTAAGGTCGTTAATCCATAATAACAAAAGTCTGAAAGGGTATTGATCTCCTTTTGCCACTGGTGCTGTATGCGGGATCCTATTATTACATTATCACATGCATTCAGTCCATGATGCTCTCTCTCTCTCTTTTTGTTACAGATAGACTCCTTACCAAGGAATTGTTGACATACACTCGTCATTTGTTCTTGTAAAAGTGTTTGATAATAAACATCCTTTTGGTTGGCACGGACTAGAGTGTGTGCGTGGGAGGGATAGTTAGCAACACTATGAACGTCGTTGACAAGAGGTGTTGGAGGACTACTTGCTTATATCGGGTTGTGCACCCATTGGGAAGTTCAGATTCATGGCAGGCTTGGGAGGACTTGTTGTTGTTGTTGAAGGCATTGGTGCATTGTTGGCATTGGTATTTGAGTTCTGACTCATCGTAAACGTGAAGGGTAAAGAAGCTGTGTCTATTGCTGTTGGTTCCGCTTTACCCCAACTTTGTGCTGACAAACGCTTGTCTCGCTTATACCATTCTCTTTCCTAATTTGAATTATAACTCACCTTTCTCTCTTTTACACCACTACCACAACTAATCAGCACCACCACCATGGAGTTTATGAGCGCCCTTGGTTCACAGGAGGATGCCTACAGGCCCTCTTTGTTTGAACTTGATGCACAACAAAAGCTACGAGAACTATTACAACCTGCTGTGCAGTATGCTGTTGCAGTAAGTCATGCTCTCCCATTTGTACATTGCCCCCACACGCACACAATATGAACCAACTTTGATAGATTTATGCACAACGCTATCCACGTCTCCTTATTCGTCTTGTGAACCATCATGAAGAGTTTTATGCAATTTTGATGTTGTTTATTGAACGGCATTATTTGAAAGAGTGGGGTAAAGTATGACAACATACGTTGATCCATCATTATCATCATTCACGTGAAGATAAATTGACATGGGTTCATAGGTGGATCCTTTGCCGAGAACTTTTATGGATTGAAACGAGTATCGACATCCTATCTCAAGAGCCATGCTGCCAAGTTTGCTTCTTCTGTCAATGGGGGTCAATCATCCACACCTCCTCTCTCAAGATCCCAAATCAACAAGTCATTGTTAATGCTTGTCGGCCTTCCATATATCAAATGCAGGCTGGACCTGCTCTATTCACAAGTCTCGGGTGGTTCATCAGCATCGCTATTTGGAAGCAACGAACAGGAAGAACGGGAACGAGAAGAATTGATGGATCCGGACACTTCAGCAAGGAGGAAATTGATGATTCGCTTGATTCAGCTCTTCCGCTTCGTCTATCCTTATGTGAATGGTGCCTATCATGGTGCCAATTTGGCCTATGCCATTGCTTACATGTTCAACAAGACCCGATATTACTCTCCATGGTTACATCTCATTGGATTGGAAATCAAACGCATGAGCATGGCAGATTATGTAAGTTGAGGAATCGAGAGGATGGATGATGATGATGACTGATCAATCAATCACATACACACAGAGATCTTATTATGACAAGATGGCAGCAAGTGAATCCAAGAATATAGCCACATCCCCTCTGAGTGCCATGTCATCCGTATTCAGCAAGGTGATTGAATTCCTCAAGGTGCTGCTTCCAATGTCGATCTTTTTCTACAAGTTTTTGGAATGGTGGTATTCTTCAGAATTCGCACGTGGTGGCAATATGGGCGCTTTGGGTGCTGCTGCTGATGATGAAGAGGATGAAAACACGATTCCACCACCCGAAAAGATCAAGCCTGATTCAAGAGCTACTCCCGTTCCATCCAAACCCAACACATGTCCTTTGTGCTTGTCATGCCCTATCAACAATCCAACGGCTCTCCCCTCTGGCTATGTCTTTTGTTATACCTGCGTTTACAAATACGTCGAAGATTATGGACGATGCCCTGTTACTTGGACAAAGGTGGAAAGAGGCACTGAAGATCTTACCAAGGTGTATGCACAAGGAAACATTTAATGTATCGATTCCCCCCTTCCTTCCTTTCTTAATAAAAAAAAGTTGTGTATGTACTACAATGCGAGATCATGTGGAATCATTTGGATGAGATATTACAAATGCAAAAATAAAATTCTTTGTTCATGCTATAATGCGGATGCTGTAGTACATTCTATCCATGTTCTAAATAATGATGTGCATATGTACTAATGTAATGAAAGCAATTCCTTTTCAAGCACCTTGACGAGCTTGGGATGTGATTTTGGTTCTTCCTCACCGAAAAATGGATCGATCGCTGTAGTCACAGTAGCATCAAAGAGTTCTTGAACAACATGTTGCAATTTGGAACCCGTTTGCTTGAAATCAGGGAACTATGTATGTATGTGCATTAGTCAACGTCCCGGGCACAAGTAGGCATAGATTTACTTACCGCATTCGCTTCCAAAAAGTAAACATTCATATCTTGATCCACCATGAAATCCACACCAAACAATTCAAATGCATTGGGAATAGCTTGGAAAGTTGTCATTTCGCTGGCACAGGCATCAAACACATCAGCAAGCACACGTTGCATCTTTTCAAAGATGGATTCGAGATCTGACAAGGCTACACCCGATTCCACCAAGTCCCAAAACAGGCGCACCGATGTACTTTCATCAAAGTCGGCATGATCTGTTTGAATGCATGTGTTGGTGATATGGGCGAGTGAGTCGCTGACATTGTCGAGATTATATTCCTTGAGTGCAAAAAGCGCCAACATGTCACGATACAAGTACACCTTGATGTTGGAGACGGCAAGCACGTAAGCGCGTACATGGAATTTGCGATTGTTGACCAGCATTGGCTTGTGAATATAGCGTTGGATCACCCATTCACGTACTTGTGTCAAATCCTCTCTATCATCATAATCAATCACGCCTTTGCCGTAGCCACTATCATCATCATCATTGCATTCGTCTTCTTCTTCTTCACTTTCACTTTCTTCTTCTTCAAAGATCGAGCATAATTGATCCAACGTATGAAAGACATGAATGCCGGCTGCCTTGTTGGCCATGCTTGGTTTGATGATAAACATGTGTCGAATCTCGCCTGATTCTTCATTTTCCTTAAGATCCCGTTCCACTTCAAAGACTTCATTCAATGCCTCATCCAGGTAGTCAATGTGATCCAGCTCAAAGAGCCATGTCTCGGGTATCGCCTGCTTGAGGATGCTGTCAGGATGTTTTGACAGGTACTTTGCCATATTGTACGACAATTGGGCTTTGCGAATAAGACCCTTGCGGATACAATAAGCATTGGCCATGGTCGTCTCTTGTTGTGCCAATGACCAGTTGATCATTTCATACTCGAGCCATTGCAACGACACATTGGGCATGGCGGCATCGACATGGTCGTCGGCAACGTCTTGTATAATATCCCAGTTGAGTCGGCTGCTGTGTTGTAAAGCACGAACGACTGCCTTGTGTGTATACGGTTCATCCAAGCGAACAAGAGCTCGAGGGTGGTGGTGGTGGTTCTGCATAGGGGGGAGGAGGATGGTATAGGCTGGGTAAAGAAGTTGGCAATGAAAAATTTGAACTCCAAGGTCGCCCTGATTTGGTAACTATTCCAAGATGCCCAATCATTTCACTGAAAAAAAAACCCTTGGTAACGACGACAACGACATTGCCCCCTTCCTTGCATCCCATTCATTCACAAATGATAAAATGTTGCCAGTGGAAATGATCCTGTCAACAATGGACACGTGCATGTCGTATATGGATGGCTGCATTATTGGTATGTACCATGTGCACCACGATCGGCATAAATCAAGCCTTTCCCACATTGGAAGACAAGTAAAAAAAAATGGTCGTCATGGCTACTGCTTTGGACTTCCGCGGAACAAATCCTCTTTAGTATAGTGATGATGATGATGATGATGATGAAAGACAAATGGCTATAAATGGTTATCAACGCTTGTCTTTATTAAGGGTGAAGCACTTTTTCATTTGCACATGGCATTGATCATGATGATGAGGAGGAAGAAGAGGGGTTGCGTGCTATATGACAACATCAAGCAGCAGCATCCTCCATGATTGACTTGGGTACCTTCCTCCATTCTAGCCAAACTTGATGTAGATCATGTTTCCTCTTTGTTTCTTTATGTAAACATGTGCTGTTTTGTTTCATGATTCCCACAGTGTGGAGAATGAAAAAGAGAAAGGGAAAGGTGGTGGTGGGGGCAACACTTGACACACAAACATAGGCAAACATTTATGCAACAAGGGCAGTGCCTAAATGGTTATCCGCCAACTTCCGTCGTTGCTGCTGCTGTTGCTGTTGCTGCTGCTGCTGCTGCTGCAGCAGGACCCGTTTATTCGTCACAAGACTCACCCTGTCATGAACAACAACTTGTGATCGAAATTTCCCAAATGGGGGTGGCCTCTCTTGAAAGAAAGAAGAAGGGAAGTTGCTGGCGATGTCGTATTTTCCATAAAGTGCAGAATGGCCTTTTAGGTAACACCAACCATTGTTTCCCCACAATCTCACTTTCTTATCTCTTTTTCTTTTTACGCACGCGTTTGGTATGTACACTCGCTCACGCGTGGGTAGTAGAGTGGAGTTGCGTGGCAACCATAAGACTCCGCTATTGATTTGTGAAGTAATCATGTCTACGTATGTACCACATGGACTACCATGTGGGGTAGTATCAATGATCTGATGCAAGTTTGGCGTGCACAGATCCTTCGATATAGTTTCTATTTGATGCATCCACATGTGAGAGAGATCGTTCTTAGCTCGGTCTACATCCTTGCCTTTCCAAGCAACTATTGTTGTTTCTTTTGCGTGTGATATTGCATGAGAGGGAAAAGCTTTTCCCCTTAGTGTATGTGTTCCCATCATCTGATACTTCTATATCCAATTGAGATAAGAGTGGCTCGAAAAGGCATCAAAGTGTGGCAACCAGCACCAGACACACCCTTTTGGCGTTAAAAAAGTCAACATCATCTGATCAAGCTTTTTTTTATCTGCACTTTAGAGAGAGAGAGCGTGGTCTTTTTCCCTCCCAGCGCTCTTTCCCTTTCCCATTATCTTTCTTTCCTTTAAAAGCGATGAGGATCAAGCATCACAATACATTCTTAACAACCATGGAACGTATTCGTTCAAACACTGTTCAACTCAAGGTCCATGTGGAGAACGACCATTTAATTATGCATGGCTCCCCTAATGAATCGGCTGGATGTGTGCTTCGAGGGGTGCTCGATGTTCATGTGAAAGAGCCTATCAAAGTCAAGTCCATTCATTTGAGATTCTCGGGTCGCATGGTGATTACTTGGACCGAACGTAAGTCGTATACCTGTTCATGTCGTCTCTTTTTGTTTGAAGCCTCACACACAAGTTTAATAATACATAGCGATTGGTAATGGACATGAACGTTTGTTCCATGATGATCGGACGTTAATCAACCATACGTGGGAGTTTCTACCTAAAACCGACAAGCTGCATACATTGGAAGCGGGCACTTTTACATATGAGTTTGAGTTGCCGTTGCCTGGTGATCTACCTGAAACAACCCATGTTGCATCATTTTACCTAGTGCAATACAGGCTCAAGGGCACTTTGGAGCGCGCACGCTTTTTACCGAACAACACAGTACGACGTACGATCCATGTCTCACGACAATTATTGCCACTAACGCCTGAGTTTATGGAGGCTGTGAGCATTGCTAATCGATGGACCAACAAGCTTGATTATGAAATTTCAGTGCCCACCAAAATGCATAGTCTGGGTGATAAAATCCCTGTCAGCATCAAGGTGACACCGCTTACGGATCAGCTGCGTATCCGCCACTTGTCATGTACCTTCAAAGAATATATGATATGCCGCGCAAGCAGTGGATGGTTTGGTGGTCATTCACGTGCACAAGGCCGTGTTGTATATTTTGTGCGAGATGACCAGTTTGGACGTGACAATAATGAAGGTGATGATATTGTGTGGAACAAGACACTGGTCGTGCCCGTACCTTCCACCAATAGTCAAGTGCAATGTGATGTCCAAAATGATGCGGTGCGTATTCGCCATAAACTCAAATTTGTCATTTCAATCGAGAATCCAGATGGCCACGTATCCGAACTAAGGGCGGCCTTACCGATTCAAATATGTGCCCTTCATTCAACGGGTCTTCCATCGTATGAGGAAACATGGCGTACCCTTCCCTATGATCCAACCATGATGGTCACCCTTTTACATCTTCGTGCTGCTGCTGCCAATGCCGAAGAACAACAAGATGCCGATCAACTTTTAGAACTACCCACAGGATTCCAACAACGACGTAACAACCCACGACGAAGGAGTTGGCGTGATAGAGCAAGTTGGATCTTTTTGGGTAACAATAGTAGCAATACGAGTGGTGGTGACGACGAGCATCAAGATGACAGTGATGATCCCTTGACAGCTATTGCAGCTACAACCAGCTGCATTTGTAGTACGGATTTGCCATCCTATTCACCCACGGATCCTGGTTGCTCTTCTTCATTATCTCGTTATCGTCACTCGTGCTTCATCCCTGATACAGCAGCAGCAGCAGTCTCAAGACCTTCAATGCCTCGTCTTCCCACCTATGACGAATTACTATGTGCCTCACGGTAAATCACTCCTCCTCCTCCTCCACCACCACCTCCTCTTCTTTCGTTCCTTCATCATTCCCACCATCACCTTCTTTTCTTCTATGTGTATATAGCCATTTGTTTTTCCACTTTGATGTATATCTCTCTTTTTTCTATATGATTTGTTTATTATATACTGTAATACAATATTTCATTTATATGTAATTTCCTAGGACCCTATATTGGGGGGTGGGATAGATGCAGATCCTTCATTGATTGGTAATAATGGAGTGGTGGGATCAACGCCGATATGTGTGTAGCAAGTATATCTCTTCGTCTGCTCGTATGAATTACATTCAGGGCCTATCTACTGCTCTTTCCCACAGCAATTATACCACCTTTGCTATTGATATTTATGGCGTCTTACATGATGGGAGCAAGCCTTATCCATATTCGAAAGACTGCTTGCAACAACTGACCAATGCTGGGCATCAAGTATACCTGCTCTCCAATTCGACTCGTCTCGGTGATGCACTTGCACGCGATCTCGACAAGAAGTATGGCATTGCACCTCAATTGTACAAGGAGATTGTGTCCAGTGGCGAATTGACGTTGCTTTTCCTAAGCAAATGTGTGGATGCATTCAATAACAAGGAGACGACTACTTGCAACAACACCTTGGAACATCCTTACAGCGCTACTGTGATGGAAGGCAATATTGAAAAGGGCTTGATGACACCCAAGGAGTTTGTTCAGCACTATTGGAAGAACAAGGGCCGATTCTTTTTGGTGGGTGATGACGATTACCATGGACCATTGTATCAACCATTTGAATCGACATTGACACGAGTGGATGACTGGAAACAAGATGGCATTGATTTTGTATTGCTGGGAAAAGTCAATCAACTCCCACATGAGACGTCTCCCCTGGATCCGTTCGATGGTGATAGCGTCAAGCAACATTATCAAGCATTCATGCAACATTGCTTGGAACGACACATTGTGTTTGTTTGTGCCAATCCAGATGTTTGGGCACCCAATGGCAACGACACTTTGTTGGCATGCCCTGGTTTCTTGGGTCAACTCTATCAAGACATGGGTGGCAAGGTCCTCTACTTTGGCAAGCCTTTTCCTACCATCTATCGCTATTTGTTATCCACCAAAGCGCAAGGTGACCCTGCACGTGTATTATGTGTGGGCGACAATGTGGCCACAGACGTCATGGGTGCACGACAACAAGGATTGGATGTTGCCATGGTACTTGGTGGTGTCCACAGCAACCAGATTGATATGACCAAACCCGATGTATCCCAAGTAAAAGCATTATGTGAGCAACACAAAGCACAAGAACCTACCTACATTGTCCCTTTACTTCGCTTTTAGAGTTGTTTGTGTGTAGATGTGTAATAAAAGAAAATCACCGCTTAATTTGGAAGGCTGTTTTTGTTGAGGACAAAAGATGCCCTGTCACTCAAATCACCCTACCCACCCAACCCAGCCCAACATGCATCACCACCCAAAACCCGAGTGAAAGGGTTGTTTGAAAAGTAAACTTTGTATTTATCTCTCTCTCTCTTTTTCTTTCTTACCCATTCGACTTGTATAAATACCCAACAACAACACCACCACCATTTCATCTCAACCCAAATGTACAGCCAACCAGCACTGTATCCAGAGGGAGTTTATCGTGAAGCAGACCTTATCCATGCAACACACTCTTACACACGAAAATGTTGCGGTTGCATGTCTTTACAAGCAGGAGGTCTTTTAGCTTGTGGGATATGGCTCGTGCGTATATATAACTTTTCGTCGCTTGAATCCAAAAATTCTTATCCTGTTTGTTGATGTATATATACAGGCTCTCAACATGTACGGCGCCGTTTTATCGTTTCAGCATAAAAGCCGTAAGCGGGATGGATGGACCTAAAATTATGCAACTACTACTACATGCGTAAACAAATTCTGATACACAACATGTTACTGTACAGCCATCTACTCTTATCTCGACAGCGTTGCTCTGATTATCCAAGGCATCATTTGTGTAGCCTTTTCTATAGGGGCCATTTTCACTGTATTTTCATTAATCACGGTACGTAAAAAGCGCTCTTTTCATGCTGCGTTGCTGCTGCTGATGTATGTACTCGCTTTTACAGGCGAAGCCGCTTATTCTGCGATACGCACATCGAATGATGTGGGTGTTAGTATTCATCTTTATCATCAACTTTTTCGTCGATCTCATTGTGTTTGGTGTACAACGGCCCCAATTTATCGATTGGTGCACGGGACGTTCAAGGAGTCGACTTGATGATCAACAAAGCAATGATCTCCCCGAACAAAGTGGAGATGAGGATGTCTACAACTGCAACAAGCTATGGGAAGCCGAGCTCAAATTTGCCATTGTCGTTTTCATCATGATTTCTCTTTGTTTTGCAAGTATCCGAGGATTCGATTCTTTGTTTAAATAGTGTTGCTCATCCATGGATCTAGATGTATTGGGCGCTTTGTATCTGGTCTTACTCACAAAAACAAATCTCACTGCTGCAGACCTATTATGGTTATCCCATTCATCCAAGCGCCGCCGCTGCTGCTGCTACCATGCACGGACCTGCTGGTGTGATGCACAATATCGGACGATCAAAAGCTGTTGATGGTGGTCATCATCCTGGTGGTGGAGGAAAAAGTCTCGCTCAAGTGTCTCGACAAGCATTGGATTCTATTTATTCACTTTTTACAAGGGATCATGGTGCAACAACAGAAAAGAATACCACTACTACAGCAACGCACTAGACACTTTTACCCATACCATTTTGTTCTTTGCTTCTAAAAATTGATAATAATATCCATGTTCGTGAATGAGAAAAAAAGAATAATGAATAAGGATTATACTTTGGAGGGCTAACAAAAAAAGTTTCTCGTGTATCACTTCTACATAATACTACATACTAGAACCAGCCCCTTCTACTTCGTTGGGTATTGACTTGTTGGTTGCCATCACTACTGTTGCCTTGGATACGTCTTGTTGCATTAGCACCAGCGGGAGGTGCACCCAGGGTGTTTTGCACTTCTTGACCATTCACTGTCACCCTTTGTTGGCCATTACCATAGTCTTCCGTAATTGTAGTACCCTATCCAATGTGCGTGTGGTTACTATCAAGACCCTCATGTCATTTCATAGTACTCTACTTACGTTTTGATCTTGGATCCGTGTCACTGTCACGGTTTCTGGACGACCATTCACAATTCTTGTTGAGCTCGAAACGCTTTTGCTAGTACCAAAACCGCCGCCACCAAAGCTTGATGATGATGAAGAAGAGGAAAAGAAGGAGCCGCCACCGCCGCCACCCATCATGGAAGGACCACCCATCAACATATCCAGACCGCCACCACCCATCATGGATGGAAATCCTCCTCCTATGCCATGGCCATGACCACCACCAAATCCGCCTGAAAAGAACGGATCATTGTCAAAGAAACCACCACCAAATGGATCACCTCGTCTTGGTCCACCACGCGATGAAAATCCAACTAGAATGCAAATGAGTCATCAATGCTATATGATGATACACCGCCTTTCCAATCAATACGTACACAACATGTCATCAAACATGGCTTGATGGGCTCTGAAAAAGTTGGCAAAGACTTCCTCGGGTGAATGGAACTATAATAAATGAATGAATGAGTATCTCCCATTCTTGTATAGACATTAACGATGGATACTTGCATGAAATCCAGGGAAGGGTGCATATTCTTGTCCTTCAAAACCACCACGTCCATCCAAATCTCCACGATCGTAGGCACGACGACGTTCCGCTACACACACACGCACACACAAAGAAAACGTAAGAAAGTCTTGGTAGCCTTGTTATCTATACCTCGAAGCACTTACGATCGGATAACACCTCGTACGCGTGGCTTTACTCACATGCTGTTAATCCTCGGCTCCATTGCACTGCCATGCTATACTCTGACTCACCTAATCTCTTTAAACTACAACCCCATCATGAGTTACTCTTTGGGCCCCTGTCATTGACTCTCTCAACTCGCTTTTACCTTTTCACCTGCTTCAGGCGACTGGTTCTTGTCAGGATGGTAACGCAATGCTAGCTTTCTGTAGGCCTTGCGGATGTCTTGATCAGAAGCTTCGCGAGTGATTTCAAGCACCTCGTAATAGTCAATCGCCATTGCTGCTCAAGTGTAGAGATAAAGAAAAAAAAAGTAGTTTGCATAAGCTGATCGCTCTTTTCTGGACCAATGGAATTTTCGAGATGCGGCGTTCATGCAAATGTCTTCACGTGTGTCTGCGTGTGTGTTGATATAGCTGGAATAAAATGCCCACTTGCACCCTACTTTTGTTTACTACGTGGATGAGCTTTTTGTTTGATGATTGCTTAGAGATCTCTCTTTGTGAATGAGGAGGCTATGTACCGTTTATAGAATTGAACGTTTCGGGAAGATGATGGATCCTTCGATATGTTTCTTTACTACTTCAGACAATGATGCCGCAAAAGTAGGCTCCTCGATGAGTTTACCAATGCCTTTGTACATGCAAATGTGTCGTATCATAGCACCATCTATCTTTTTGATGCTGTATTATAGCATAATAAAGCTTTACTTCCCATGTGCATTTCGATCCAGGCATATGGATTAAGTCATTTACAAGTCAAAGCAGCTTATTTATTGCTCTGCAAGTCTACTACAACTTTGCAATTGCTTGGCGGACGGTCTGTGCTAAGTATTGTTCAACTTCTGGAAGAGCCTGGATCATTTCCTCATTGACTAAGCTTGGGTAGGAGGGTGTTGCGTCTTCCTGATGGACACCATCTGGTAAGCAAAGTAGTGTTGTACCTATTTTGCCAATTAAGTATCATTGTTGACGTAACGTCATCATTCTATGTATCTACATACCAGCCAAGTCGGTGTCATCGATACATTGGAGGGCTGCATCCACCACTACAGACATTGGCGTCTTTGGACATTTATGAATAAACTCGCCAAACGTATTACTGCTGATTTCATCTGCACGAATAAGCTCCGTATCTACGTATGCGCAGGATGATGTGAGCAAAAAGGACCTTGCATATGTACATGCCGCTGACAATTTACTTACCAACCCAATAGGGACAAATAGCATTAACACGTACATTGAATGCAGTGTTTAAATAAGCGAGTGATCGTGTCCATCCCACCACAGCGTGTTTGGTAGCCACGTAGTTCTCAAGACCACTACATAAAATTACTGAGAGTCAATGGGGTGATGCACAAAAAAAGCCATCATACAACATACCCCATTGCGCCAATACCAGCCATGGATGCGGTATTGATGATTGTGCCACCACCACGTTTTTGCATAAATTTCAGCGCCACCTTGTTGCCTTTGGTTACACCACCGACATTGACCTGATGGATAAACATGTCGGCCTCGTCTTTGAAGATCATGTTAATGTTAAAGTTGTTATATGTATTGTCGCCACCTACCATCCATGGGTTCCGTAAAGATGTTGAAGCCTTTGGTAGTACCGGCGTTGAGAATGGCAATCTAAACGTGGATCGTTGTTAGGGTACACAAAGAAGCTCTCTGAGAAAAAAGCTTACATCAACACCGCCAAATGTGTTCTCTGCTAATTCAAAAAGCCCCAAAAGATCCTTATACTTGGTGACATCCGTGTGCTTATAAGCAGCTACTACCTTTTTGGCACTAGAAGCGAGAGCGAGTTTTGGTGTGTGAGTAAGAGGATACATAAAATGGATCGTGAGGGAGAAGAAGAAGGGCTTTATACCTACCTTTTGTTAAAAGCATCCACCGCAGCTTGGCCTTCTTCATCCAAAAGGTCACCAATAACGACATTGATGTTTCTTTTGATGAGAGCAGAAGCAATGGCGAGTCCAATACCACGACTGCCACCAGTGATAACAGCAACTTTAGAATGAGTCATTGAAAAGAGTCCAAGAGAAAAGGGGTGTGTGTGAGAGAATGAAAGCAAGACAAGCTCATTTTAAAGCCAGTGGCAGCAGCAGCTGTGGAGGAGTATCAACCCCACCACCTTCCTAATTCTGCAAAATTCAGCACATGTAATGTTGTCCTGATCGGCGCAAGCTGACTGATGCCCTTGTCTATTTTGCCCATGGGTCATACTAGTCAAGGATTCAATAACGTAAAAAGGTCCAAAAAAGAGAACCTGCATACGTTTATGTAAGCTTAAAGGTCCCTTTCATGGTATACGTTGTCATTCTTCATCATTGTGGTATTGTCCCCACAGTCGTTTATTACTATCAACACAACAACTCGATCACTTTGACGAACAAGGATTAAAACCTACCCCACCCTATCAAAATCCGAATAAATGGTCCCGATTTGTCCCACCAAAAATGCCGTACAATAGCCGATATTGCATTACTGTATCAGCACAGCCAAATTGGTGGATGGCTCGTATCACATCCGATTACTGATTCTTGCATTTCCCATTGTGTGGTTCGTGAAACATGGTTGTCATGGTTACCACAAAGAGTATAGGAATCATTTTGCATCTTCATGTTCAAGTCTTTTATTTGATAGCTGTGAACTAATTACTACTACTGGACTTGCTTGAAAGAACAAAACACACAAGTGCGAGTGGGCGAGGATACAAACTTGTGTACGCAATACCAGACGGCATAGATACCACCCGAATTGGTACAATCGTCATGGACGCTGCATTCACGCATCATGTATCTACTTGAGAGGTATTCTTCAACAGCAGGTCTCAACTTCCCACCTTTGATCCCACGTGAATGACGACCTGCGCCTGTGATGATGTATACGATATTCCGTTGATCTTGGAATTCGGCAAACCATCGTTGGATGTATTGAAGCGCTTCATCCACATGCTGGCCATGCAAGTCGATATACTTTTTGCGTGGGTTGCCTCGGTTGCATTCTTCAAATATCTTTTGGCTAGCCTTGGCATGCTCAGCCTTCATTTGTTTGGCATAGTAACGTGCATCCCTTTCATGTTCCTCAGCTTCAGTAACCTCATTGCAATTGCGTGCTTGCTGAGCGTTTTGGGTGGCTCGTATCATTTTCTCGGCATTCTCAAATGCTTCTCGTCGCTATGGTGAACAAAAGGAAAATGTCAATAAGAGAGAGCGGGTCATCCCGTACATACAACCAAATAGCATACATGCTCACGATAACGCGCTTCATTATTCTCAAAGCCAGAGGATACACGTGGTACGACATCTTCGGATGGTTTGCTTCTGAACTTGTTGGCGAGACGTAGACGCTGCAGCGTTACAGTATTGGTCAACATGTCATAACGAGAGGGTAGCTTTGCAAACACGTCTTTCGGATCATGCTCATTCACATTCATGCTGGGTTCAGGTGTGGACGGTGGTGATTCTTCTTCTTCTTCATCATCATCAGCTTGCAAGCCAAGGATTTCATCGCTGTGTAAATAAGGACAAGCAGGATCCCAAGGGCACTTTTTGTTATGTTGCCTATAAAAAAGGGATGTCCTTAGTAATGGTATCCTCTCTTTCTTTTTGCAAGCATCACTTACCAATAGTAACAAACACCAACATCCGTCAAATCTTCATGAGCGAAATTGCAAGGATCATTTCTGCAGCCTTCATAATACCAAAAGAACCAGCATTTTCTTGTCTTTTTGTCCATGTCATCCCCATTGTTTCGCTAGATACATATGTAGCATATGAATATGTGATGTTTCAAACACAATCCATCCAATGCAGGTGTATGTACATACGCTGGTGTTTTGGTGAAGAGGTACATAGCCATCATCCTCACGCGCTGGATGTTTGAGAGGACATTCTTTCTCACTGATACAATGGCCTTGAATCCTGGTAGAATGCCATGAGATAAATGCTATACGTACAATGTAATCCTTCTTTATGCTTACCAAAAGTAACATGTTCGCACTTTGGACGTGTCTTCGTGTGCAAACCAACAATTCTCGCCATAAAAGCACTCAGCGTCTCCACCCCAGTAACGCTTGCACATCTTGGTATAGCGTAAAGATTCTTGACGTATCGCTTCTTCATCCACTGGGTCCCTCTTGAGATCTCAATTAATATCCATTTCTTCATTTCACCATCACAACACACATACTTTTTGGATCTCGTTTCCTCGTTCAGGGATCTTGGGAGGTTTCTTGGCAGCATCCGAATAGAGCGCTTCATCCACAAACGAAGGGATCGACAAGCTCTCCACCATGGATTGATTCCCACCAGGAAGGCAAGGGAAGATGGATTGATCATGTAATGCAACCGGATCCAGCTGAAATTGAATCATGTCATTGGTGGTGATGTCGTTGTCATTTGGGTCAATATGTCGGAAACAGCAAGGATCTGAAATACACAAGCCTGACAGGCTGGTATACGTACGTAAGCAGGGGTTGTATAGGACGCACACACATATATACATCACTTACGCATAATGGCATAATGGAACCTTGGAAGCATCCTCATGGGCGTAATCGCAACGATCTTCATCAAAGGGACATTCGTTGTTCAAGTAGGCCTCACACAACTTGGTTTTTCTTCTGCAATCCTAAAAAGAGTATCAAGGTGAATAGGCTTGATGATGGTTGTATGTACCATGTCACGTACGTCCTTTGGTAATCCATGTAGAAACGTGCATTCATCTTCCTTTTTGCATTTGCCTTCCCTAGAGTGCGCAATGATGATGATTAGCACCTTGTGTCCATGTACACCTTTTACTTTGACTTACTTATAAAGAGGACATACACCCACGAAACCCGTATCCTCATGAGCAAAATGGCATTGTTCTTCGGTAGAAAACTTGCATGTGCCTTTTTTGTAATATTTGCATAGCTGGGTTTTGCGTTTGGTCTCATCATAGATTGTCATTGATACTTGGGTCTATTGTCATCATCATCATCAAGGTGATAAATCAATACCCGAGCAAGGTGTTGCATATAGGGCTACTTACTGCATGGGATGAGGCAGGTGATGGTGGTGCTGCTCGCATGGGTGGTGAATTGGGTGGTTGTGGTGGTGCTTCACGCTTGACGGTATCAGCATACGATGTCGTTGCAGCAGCAGAAGGTTTGGGTGTGCCTGGTGGACCATTTTCGGCCGCTTCGGTGACTTCAGATGACAGAGCGGGAAACAAGTCTTCTCCATCACCTGGTACTTCTTTGTTGGTAGCCTTTTTGGTAGGAGCAGGATGCAGTAAATTGCACCATCCATCGTACTTTTTGCATGATCCTGCAATACCATTCCTAGCAGTAGAAACGTATACAATGAATGATGCTGTAACGAGGTAGATGTTGTCAATCTTACCAATCAGGGCATACAGGCACTCTTGATGTGTCTTCATGAGCGTACTTGCATTTTGCTTCAGTGAATGCACATTTGCTGTTCATGTAATCGTAGCATAGGCGTGTCTTTGTCAAGTCATTCTTGGGCGTTTTCTATAAGAAGGATGAATATATCAATACTTTGAATTTCCTTACCACCCATTGTCATTACCTGCTGTGGTTGGTGCTTATGAAGATAAACACATTTATCGCCCTTTTCACATGCATCGGGGGAGCGTCGCCTATACATCAATGAGTATTTCGTTACATACAACAAGCATTTACTTTTTTACTTACCAAACTTCACATGTATCAAGCTTGCTTAGATCTTCATGCGCATAATGACATTGGGTCTCGTTGAAGCGGCATTTCCCATTATGAAAGTGATAATAGATGCATTTGGCAGATTTAAGCTTTCCCTTTGCCCCTGTTGCTGGTGGTAGTGGTGTTGGTGTAACTTCTGCTGCCTGAGAATGTGGGAGAATCAGTAATCAATCATTCGATGAGACGACATGTTGTTGTTTATCACCTTGGTGGATGAGGGTTGAGGTGGCGGCTCACGCTTTTTGATTGGCTTGACAGGTTTATCACGTTGTAGACCGGCAACATTGGCCCAGCTACTTGTTGCATTCTTTGTTGGAGCTGATGACTGCTGCTGTGGAGGAAGGGGCAAAGTGCTCGTTGTACTTTTAGGCGATGAAGGTGGTGTTGTATCGGGCAACGATTGCTTATCATCCATGGCTGGTGTCGTTTCCTCAGTGGCAGCAGTGGCGGTTGAGAATACAGGGCTGCCTTCGTCTTTGGGTGATTCTTGATCCTCATCCTCCTTTTGCATCACATCATCGGACAAGGCATCATCGCAAGAATCCGAGTTTGGAAAATCCCTTTTTGGACAATTTTTTTGCATGAGCCAACTGTATGCACACATACACACAAAGTCATAGCTTACGTTGAGAGTTGTTCATCGTCGTCATGATCCATCAATATTGCATAGGGGTTCGAATCATGTACAACAACGCGATTCAATTCAATGAGTGTGCATAACGCTTGCTTCTTAGCATCATCGATCCGTTCATTTGAGAGAGGTCCCTTGACCAATGCAAAGCTGTAATACTGAGTAAGGATCTCGCCTTGAGCTGTGTACACGACTTTGGGCACCCAAGTGGATGGATCTTGACCATTGATCATGACTTGGCGACCCTCAAGGGCTTCTTTGACACATTGTACTTTATCAGCCCAACTTTGCATCACATCATCGTCGTTGATTGGATTATTGTTGTTCATGCTGCTTCGCTTAAGTGCTGTTGGTAGAATATCCTCATGGATCGCTGAAGTCTCGTAACTTCCTGCAAAGAGACAAAGCCCAAAGTAGGTGACAAGGGCGTCATGCTGCGCCTGCTCCATATCCTCAATGGTGTCGTTTGGAAGATCCACGTTGCGAAAAACAGGTGCTACTGGAAGTGATTCATCGCTCATAAATGCAAAGTGGTTGGCGGTATCATTGAGTCGAGTGGATCGCTGGATGACACGCTTGGAACGAATAACGGTGACCATGAGCTGATAGAGACGTTTGGCAAGTGTGTTGAAAGATGGGTTGGGTGCATAGATGCCCAAAGGAGAGCATTTGAGTATAGGTGGTGATGATGATGGATCGCACATTGGGAAAAGTGGGGGAGTGAGTGAGTGAAGAAAGAAAGAAAGAAGAAAGGGAGAATGCAAATTGATTGAGTGTGAATGCATAAACTCTATAACTTCATGAACCAGTGCTCAGCCAACGATGAAAGATGAAACGGATAAGAGAGTCAACAACCCGCAAAAGGGAAACTCGGTGTGATCATGTGCGTGTGTAACGTTGGGCGTTGCAGTTTGGGTCGTACAACATGATAGATCTTGAAGGAAGTCGTTGTAGTCGTTCAGGTACATGCCATTGCTCATCCATCATTCAGTCCATGAGGGGGATCTTTTTCAACTTTTTTTTTATTATCGAACAGAAGTCATATCAACAGCAAAAATACCACCCTTATCATCATTCACAAGACTCGTCTCTGCAAAGCGATAGTTTTCTTGCCGCAAGTATTCCTCCACGGTAGGTTTAAGTTTGCTCTTCTTGTTGCTGTATCCCGCTGATCCCGAATGATGTCCAGTGCCCGTGATGATATACACTATTCCCTCGTAGCCTTTGAGATTCTCAAGCCGTTCATGGATCATGTCCAATGCCTCGTCAATATGTAAACCATGCAAATCCACAAACGCCTCATGCTGATTCCTCTTTTCAAAGATACGTCTGCTCGCTTCCGTGTGCATTTCTTGCATCAACCTGTTATAATACTTGGCCTGATTCGAATAAGCCTTGGCCTTGGCACCATCCCCTTCCAAATAAAATGCCGTGGCTCGACTGAAAAATCGATTGCGCAACATGCCATATTGAATCGCTTGATCACGCTATCCACAAAAGTACAATAAGAGATCCATTGATCACTTTCCCTCTTCTCTTCCTTACCTGCTTCATATACTCCGAGTGCAAAGAACTACCTGTCACTAGCCATGGTATATTCACTGGTTGCTTCAATCGTTGCATGATCCGTGCATCGTGCACATTGCTGCTCACGGTCTTTTTGGTCTTTGTTGCTTGTTTGACATTGGCCTTTCGTTTGGCTGCTTCAGCGAAATTGATGGATGCAGGTGGTGGTGATGATGATGATGGTGTCTTTTTGACAGGTTTCTTGATCTTAATTGCTGTACCCAGCGTAGGGAAATCTTCTTGTACCAAAGTAGGTGTGGCTGCTAATGATGGTTGCTGTTGTTGTTGTAGGGTTGGTCCTTTGGGCTTATTACTGCTGCTTTGTAACCCAGGATATTCACTCTCATCAAAACGTATTGGCTTGGTGTTTTGTTGCTGTTGCTGCTGTTGTTGGGGATTGCTTTTGATCTTGCTAGCCACCTCTTGTACATCAATATGATGAGAGAATTCGCAATAGTCACCTTTCAAACATGAGCCTTGTAACCTAAGTCCTTATATATGAATACATTTTGCTTCCTTGAGAACGAATCCAAACATACCAGAATTTGCATACTTTGACTTGAAGGTCATGTGCAAACCAACAATCCTTGCGATAGCATTCACCTGCCAAGAAATGTCGACACACTTGTCTCTTTTTGCTGACTGGTGATGTTGTCGTTGGCGTTGTTGTGGTGGTGGTGGTGGATATTTCAGCTGCTGTTGATGGTTGTTGCACTGATTCATTTTGCTGTTGTTGCTTTCGATTGAATAATGCTTCAGTGGTCTTGTCAAGATCATAGCCGTGTTCCTCGAGCGTAGCTGTCAATTCGGCCTCATTCAAGTCGGTGAAAATGGATTCAAGCATCTGCAATGCTGACATGTCCTCTCCCACATTTTCAGCTTGTTGCTCCTCCATGGATGGATTGGTGACTGAGAGGGATAACTTGTTCATATCTTGGATCGTATCAGAATCGAGTAATGAGCCTTGGTAGTACTGCAATGTCGGATCGAATTCTTTTTCATCTTCATGGGAATAAGGTTCAAATCGATCCCACCACATGGGGTCATGTACATGATGATTGTTGTTGTTGTTGTTGCTATTCCCCCATATGCTCTTGACAGCAGCATTGTCAGTAGGTACCGCCATTGTATTGGATTGAACAGGTGACCATGTAGCAGTGCTTAAGGAGGATGACCATGGCATTGTGGGTTGATGATGGTGATGATGAATAGGTGGCGTAGCAGTTGTAGTGGTTGTTGTCATGGTAGTAGTAGTGGTGGTGGTAGTCGTCGTAGTAATGGGAGGTGATGTGATCGTGCCGTTATAATAGCTTTTGTCTGCATCAAAGTCGTCCAGCAACTGTGCACTTAGCAGATGATCGCTCAATTCCACCACATCATCCACATCATGGGTTGATGATGATTGCTGTAGATCCAAGGTTGTATCTGGATTGAAAGGATCAAACTTTGGAGCTGATGGTTTTGGTATGAAAACAGGGGCACCGATATCCAATGTCGTTGGTGGATGACGCTCTGGTAATGGAGACGTAGGGGGTTTGGACTCCAACGATAAGTTAGGGGACGTAGAAGGCGACCGACCAAAGAGCTATATATCACACACACACATGCCATGCGTCAACACCCACTCCATACCCCCATGTGAGTTGTCATTGTATATACCACTTGCCTGGAATTCTCGATAGTCAGCCTGGGAAGGATCGCTACTCTTTAAATGAGTGGTGTTGGTGGTCGTGGAGGAGGAGGAACTACCCACCATGTGGAAAATAAAGATCGTTAACGCAAATGATAAGCTTGTTTTGAAAATCTCGAAGTTTACTTGTTGTTTGGTGAGAATGCCAAGTTCCACTTGACGTCGAATCCAGTTGGATTGGCCATTGAGGGGAATGGGGAAGCAAAGAGATGCACTATCGCGCTTGGCAACTATGCAAGAGAAAAAACACCAAATCAAATGCTTCGCATTCAACGTGAGCCACTTTATTCGACTCCGCACGCCTCCCCAAGGGGACGACGAGTCCAACTGCGTAGGATGCCACTTGTCCATGGCAACCTATTTGCATTATGCTGATTACTACTCTTATCCTAACGCTTGATGAGATGGCATGAACATTTCGCGTCCTTCGGATAATGATGATGATGATGACGATGAGTGATTCCATGGTGATGTCACATGACGACGTATGAATGTGATACAACATCGCCTTAACGTATACATAAGCAACGGTAAGGTGAAGGAACAATGATATGGAATACATACCCAATTAAAGTGAATACCAATGTTTACGAGTTGTCATGGTTGTTACATCAGCAAGTAAAACAATCATTGATGATCATGATTCATCCCCGACTAGTATAAGGTTCCAGACAAAGAAATGGATTTAGAGGTTACAGTAGCTTGAAAATTATTTTCTATACAAAGAGATATGCCAAGTTTCTGTGTCATTATCCTTAGTGATTGTTTCGGAAACGGATACGTTTTCCGTTCCTTTTTGCATCGGATGAATGCCATGTTGCTTAACAAAACCTAAGGATTGCTGTACATCGTGATGATAAAAGCATCAGGATATGGTGTGTGTCGCTTCCAACCAAGCGGCAAAGTGATCAATGTTAATGTCATGGGCTCATGTTTTTGAGTATGAGCTGATCTTCTCGATGTATCGAAAAAATTATCCTACTTTGGTCTCGACCAGCAGGGGGGACGATCAAACAGCGATCGAACAAACCAGCGGAGCAGTGTGGCCACCATGAAAAAAGTGAAATCAGATGCCGATCCCCCACTTCTAATATTAGGTAGAAAAAGAAAAAAGAAGCCAAGGTAAGTTCTACCACTGTAACCAAAGAGATGATTGCACTATGGAATCACCAACCAGCCCGTGATAATAAAGATCGAGTGGATTCGACACCATGCATTTATGTCATTTTGGTGTGACAAGGTCATTGTTCCTTACAAGTGGGTCTGGATGACAAGAAGAAGAATACACTAACAATGGGATCCAGGGACCCGACACTATGTTCGGGTTTCAGTCATCCATCGTATTATCGATATCGAAAGGCTATAAAAGAAATAGGTATGGGATTTGGTTTGTTTCCTCATCTACACCACCACCACCACCTTTTTTCCACCTTTTCCCTTGTCGACGACGTGCTGGCCACATACATCTATATACCATCATCATGTTCCGTTTCGTTACTATTCTCGCCCTTGTCATAGTCGCCAGTCTCTTGACAGCCGCTGCACCAGCAGGCAAAATATTCAATACTCCAGCAGCCCACAATACCAAACGCTCGTCCTATAGCGGAAAAGGCACATTCTTTACTCCCTCTATCAATGGTGGATCTACTGGCTCCTGTGGCGAATACGAGGCTGATGATGAATACGTTGTTGCCTTGGTACGTTAACGCTACAAATCATGTACATATCGATATTTTACTCATACGATGCTGCTTTCCTAAAGAATGCCAAGCAATATGGCTCTCTAACATCCAAAAGTGGCTGGTGTTTTAAAAAGATCCGTATTCATCATGATGGCAAAGAAGTTGAAGCTACCATCAAAGGTAAGTCGACGCTGTTAAGGTCAAAAAAGACAAGGATTATTGGATATTAACATAAAGTGCGTGCTTAGACGCTTGCCCTGAATGTCAATATGGCGATCTCGATTTGGGTCCTAAGGTCTTCAAAGAGTTAGATACTCTCGTCAAAGGCATCATTGATATCACTTGGGAAGAAGTTTAAAACTTTTGGGTCGTATGTATGCTGTGGCCGGTACACAGTATGATGCCCCCTCATCTCTTTTGGAGCTTTTCAATAAACATCGCATCATGTATGTCTCTTACATTACTGTACACAACATGTTTGAAGTGGCTTGATTCATCCATAACCCCAATGCATTCCTTGTTGCCATGGATACGATGCGGCAACGTATACGACACAAGATTATTGGCAAGATAGAAAACCAAAGCCAGAGGATTCTGAGACATTTGACACACAGCTATTAGGACCTAGGGCAAAAAGAAAGGTTCTGGATTCCAACGTTTGTAGTTCCTAGATCTTTGATGTCTATAATTATTGCATGGCCATTAAACAGAAATGAGTTCCCGCCATGCCTGGAACAAAAATTAGCTACACCTCTCCCAAGTTTCTTTACCAAAGGGACATGGGGATTGTGTAGTGGGACCTTGCGGTGTAATATACATACTTGATGGAGCAGCAACAACCACAGCATATGGACAAGGAGATGATCGTCTCCATGACAACTCCAGCTTTTAGTAAATGGTGAACCTATGATGTCTTTAAAGCATGCAAGTGATGTCTGTGCACCCATATTGAGAGGCTGGTATTCCCATGGCCTCGATTGCATTGTGTCACCTTCCAGTGTATGAATCGAGCATGCACGTGTAACCAAGTGCGGTCTGCATAATTAATAGGCATATGGACCAAATACCGCATCTCAGACCTGCTTGTTTACTTTGGCTGCGCCTTTTAAGGCTGCATGTCGAAAAAGATTCCATCATGGCATAATAGGAGATATTCGATATGTGCAAAATACATGATGGCGCTCTCGCTTTAATATGCATTCAAAGATGCCTACATAGCTTTATCATCATCAGGGTACATTAGGTAAAAAGGGAAACGACGCATGGCTATAGCAAGGTATACAGAGCTACTACTAATCCTTCACAGGTCCATCCCACCATTGACATTATCCTGAGCACACATTGTTGCGTTTTTTTCTTACCCTTTCAAATCCTCCTCCTCACCATCCCTTTCATCGTGTTAACATACTGTGGCAATCAATGAAACTTTGTTAGCTTAATATTGGAAGAAACTAGAATACAAAGTTGTTTTTAGCATGAAACATCGATCATCAAAAGCATAATGGGTTTACTTACATTGCCTACAATGACGCTTGGTAGATCAAAGATATCACGTTTGATAGTAAAACAAAATGTACAAGGAACAGGTTTTTGGTGTGGCGTTTTCAAAATACAGGAATACATGCATGACTTGTCAGTATTATCAAAGGCATGTGTTGAGAACTTTTCCCAGTATTCGACTGCTGACCGATTATCCATCAACTATAAACATAGTGGTGTCAGATTAGAGAGAACGATCCATTTCCCTTCCTTGCTTCCTTACCTCGTAAATGTATGTCTTTTTGTTCAACAGCGTGTCTCTTGGCCATTGTGTTAACAAAAGAAACTCCTTTCCCACGAGACAAACTTCGCCTGTACGTCGCCATACCACGGTGGGTGTTCCGGAAAAACTAATGAGCTTTTCATATTCCTGATACCTCTCGCATGTCAGCTGGCTCCTCCTCTTTTGATACACGTGGACACACCCTATATACATTACCAAAAGTGTGCGTTGAATGCATTTCTCCATAAACACCAAGTCTTCCTCTGTCAGGTTCATGATAAGGGCCAAAAACGAAGGTCGAAACAATGCCAGCGCCCGACTGATTCGCATTAAATCCTCACGATTCATCCTTTTTTGTATATGTATAGGTCAGTGATCTTTTTTCATCAACCCTATAACAAAAGTCTTGCTTACCTTTCCTTGACGTATTCAATCAAATAATGGAATCCTTCGGCATAGTTAAAAGGTCGTTTGACATGAAGGTATACGGATTCGGGTGTATTCTGTTTCCGCCGACTGGTGCTTGTGATTGAATTGCTACGTTTACCAGGAGATGAGATGGATGAAGGTGAAGAAGGTGCAACAGCGGCAAGGGAGGGTGATGATTTTTGCATGGGCGGAGTGGCTGCAATCGTAGCTGCATATTGTTGTTGTGGTGATGCATTTTCATCCTTGTCATTCGCTAATGGATTGGCCCCTGGTGCAAATGCTACCGTGGTTGGCATGGGAAATACGGATAAACCTTGAGGTGCGGTAGTCGTAGTGGTGGTTGTGGTGGTATTATTATTGTTGTTGGTCGTCATTGCTGGTGCGGAAACATAGGATGCCATGTTGGGTTGTGCATTTGAGAATTGTAAAAAGGTGGCTGAAAGATCACCTGTGCTGGTTGGTGTGGATTGTTGTTGTTGTTGTGTTGTAGTAGGAGGAGTGGTGGTGGTGGTAGTGACGGACAAGATATTGTTACCATTGTCGAGATTCATGGAAGGTGCGTTGGTATCATTTGCTTGGTTACTGGTCGTGAGTTGTTCAAGTGGGTTTTGTAACATGTTGCCAATGAATCCATATTCTAAACCTGCAGATTCGGATCCAAAGCCTAGTTCTTGAAGATCAGCCAAAGATAGGTTGAGGAATTGGCTGGTGTCGACAAAGTTTGTTCCTATCATGGATGTGAGCAATGGGATGGATGATCCTAAAAAACAAAAGCTGTATTACCCAAAGATGATTGTGATTGATCAGCCATTGGATCCACAGGAAAGGAATTTGGAAACACTGTAAAAGAGCGAAAGAAAAAGGAGACAATTAGTACATGCTTTCCCCATTCATCATCAAAGAGAGTGTACTTGCATGTCTCTGTTGGCGTAGTTCCCGAGTTGGTGGTTTCAGATGCTTGATCCTGCAGATACTTGGCTTTTTTGCGAATGGCGTCGGTACATGTGGCTGCAAGGCCTCGTTTGATACACCTTTGGCATGGTCGAGCTATACATATCAAGTGTGAGCTTCTTTAGTACATGGGAATCGTTCATTCATAAGGATCGATGGAGGGCTTACAATCGTCGCAAGTCAAGTGTGCCTGGCAAGTAATTACGAATGGTGAGTTCTACAAACAAGAGAGAAGGAATGGTATGCAATTTACTTTTTGGCAATGAAAACAGGCGCGGGAAGCCTTTTTCCGTTTGCTGCTTTCAGTATCTGAAGCGTCGAAGCGATCGAATTTGACAAAGTTGTTAAATTGGATATCTTGCATTGGATAATGATATGATCGAGAGAGAGAGAGAAAGGAGGAGGTCAATGGTTCTTAATGAAGATGAAATAAAGAAGCAGGTATCACAGCAGGTGCATTAAAAAGCAAGTGTGGGGTCGGCAAGGGATGGAATTGCGAAGGAAGAGAGAGAGAGAGAAAGCCGCCTTTTTCCAGCCAGCACTGTGAGAAATTTGACGACTGGTGTCCACATGACAACACGCCTTTTGTTTCGTTTTAGGAATCTCCGTGCCTTTTCTCCACACACACGCACACACACACGCATATACTCACACCCACACATCCTATTCAGCTTCATCCTCATCATCTCAATAAACACGTATCATCATTATTAGCCTTCAATGTCTTGATGGATGCAATTCATATGAATAAGCATATATGATACAATCATTTACACAGTCACCAACGACAATGATGATGCCCATCTGGTTTTGGTTTCTTCCACCACTCCCCACACTCTAAATAAGGCTGAACATTGTACCAATCCCTGCCTTACTACCCCTTTTCCCGATTCACACTAAAGCAGTGTGAGGATCATCCCCTTTCTCTCTTATTACAATGATCATGTTACGAGAGTCTATAAAAAGTGCACGCCATCCTATATTCATTGTGCTGGTTGTGAAGGGTACATAAGAAAAAAGGGGAGATGAGGACCCGGTGATCCATGGTGATGGGATGGAACGGGCACTGATAAGATTCTTGTACAAGTGACAGGTAATCCCTTACCTTATCTTTGGTTACACTCATCAATCCCCATCGTGGGTCATTAACATTATCGAATGGATGCACACACATTATCTCTCTCTTGGATCGAACCATCAAAGGAGGGGGGGAAAACTCGAATTGTAGGTATAGTATTCTCACACACTTTATTGGGATGTTTCATCTTGTGCACGTGACATGGGCATCACCCCGTCAAATGACAAATGGTACCTTGGGAACCCGATGATGATTGACTTTGGGCGGTGTATGTACTATTTAGATGGATACCTCTACCAATGACAAAAGAGACTTTGGAGTGTGTCAGACACAGTCACCCATGTTCCTGGAATCCAGCCAAAAAAGGGTTTAAATCCTGCTACTCTTGCCGCTGCTGGTGCTTCTTCTCGTAAAATGACAAAAGGTATGCAACCTCACATTCAAGAGCCTATTGTCCTCCTCCATGACAGTAATGCGAACCTACTCATACTCTTAGCATTCCAGATATTGCAACAGCACCAGCAACAGCAACAACACAATCGACCGCCAACTCCAAACTTGACGATCAGTCATTATACAACCGCTTTCGAGGATTCGCTGCTGGTGTTGCTTCCGGCATAACCAAACTTGCTGTGGGCCATCCTTTCGGTAACAACGTAGTCAAAGTGATATGCTTAAAGGTGTAGTCTATTAATGAAGGAATGGCGTATCAGATACGGTCAAGGTGCGTTTACAGACATCGGGCAAAGCGGATTTCAAAGGACCTTTGGATTGCTTGAGGAAGACTATACAAAAGGAAGGATTTCGAGCATTATACAAGGGTGCAACACCACCTCTTGTTGGATGGATGTTTATGGATAGCATCATGTAAGTGGATGGGTTGGATAAATTACGTGTATACGAGAGGCTAATGATGGCCTACTATGACACTAGGCTTGGCACATTACACAATGCACGGTTGATTCAGCAATCATGGAATGGTGATAGACCCCTTACTGTATTCCAGCATGGTCTTGCGGGTTTGGCTGGTGGATTAACAGTATCGTTCGTGGCCACCCCTGTGGAACAAATCAAAGCTCGTCTCCAGGTACAATATGATGCAGCAACCAAAGTATATACAGGCCCTATCAATTGTGCCACTCAATTGGTAAGTATAAGGGATAAGGGAGGATGATGGCAATGGGCTGAGACAATGATCCATAGGTGCGTAACAATGGCATTACAGCATTGTGGACTGGATTACTACCCACTATGGCGTTTCGAAGTTGGTTCTTTGTCTTTTGGGCTTCCTATGATGTAAGTGGAAGGAGGATGGAAATGATGAATGATGCACCATTGTTAATCCTTATGGGTAATGATAGGTGTTTACACGTGAATTGAAAAAGTACAATCTATCGGATGGATCTGTTACTTTTATTGCTGGTGGTCTGAGCGCAACAGCATTTTGGTTGGGTGCCTTCCCCTCTGGTAAGTTGAATTTGGCATTTTAGTGTCACGCATGAATTGCTCATTTCTCGCATAATAGACTCTATCAAGAACCGATATATGACACAGCCTGATGTACATCCCAGAAGATTCCCTTCGCCATGGTCCGTGGCACAATACATTTATCGAAATGATGGTTTGCGTGGCTTTTATCGAGGTAAGTAGTAACATGAAGATGCGCAAAGACAACACGTTTATGTATTGAATCGTTTGTGATCGTAGGATTCCTTCCATCCTTTTTACGAGCTTTCCCTACAAATGCATCAGCCGTATTCATGTTTGAAACAGTGATGAAATTACTAGCATAATAGACAATTAGAACAATAAAAGTATTGGGTCACAATCAAAGCGAGAGAGACAAGGATTTAATTAACAACAAATTAGAAATGAATCTACAGGGTGCGAGACACCTGCCAGACGCGAATAAGGTTGTCAGTGTAACCGGAGAAGAGGGTGGAGCCATCAGCGGACCAGGCAATGGAGACACACTCGGGGTCACGGGCCTTGTTCTTGCCAGCTTGGTTGAATTCAGGGCGAAGTTCATCAACAAGGGACTTGTCTTCAAGATCCCAAACCTTGATGGAAGAAGCAGTAGCAGCAACGAGCCAGTAGCGGTTAGGAGAGAAGGTAAGGGCGTTGATGACATCGCCAGCCTCAAGGGAGTAGAGGTGCTTGGAGTCGTTCAAGTCCCAAAGCATGACAACACCATCCTTGCCAGCGGAAGCGCAAAGAGAACCATCGGGGGAAACGGTGACAGTGTTGACGTAGCCATTGTGGCCAATGAAGTTGGTGCGCAACTTGAGCTTGGTCAAATCCCAAACCTTGACGATCTTGTCCCAGCCACCAGAAACGATAACAGGGTTAGCAGGGTTGGGAGAGAAACGAACGCAAGAGACCCAATCAGAGTGGCCATCTTCAGTAAGTTGGTACTTGCACTCGCCAAGGGTGTTCCACAACTTGATGCTCTTATCACGCGAACCAGAAACGATTTGACGGTTGTCAGCAGAGAAAGAGACAGAGAGAACGTCACCAGTGTGGCCAACGAAACGGCGGGTGGTGGTGCCAGTGTTCAAATCCCAAAGACGAAGAGTCTTATCCCACGAAGCGGAAAGAGCGAATTGACCATCAGAGGAGATGGCAAGGTCTTGGACAAAGTGGTTGTGACCCAACAAAGACTTGCGGGGAACACCATAGTTCACCTCGTCGCTAATCATTCACATTTAATCCCATTATGCTCTTTCTTTTTCATTGTAATTTGATATACTTACCGGGTGAGGTGCCAGACAATGACAGACTTGTCTATTATAGAATAAAAGACCATTTAATCAATCCATTGTATATGCCTTGTCGTCGTTATTGTACATACCACGCGAAGCGGACAAGACCATATCAGGAGCTTCAGAGGTGGTGGCGATGGCGGTGACTATAAAGTACGTGTTACAATTGACATTGTTCTTTTATCTTCGCGACATTGAAAAAAGTCGTTGTCGGGTTTCATCGAGGCTTACCCCAGTTGCCATGGCCTACGAGAAAACAAGTGTTGCGGTTAGTATCCATAAATCGATCATCCCACTTCATCCCATTCATCCACATGTTCATCCATATCATTGATGCATCCATCCATCGTCTATGTACCTTCAAGAGTGCCGCGAAGAGTCAAGGTGTCCATGTTTTACTGTCTGGATGAAAAGAGGGGGAAACCACAAGTGATAGCAATGAGCCTTAATGAGCCACTTCCGCTGAGTGCCCGTGACTTACTTGATTATCCCGCCACCCAGCTACTTCGGCTCTTTGACATCCATTTTCGATCCCACTTGTACTTACTTACCACCTATACATCCCATTTTTATTTCAAACGATGATAAAAAAAGCTACCATGCATTGATGTTGACCCTAATATTGCCATATCATTCTCGAAATTAAGCCATATGGGGATATACTATCATCCACAACGCCTATTTAGCATCTCTATGGAAACATGCCTCTTGCCTTCTTGAACAATAATGTTGCTGAATGTCATCATTGATGGTGAGAGTGGCGTACAATGATACTGTGATTAAGGGTGTGTGTGTGTGGATTGCAATGATAATGGATCACCAACAAATATTTCTCCGATCCAGAGAGTAAGCAGTAGTTGACGGAATAGGTCCCAGTGGGATAAGCTTATATGCATATCAACAAGCATTGTGCATTGTTTGTGTATGTAATTGCCCCCAAAGCCCGATGGGGAGTTGAGTTGAGTAAACACTGTTGTCGTACAAAGATGAGCGATTTGCATAAAGGTACGCCGTCTTTGATGAATTCTCATTGTAGTAAAGAGGCAATGTTTATAGGTGGATTGGATCATTTATCAATGGTATTACAATAAATGTACGTCATTGTGCGATGGGATGATTGTGATAGGTAGCAGGAGGGTGTGTGCGTGATTATGTGTGTAAGAGTGGAGAGTGTAATAATAACAACACCGACTTTTGAGGAAGGGAATGTGGCAGATCAATTGAAACGCACCGAGGCTCTTTTCCTTTATCACTTTTTTTCACTCCTTCTTTTACGGCCACAACCATCATCATGACAACACCACGCATGAGTGGTAATAAACTCATGGGTCAACATGCCTTTTCCTCTCGTCAAAAACACTTGTTGCTTCGTCCGCAGCAAACCAACGCCAGCTCGTTTTTCAGTTCAAGCATGGGTTATCATGCAAACCTGAGTCGACACCTCCCAGACCAAGAACCCATCATGATGACTCCCTCGCCTTTACGACGCCAAAACGCTTTTCTTCAGGAAGACCGCTCCAACATGTCCAATGACAAGGTCAACTTCTCCATCCCAAGCTCCACTACTGCCACCCATGCCGACGACTTGGTCCATTCCAATGTCTCATCCCCAATGTCGTCCCAACTTGAAAGCGAAGACCCAAAATGTAGAATATGCTTTGGAGAATCAGAAGAAGGTGGTGCAGCTTTTATCGTTCCCTGCAAATGCAATGGCAGCATGTATGTATACACTATCATTGTCATCATCATCCCTTGATACAAAAAAAGTAGGGGGGTGGTGTGGAGGATTTCATCTCTCTAACATGCTATGTACTACCCTTATAGAAGATACGTCCATGATCTATGTCTCAAAGATTGGATGTCCAGCAAGACTTTACCTCGACGATGTAGCACGTGTATGGAACCATTCAGCTTTTATCCACCTACATTACAAAGTAAGTAGTAGTAATAGGGAGCAGCATGCTTGCAAGATCCATAGGAGAGATTCCTTTGACTCATACTTGGTTGGACATGTAGACCCTGTACGTTCGAGGAGAAGACCCATCCTGCGTACCGTGCTCGTTATTGCATTGACCACGTTTATCATGGAAACCTATCGATGCACTGAATTACAAAAGATTCCCGGCTCCGAACTTGACGATCAAGATACCTCCACCCTTGGAAAACCAGATTACATATGGCTACCGGTAAAGTGCTTGTTATGCAACAACGATCACCACCACTGACAATGCCTTTTCATCTAGATTGTGCAACACAAATGCTGGCGTGAGAGTTTACTTGCGACCGTATTGAACTATACATTCCATTCACCCATCATTTTATGCATTCTTACCTTTATCCTATTTTATCGCATTTCAATGTCTCTCAAATCAACTCCATGAATATCAAAAAACCAGCTTCATCACACACTATACATATATCATCATCATCTTCATCCTATGCGGCGCCGTCCGTGCATGGGGCAAATAAGAAAGAAAAAGGAAGAGGGTCTTATTGGTACACCCAAAAAGTGCGTACACACACACATATACACACACGCATTGGTTACTACTACTACGACTCCTATTTAGCTTTTTTTGATCCATCCATATACATAAGCTCCTATTGATACAATAAAGATTTGTACTTGTGCCACGCACTTGCCATATGTTAATATGATCCAGGGTTTCTCTCTTCTCTCTCTTTGCTGTATGTGTGCATTCATCATTCCCCCTTTCTCCTTTTTCAACCATCTCGAGCGAGATCATGATCATATAAAAAGAGTGAGCGCGATCATAATTGTATTCTGTCAAACCATGTCAGCCTCTGCTCAAGCGTTAAACAAGAAACCTTTTTTGGGTCATTTATTTCGTACAAAGACCAAGCACATGCATTCTTCTTCTCTAAGTTCAACACGCGACTGCTGGACCCATTGTCATGATCCATATGAACCACCAACAAGCCTCAAGGCACGTCAAGAGACTTTGGACAAGTTGTGTGGGATCATTCCATCCACTTCCACTTCTACACCACGTCGTCCACGCGTAGTAGTACCAACGACAACAACATCAACACCCTCTTTGCGAAAATGTGCTTCATCTCATAATCTACGACGAGCGGCAGCTGCAACAGCAACCACCACCACCCGTCATCATCAACCATCTACCGATGATGATGATATGCCTCTTGCTATGATGGTGATGAAACCTTCCACAAGTACTACTTCAAGGACCAGAAGGAAACAACCACCCAAGGTGGTGGATGATGATAATATCCCCATTGCTCTTGCACGGAGGAGGTTGCAACAACCAACAGCAGCAGCATGTTATTAGAACTATTGTGAAATAAAATTACTTTATCGTTTTAATGAAACTCTTTGTGTAAGGTGGACAGTGCACGACGAAAATATGCATATGACACGGAAGAATGGAGAAAGGTGTATGTGTGTATGGGTTGGGAAATGATTGGTTCAGGAATGTGAAAGGTCCAAGGGAGAGGAGAGAGAGAGAGCATGTGCAAGTAAATAGGGATGAGCGCTAATGTGACCCCATCCCTTGGATATTCTTCTCATTGTGTCTCTCTCTCTCTTTATCGTGGTTTCGGCGTTCAATCCAAAAAAAGAGGTCAAGACACGAGAAATTGAAAGGTCTTGGGTGGCCCATGCGTAATGTATCCAAAAGATCATCATCCTACATTGGCGCGCGCACCTGCTACTACGACAATTCCACTTTTCAACATGATGGGTTGGTGATGGATCTTCATGCCATGCACAGACACAAAACAGCAACATTTTTTAAGACAACGAAACTGAGGAGGTGATATGAATGTTTTGTGTGTGCACAGAGCTTGACGATGAGTTGTGCCCTTGGATGCAAGCTTGTTTTTTTTTGTATATGGCTATAACCATATCTCATAACCAAAAATTCAGACGCTTGAATGGGACCTGAAAAGGAGAAATGCACACCTCCTCCTCCTCATCATCATCATCCACACCCCCAGTTGGCTATAACATGCGACAAGTTCTACTTGCATTTGCCCTTTTTTTACGCCATAGATGATATTACCTCCTTACGAGATAGCCAAAAAGAGATGATTGTACATATCAAATCTGCCACACCTTTATATGTCAAGTATCAGCAACAACAGCACATGGGATGGAGTATGCATGATTGTGTAACATTTACGGATGAAAAGCATGTCTCATGGCATTCGTTTCCAAGCTCTATGTATCTCTCCCTTGGCGTGCTCATTGTCCACCATAATAAGAGATTTATCCTTCTTGTCAAGTCGTATGCATGCGTGTAGATGGTTGCTGTAATAGGCAGCTATGATGAAATCACATTCTTTGATCTTTATGGTGATTGGACAAGAATGACCGTTTGCTGTAATCCTAGTCAACTTGATTCGTGCAAAGGAGGATGAAGCCAAAGCAGTTGACCTTGTAGACGACCATGTATAGTAATACCAAGAGCTGCGGCAGGAGGTGTCTTTATTGTATGAAGGTATAATGGTAATTCGATTACTACTACTACTAGCTACAACCAATAATAGAAATAAAAGCTCCAGATGTTGACAGCAAGACGCTTTCAGGATCATCGTGGATACCAAGGAATTAAGGAATCAAGGCCATTGGGCGGGTCCAATCTGTGGGATAGAAAATTTAAAGGTAAGCTGCTCAAGCTCATGATCGTAAGTGACTGACTTGGCGTAAATAGCCCAAGCCATAATTTTCTTCTTGCGCACACACTCACTCTCTTTATCGATCACCTTGCCAATGCGACCCATTTTACTCCAAGGACATACACGTTCGCTCACCCAGATCAAATACAATCGTGAGGGCGATTTGCTCTTTTCTGTTTCCAAAGACAAGATTGTCAATGTTTGGTACTCGCACAATGGTGAACGTCTCGGCACCTACAATGGCCATGTCGGTAGTGTTTGGACCGTCGATGTCAACTGTATGTTTCTCAATCCTCGATACAAACAACATGAGAGAGAGAGAGCTCTATGCTAACACAGTGTGAATAGCAACGACAACCATGTTGGTCACGGGATCAGCCGATAACACAGCTAGACTTTGGGATGTGCAAACAGGCCGTTGCCTGAAGACCTGGGAGTTCAAGACAGCCGTCAAGCGAGTCGAGTTCAGCGAAGATGATACCATGATCTTGTGCGTTACTGAAGAACGAATGGGTTATTCCGGCACTATTACAGTCTTGCCAATCAACACCAACATTAATGGCGAACGTGAGTAAAAGCAAGGATCTCTTTATGTGTGTATGTGTGGAAATGCTCATTCGAGTCTTTATGATATAGAATCCAATGAACCTTTAGCTCAAATTGTCAATGATGGAGCCAAGGCTGTCGTTGCATCATGGGGTTACTTGAACAAATATATTGTGAGTGGCCATGTGGATGGCTCTATCTGTCAATGGAACTGGAAGGTAACGTATATATGAGGAAGAGTGAGAGAGAAAAGAATACTAATAAGGGGAATGGGCGGTTTTTTTTTCTTTAGTCCAATGAAAAGCTCAACTCGATCCAACCACACGAAGATGTTATTGCCGATATGCAAATGAGCAGCGATCGCACCTATTTCATCACCTCTTCCAAGGATAAGACCGCAAAGATTTTCGATTCCAACACCTTGCAACATCTCAAGTCTTTCACCACGGATGCACCTCTCAACTCTGCTTCGATCACACCCAAATATCAAGAATTCGTCATTGTCGGTGGTGGTCAAGATGCCATGAACGTCACTACGACATCTGCTAGAGCTGGTAAATTCGAATGCCGGTTCTTCCACAAGATCCTTGAAGAAGAAGTGGGTCGAGTGCGTGGTCATTTCGGTCCTATCAACACAATCGCTGTTCACCCCGATGGCAAGAGCTATTCAAGTGGTGGTGAAGATGGTTACGTTCGTGTACATCATTTTGATCCCGATTATTTCAAGTTCAAGCTCGAAGCACAGGCATAATTTTTCTTTTCAAGTCAACAAAGAACCCAATTCTATATTTCATGAAGTGCGCACACGCGTGTGTAGGGGTGGTGGTAGTGATGGAATAGTAGTAGTAGTGGTCAATAGGCGCGAGCGAGAGAAAATCACGCACGCTAAAAATGTAAATGCATGTTCTGTTACTAATATAAAATGCAAAAGAAAAAAAGTTATATCATATGCACAAATGGAGGTGAAAAGAGTGGGGCGGATTGGCTATAATGTGCTCCCGCTTAGGATGGGAAGGAACTACAAAGAGAAAGAGAGAGATGGGTGAGACGAAAGAAACGTAAACATGATCCCTCCCCCTCCTTTACACTTACATTGCCAACGACGACACTTGGCAAATCAAAAATATCACGTTTGATGGTGAAGCAGAAACTACATGGCACCGGCCTATACGTGGGACTCATGAGAATGACGGACATGTAAACCGAGGATTCCGTATCACTGAAAGCGTGTTCTCCATATTTCTCCCAGTATTCAATCACTGAACCATTATCCATAAGCTACATACAATCAACGCATATGAGTATTGATACGTTGTTTTCCTTTCCTTTTTTGATGCTTACCTCGTAAATGAATGTCTTTTTGTCAAGTAAGGCTTCTTTACTCCATTGGGTGAGCAATGAAAACTCCTTGCCCACGAGTACAATCTCGCCTGTCCTCCGCCAAACCGCTGTGGGTGTACCTGAAAAGCTGATAAGCTTCTCGTATTCCTGTTTTCATTGTTAAATGGCTGATGCATGTACAAGAGCGAGAATGAGATCTTACCATCAATGTGCGTTGTACACATTTTTCCATATAAATCAAATCTTCCTCTGTTAGGCTGACCATGGTGGAAATAAAAGAAGGTCGAAACATGGCCAATGCACGAGATATCCGCATTAATTCATCTTGTCCCATCCTATTACACACACACACATAGCGCATTGTGAGATCTTATTATCCCCCTTCCCAAAATGTGAGATAACTCGTCATGCCGATACCTTCGACGCACATGCTGGAATAGGTAATGATATCCTTCTGCATAATTGAAAGGTGCTTTGATGCGAGTATACGTTTCCTCGGGTGTACTTCCAACCCCTTTTCGACGTTTGATGGTTTTGTTTTTAGCGAGTTGATCCAATGGGGATGTTGCTGTTGTTGGGTGGGTCACTCGTGGTGAAGCGGTATCAGAGGATGCAGATGCCATACTAGGCGAGTTGTTGCCACGCATCATGACCATATCACTTGTGTTGGAATCAAATGTATGGCCTAGATAGGATATAGCGGATTGGGGTTGTGGTTGTTGTGGTTGTTGATCAAGCACGCCGTTGAGTTGCAACATGTTGGATAAAACACCGTATTCGAGATTGGCCGATTCGGACCCAAATCCATAGTCGTTCCCAATATTGATCAGCTGGGGATCAAATCCTCCTAAAGACGATACACCCACACACCCACCCACACAACACAACACATGCAACGTATGAGTCCCATCAATACGCAAAGATAAAGTATGCCCCTATTACCTGGATTAAATCGTTGTTGATCAAAGGATGCCGATAATGATTGTGGTTCAGAAGGTGTCGATGCTGCTGGAGAAGCACTTTTGCTGTATTCATCATCCTGAAGATACTTTGCTCGTTTCCTTGTGCCGTCAGTGCATGTGCTCTCTAAACCTCGTTTGATACACCTTTGACAGGGTCGAGCTATAGGAAACAATAAACGTTGGTAACCGGGAAAAAAGTAGTACGCTTCCTTGGCTTACAATCATCGCAAGTCAAATGTGCCTTGAATCCAAACAAGGGATCAGGGAGTGTCCAATGTCAGTAATGAAAAAAATACAAAGCGTAATGCGTATTTCAAGATACCTTTTGGCAGTGGGAGCATGCTCTTGTAGCTTTTTTCCTCCGTGGTTTTGTTGTAGTCTGGCCTTGGTTCATATTTGCTGGTATAACCACCTCGACAACGGTTGTTCTGGTCAGGCTAAATGACTCACCTGGGATTGAATTCCATGGGCAGCAGCAGCAAAGATCTCCATGATCTGCAGGATTCATCATTTGTTGTCATCTTGCCATGTAAACAACCACTCCCCACTTTAGAGAAATGCTTTTACAAGATAGAGAGAGAGTTATACAGCTTGAATTAAAGTGCAATATGCCAATCCTATTAAAGTTATCTACTTTTAGTTGGGCATCTTATTATAGATGTTGTTGCATGTCGCATCCATTAGACTTGAAAAGGCGCACGGACATCCATCACCTGCTTCCGAACTAATCACAGCCTTAGATTCCAAGTAGTATTTTTTCGCTCATCACTTATAGCGTCCACCCATCCTTATTCCAATGCAACCCAAGTCTATCGAGTCCCTTTACATAAAGTTAGCACCACTCACCCACATTTGATCAAAAGCAAATGATGATTGATTATGCATGTAATGATGTCATGAATGATCAAGGTCATCATCCAGGTACGATGATAAACACACGTTGAGACAAGCACTAAACGCTAGTAGTATATCCATTGAACACTGGTGAATGTATCACAATCACTCCATTGGGTCGTACATGTATTCGTACAACAGCGCACACACATAATAGATGGGGTTGTAAACAGGATATATCTCTATTCTGTCTTTGAAGAGGGGGTAGTTCCACACAATATACAAGATGGGGGGGGAGAAAAAGATTTACAGCTGAATCAAAGAGTAGACAGGGGCATCGAGCTTCTTGGTACCATTCAAAAAGGCAAGCTCCATAACGAAAACATACTCGACAGTGATGGCTTCGGATTTCTTGACGAGTTCACCAGCAGCTCCAGCAGAACCACCAGTAGCAATCAAATCATCAATGATAATGACACGAGCGCCAGGCTTGATAGAGCCCTTTTGCATTTCAAAGATATCCTACAATACATACATACCCCATATCAGCAAGGAACATCACTGATAATCCATCTCGTTTTTTACCTCTCCATATTCCTTTTCATAGACAGCGGATACGCACTCGCCAGGAAGCTTTCCTTGCTTACGAACAGGAACAAAGGCAGCACCAAGACGCATGGCGACCAAAGGACCAAGCAAGAAACCACGAGCATCAAGACCTTATCATCCATACTTCCATTTAGCATTATCACTCCTTGAATAATCTTCCCTATCATCACTTACCAACAACGGCGTCAATCTTTTGTTCATAGGTCGAGTTGATATGGTGGACAATGTTGCTAATCAATGCCTCGACAGCAGTGGGATCTTGAAAGACAGGGAAGAGATCCTTAAAGACAATGCCCTATGCAAGGATATAAAAGTAAGCTCCCGTATCCAGGACACTAGCGGAATGGGCAAGTTACCTTCTTGGGGAAGTCATTGTGGGTACCGAGGAGGTTCTTGATGCGCTCAATGTCGTGGTTGGTCATTAGGAGAGATAGAGAGAGAGAGAGAGAAAAGAAAGGGTGTCGAGAGATAAGGTGGAGGGAGATGATGGGTGTGTGTCTCTTATCTAGTGGCTTGTCGGTCAGCAAAACCCAAACCCGATTCTTCGAATGCATGCATAAAGTTGAACACAAAGGCTGCACACATTGAGCAAATTCTTCTTGTTTAAGAGTTTAGGTTCATGCTACTTGTTTCGCAAAATGTCATGTTAGGTATCAACCTCCTAGCAACACTACTTGACAAGTATCCATTCCAATGACTTTAACAGGGTTGCCATAGCAACCTGCCGATAGATCCCAGGAACAACAGCCGCCACCATCGTAACACCGAGATGCTTCTTTGAGTAGTAGCTACTGCCATCACCCGTCCCACATCCTCCTCCACTCTAGTAACAATACCCGATACACGAAACTAATAGGTACATCCATAAACGCTTGTATTTTGTTACTCTAGCAAATATATGTATACATGTATATTATCCTTTGTTCCCACGATTGCCTATCGATAAAGTAGCAGCAGCCCATGAATAAATGTACAACCACCACCATCATGCTCCCTTTTACTTACCCCATCCTTTAGGATTGGCTTCCACAAATTCATCCCAATTCCGTTGACGCATGGTCTCTGCATCTTGTGCCTCATAGTCATTGTCATCAATCTCTTTCTTTTCTTCAGAGGGTGGTTCGCCACTAAGAGTACATGCCGTTGAGTACCATGTCTTCTTGCATGAATCACACAACTTTACTTACCCGCCACGAATAATGTTGCCACGTGCCTCCTCTTGAGCAAGATAATCATCAATGGACATGGTTGGTAAACTCCATCCAGGACGAAATACTTGATCCTTGAGAGCCTGTCGTTTGTTGGTAATGACAAAGGGTTGTAAAGGTCGACCTTCTTTGGAAAGCAAAGGCTTATCTCTTCCCCAAGTGGATGGCCTCATATCGGTGCGTGCTGTTTGTTCATCTGAGCGACCTGCTGTTGAAGACATGCGTTGCCGATCCTCTGAGATGGCTTCCATTTCTTTGACCATAACAAGCTCTTGATCAATCGAGTGCAAATGTTGTAAAGCTTTCAAGATATGCAGCTGGATAAGGGCAAGGACCCAATCACGTTCGATATCATCTTTATCTTCATTCTCATCCACATTGAGTCGTTCACGAAGTTCACGGATACGTTGTTCGGTTGCTTTTTCTCGTTTAAACATTTCAATCTTTTGTTGTCGTTGTTGTGCAGGCGGAAGTGATCGGTTGCTAGAGCTACTGCTGTTGTCCACGGATCGTTTATACGCTTCCAAATCGGCTCCTGATAACAGCTGATGCTCCTCACACGCATTCATATAGGTATTGAAATGGTTCTTCATATAATAAACTATCAGATAACGAACAAGCTGGTTTGCATCTACATCGACGGTTGGTTTACCTTAGCAGCTTCAAGTATGTGTCGTCGACTCTTGTTGCGATCGGTGACCTTCAACGTCAAATCGCCCAGATACACAGGTATGAGAAGGAAGCGCATGTCGTTAGGACTCATGTCGTCTATTAACTCGTTGGAACTGAAAATGGCGAGCTGATGGACGAGATCGTGAGCCCTTTCAAGGCGTGAAAGCGCATCGTGTACTTTGGCTTGGTATTCGGGATCGATGCTGGCAAGCGTTGTGTCTTCAAGCTCATTCAAGATGGTCTGGCCACTGATAAACAACTCGCCAAGAGAAGCATTGTTGAGATCCATGGTTTCTTTAAGGGTATGAATGTGGGACAAAAAGATGCGCGCAACCGTAGATGAAATGCGTGTCGTGTTACCATTCAATCACCCGACCCATCCCATTGACGTTCTCTTCTCCCAATCTGGTATAGGCATATCTTTGTAAGCAAGGCCATCGTGTTGGGGAATGATCATTAGACACAGTGCCATTCAAGTACAAGGAACGCACAAAACGTCCAAGAGCATACACACGCCTGCTGCTATGTCATGTCATTGGATCATCATTGCTACTATGTGCTTAAGAGTGTTAATTGAATGATGCGTACAGTACAGTACCACTTAAAGAATAAAGGGCATTCTAACAATGACAGCTCTCTTTGTAAAGCATGCATGTATACATTAATGAGTACAATAACCTATTTATTGATGATCAAAAAGATACGTATGATGATAGCAAATGAATGTCATTGTTTAATGAGGATATTGTTGAGTCTGTGAGCTGTGGTACATACTTGCTGCTCCATGCGTACCAGCTCATGTACATATTCTTGGCTTTCTCGCCTAAACAAATGAATACATGAAGTCATGATCGCTTTTGTAAACATTACCCAGAGTATAGGCAGTTATTACGATCATCAAGTCCTTCTCTTGGATGATTAATTTTGAAAGCATGTCCGTTCCTGGCCTGTGGCGATGACACGGTGACGAAATCTTATAGCTAAATCGCACTTGTCTGATCGTATATCCTTGCTTTGCTGTAGTACTAGTTGCTTATCGTTCACATCGCGTTTCTTCCATTCGAAAGCTGATAGATCGCATGGAGCGTCTTTTGTAAGTGCGTTTAACATTTTCTTCCATACAAATTTGCTGCTAATTTATGCCGTATTGTTGTCGGATTCACGCTTGCGCTTCCCTTGTACAGTAGCTTGTGCAGTCGCTTTACCTTTATGGTATATTCGTCTGTCAGTACCAGCACTACCACATATGCTTTCTCTTCAACTTACGTCTTCCCCAAGAGATTGGTCCCCACGTAGAAGAATTTGGGATACTGGTATGATTACTGACACATAATCGTTTTCACTTCTTTTACTACGGGTATCCAATTTGGAGAACTCCTCCACGTTGTTGATCCTGCGCGTAAACGATACAAGAATACGTATATCATCCCCATGCGGGCTGTCGTATAATATGCCGCCTAATGCAACACTTCAGGTGCATCTCGCGAGGTAGCTACATCAAAAGGAACATGATATGTATATGATTACATGATTCATCAAGCGAGGTGATTAGGTTTTACCTTATTAAAAGAGTCAAGCATCACAATGACAAGTAGGAAGACGGAAGCACTAAGATAACAATGAAACCTTATCGACCATCACAAAGCTTAGCACATGAATCGCCCACAAAAGGGTATCAGCCATGATGCTCACCAAGAGCTTTGAGGGTGTCAGCAACCAAGAGTGATATGATGGGAAGAAAGAGGTGGGTGGGAGAAAGCGACGGGCGACAACATTCATCTTGTTTATATCTGCATTGCTGGGCGTGGGTATTTCTATGACCACAAAGAGTGATAAAATGTATGTTGATAATGATGATGAGTCGATAAATTGAAGGGAGGGACTTGGTGTGATTGATTGTACATGCATAAATCAGTAGATGGGGTGGCGATTTCCATCATCCAACAATGGCATCGCTTTAGCTGATAGCGTGATACCCCAAATATTACGTTGAATCCAATTCTCATTCAATGAAAAAGTTGAAGCATGACACTGTGAACTTTATCAAGTGAATATGAAAAAGAAACAGTGTTGCAAATTGAAGAAGACATGTAAATGATTCGCCATCCAATCCATCATCATCACCCTCAACCGCATCCACGTGATATGATCTATCCTTCCTGCTGACAATGCACCAAGTAGCCAAAGCAACATTCCAGGATCCCTCATCACTGCACTTGATTCCATCCATCCATAACCATTTCAACTCCAACATCCTTGGTGAAAGAACCATCTATTCGTTGCCAATACACTGCTTTTTCCTTTCTCATTGCAACTCAACCGGATGCAGATTGCTTGTATTGCTTGATGGCTGATATGGCATCATCCAAACTCAACATCATCATCACGTTGCCAAGGAAACCAATCCTGTCAACATACACAATTCCTTCCATCCCATGTACTAAAGCAGTATCCAAATCCAAATTCATATCCATAGGAACTTGTATGTATTGAAAGCAAGTTGCTACACGTAAATAAAGCTGCTTCTATATGATGGCTACCTGCTATTCACGTGAAAAAGGCTGTATAGCAGGTTGCTGCAAGTAAAGAACGCTGTTGGAGACCATGGAGTAAAGACTTACTAATAGCAACTGTTGGAATGAATGCTGTTACGGTTGGTTGCGGTAGAAGAGTGGACAAGGGAAGGGGTTGTGCCAAGAGACTCGTGTGTTGTAGAAGAGTTTTGAGTTTTATTCAACGCACGTCCAAGAGCGGTACGGAGAAGGAGTTAAAAGATTGCGTGTATCTAAACGCTGAACTATGATATGTTGGACTTGAGCAAAAATACGTTGAGGCATGAAAGGCGTGTGATCGAAAATCCATCGCCAGTGAGCTTTCCATAGTGTCTCCAGCGTAATGGCCACAACGGTGGAACTGGAGATGGTTGGCGGACTGGGAGGAAATTGGAGATGATGGAGAGCTTGAGAGACAACGTGGGGGAAAAAAGGTTGCATTAACACCTCGCGCCAAACAAGGGACCACACCTCCCGTTTCTTGAAGCAACCGAAGAGGAAATGATCCAATGTATCAGGTTCAGAAGTGCATAAGGTGCAAGTTGGTGATGGGAAGGACTCCGGAAGATACTTATGAAGCAGGGTACGACATGGCAGCTTGTGATGTAAGGAGCGGTACCAAACGTTTCTTGCACTTGTGGTCCAAGACAGGCTCCAAAAGTGGTTCCAACGAGATGGTTGTAGTGGAGGAGGAGAGTCTTGGTGTGCAAACGATTTGAGGATGAGGGATTTGCGGAATGGCTTGTGTTGTAGAAGAGTGACAAAAAGGCTGTGTACACGCCATGGACTTGCCATTCAGTCAAAGACAATCGGATCAAGAGAGTTGTAGGATTGACATGGTGAGCTGAAGCAGAGCAAACGCTCGTAGATGGTAGCTGTACTTGAATGGGGCCAACAGATGAGAATGGGAAGAAGAGGCAAGAAGTTGCGGGTGGAAGAACCGGAAATTAAAATAGATTCTTGTGGTGTTGGATGACATTTCTTTGTTCGACCATTGTACAGTCAAAACCACTCGGACCAAGAAGGTTCAATGATGGGCATGATGGGCTGGAGCAGAACAATCGTTCACATGCATTGTATTGGGTAAAAAAGGTGAATGGGAGGAATGGGCTATTAGCCGGCAGTTTTACGAATAACTAACCAAAATGATCTTTGTGAAATTGGATGATGTTTTGTGTTTGAGCGTAACTCAACCAAATCCACCGGGATCAAGGAAGTTGAATGATGGGCATGATGGTCTGGAGCAGGACAATCGTTCATATTCATTAGTTTGGGTAACAATTGTGAAAGGGAGGAAGTGGATATTAGCTTCCAATGATGAGCTGTTACTGAATAGTGTATAGCGTACCATACGTTGACCCTTCCAGTCATGCAAATCGGCTGGGTTACACAAAGAGGTCCTTCTGCATCTTTGGCTCTCCAGGGTCAAGCTACTTTACATTAAACAAAGACCACTCTTCATACAGCATCATGCTTACAGCATAGGAAAACATAAAGGTGTCTGTATCTCTAAACTTTACAATCAAACGTGGAGTCTTTAATAGAACAAAGCTGCTCGGCGGGGTGAAAGCGATCTTGTGTCAAAGTATGAAGTCGATCGTGGCCGATCCCAGATTTGCCCATTGTCGCTACCAGCCAAATTGGATTGAGTCGACCTCCTGAATTTTTTTTCGACGACGACGAAAATATTTTTTTGGCTGGTAGCGACATTGGGTGAATCTGGGAATGGCCACGATCGACTTCATAGTTTGACACAAGATCGCTTTCACCCCGCCGAGCAGCTTTGTTCTATCAAAGACCCCACGTTTCATTGTAAAGTTCGGAGATACAGGCATCTTTATGTTTGTAAGCGTGATGCTATATGAGAAGTGGTCTTTGTTCATTGTCAAGTAGCTAGATCTTGGAGAGCCAAAGATGCAGAAGGACCTCTTTGGATAACTCAGCTAAAAAGTTTGGACTTCAGGGACCTTGCATGACAGGTACGCAATCCTCATTTGGAATGCATGCATTGGCAGCTAATAGCCACTTTTGTGCATTCCCAACTTTTGTGCATTCTATTGTAGGTGGACGATGCTCCTGCTCTAGACATTCATTTCCATGATTAAAGTAGGTTGATCCGAGCTGATTTGGTTGAGTTACGCTCACACAAGATTACTTCAGTTGGGCTACATCGAGCGTGCTTTATGTCCAGAGTGATGTAATCTCTCTTTGACCACAGCTCAGTCAAATCAGCTCGTATCAACCTACTTTAATCATGGAAATGAATGTCTGGAGCAGGGGCATCGTTCCCATGCAGTAGATCTCGCAACAATGATGATTGGATAAAAGTGGCCGTTAGCTAGCAATACATGCCTGTTCCTAAATGATCCATAAAGTAATTATACATTGACCCTTTCATTCATGCAAACGTAGTTGTGTTACACAACACGACCCTCTGCATCTTTTGCTCTGTCAGGGTCCACCTACTTTACATTAAACAAAGACCACTTCTCATATAGCATCACACTTACAAACATAAAGGTGCCTGTATCTCCAAACTTTACAATGAAACGTGGGCTTTTGAATAGAGCAATGTGCTCGGCTTGGCCAACAGCACCTTGTGTGAAAGTTTCACGTTCAATGTCGCAACTAGCCCAAAAAATATTCTTTGGTCGTCGAAAAAAGTTTCAAGAGGTCGACTCGTTTCACTTTGGCTGGTGGCGACATTGCCAAATCTGGGATTGCCCACGATGAACTTCATACTTTGACACAAGATTCCTTTGACCCCGACGAGCACGTTGATCTATTAAAGACCCCACGCTTCATTGTAAAGTTTTGAGATACAGGCACCTTTATGTTTTACATATGCTGTAAGCATGATGCTATATGTAGAGTGGTCTTTGTTTATTGTGACGTAGATAGACCTTGATAGAGCGAAAGATGCGTAGGGGCGTGTGTATGTAACAGGGCAAAGAAGATAGAACTAAAGGATGAATGCATGATTACTTTATGCATTATTTAGTACAGCCATGTATTGCCAGCTAATAGCAATTTCCTCACAACCGATGCTTGTTGTCCACTCTATGACATGTGAACAATGCTCCTGCTCCAGATGTTCGTTTCCATGATTCAATTGCCTTGATCCGAGCTGATTTGGCTTAGCTACGCCCAAACAAAGGTACATCAGTTGACGTAGTTAGTGGGTGTTGGATGTGCCTAACCGATGTAACTTTGTTTGGGCGTAGCTAGGCCAAATCAGCTTGGATCAAGACAATCCAATCATGGAAATGAACGTCTGGAGCAGAAGAATCGCTCACATGTCATAGAGTGGACAACAGTGCCGATTGTGAGGAAATGGCTGATAGCTCGCAATACATGGGCTATTGTCAATGGTATACAGTATCATCCTTCCATCCTTCCAGTCATGCAAAGTAGCTGAGTTACCCAAAGAGGTCCCTCTGATCTTTTGCTCTGCTAGGGTCCACCTACTTGACAATGAACAAAGACCACTCTTCATATAGCATCACGCTTACAAACATAAAGGTGCCTGTATCTCCAAACTTTACAATGAAACGTGGGGTTTTGAATAGAGCAATGGGCTCGGCTTGGCCAACAGCACCTTGTGTGAAAGTTTCGCGTTCAATGTCGCAACTAGCCCAAAAATATTTTTTTGGTCGTCATTGTCGAAGAGGTCGACCCCTGGATCCAGTTTGGCTGGTAGCGACATTGCGAAATCTGGGATTGGCAAGCTTGATCGTGAAACTGGCACCCAAGGTGCAGTTGGCCAAGCCGAGCACATTGCTCTAATAAAAACCCCACGTTTGATTGTAAAGTTTGGAGATACAGGCATCTTTATGTTTGTAAGCGCGATGCTATATGAGAAGTGGTCTTTGTTTAATGTAAAGTAGTATGGCTATAATAGAGCAAAAGATGCAGAAGGACCTCTTTGGGTAACTCAGCTAAAAAGTCAGGACTTCAGGGACAATGCATGATATGTACACAACCGTCACTTTTATGTCATACAATGGCAGCTAATAGCCACTTTTATCCAATCAGCATTGTTGCGAAATCCACGTGATGGGAATGATGCTCCTGCTCCAGGCATTCATTTCCATGATTCAAGTAGCTTGAGCCGAGCTGATTTGGTTGAGTTACGGTCGAACAAGGATTAATCAGCTGAGACATTCGAATGTATGCTGATGTATGCATTGATGTAATCTCTCTTTGACCGTAGCTCAGCCAAATCAGCTCGGATCAAGATAATTGAATCATGGAAATGAATGTCTGGAGGAGGAGCATCGTTCCATTATGATGGAGTAGGCAAAAGTTGGTATTGTGAGGAAATTGCTGTTAGCTCGCAATGTATGGGCTATTGTCAATAGTATACAGTATCATCCTTCCATCCTTCCAGTCATGCAAAGTAGCTGAGTCACACAAAGAGGTCCCTCTGCATCTTTTGCTCTGCCAGGGTGCAGCTACTTGACAATGAACAAAGATGACTCTTCATATAGCATCACACTTACAGCATAGTGAAAACATAAAGACAGTCATATCTCAAGATTTTACAATGAAGCGTGGGGTTTTTAAAGAAGAATGCTGCTCGGCTGGGTGTAGTGCACCTTGTGTGGTAGTTTCACGTTCATCGTGGGCAACCCCAGATTTCGCATTGTCGCCACCAGCCAAAGTGGATCGACCCCTTGAAATTTTTTTCGACGACGACGAAAATATTTCTTGGCTGGTAGCGACATTGGGTGAATCTGGGATCGGCCACGATCGACTTCATAGTTTGACACAAGATCGCTTTCACCCCGCCGAGCAACACTGTTCTATTAAAGACCCCACGTTTCATTGTAAAGTTCGGAGATACAGGCACCTTTATGTTTGTAAGCGTGATCCTATATGAGAAGTGGTCTTTGTTCATTGTGAAGTGGCTAGACCAGGATACAGCAAAAGATGCGCAGGGACGTGTTTGTGTAACACGGCTCATTTGCATGACTGGAACGGCCGATGCATCATGCTTTATGCACAAGTCATCATTGGCAGATAATAGCGTCTTCCTCCCATTCACCTTTGTTGCTAAATTTAATGCATATGAACGATTGTCCTGCTCCAGCCCATCACGTCCATCATTCAACTTTGCTGATCCAAGTGGATTTGATGTAACAACGCTCACACACAGAAGTGTCATCCAAAAGCACAAAATCATTTTGCAAAGTTATTTGTAAACTGCCACTTCATAGCCCATTCCTCCCAATCATCTTTGTTTCCCAATCCAATGTATGTGAACGATTCTACTGTTCCAGCCCATCATTGCCATCCTTCAACTTTCTTGATCCAAGAGGATTTGACTGAGTAACGCTCAAACACAGAAGCATCATCCAAGCATCAGAAGAATCAAGTTAATTTCCGGTTCTTCCACTCCCACCTTCTTCCCTCTTCCTCTCATTCTCAACCGTTAACCCATTCAAGTACAACTACCACCTGAACAATTGCACTGCTTCAACGCATCATGTCAATCCTACAACTGCCTTGATCCGATCGTCTTTGACTCAATGGCAAGTGCATGGCGTGTACACAGCCCACCACAACACCCGCGTTTCTTGACACTGCACCTTCTCTTGTACATTCCTCTACCACGATCAATCGCAACGACGTCCATTCAAGCAGCTGCCAATAGCTAGGCTCTTCGTCATTGTCTCGAGCAGCGTTCTTTACTTGCAGCAACGTGTCTTGCAGGTTTTTCAAGCGAACAGCAGCTAGCCATTGTATAGAACAGCTTTATTTACTTGTAGGATATTGTTTCAATACATACGACTTCTTACGGATATGAATATGGATATTGATTTGGTATATGGGATGGAAGGAATTGGATTCATACAACGTGTGGAAAAGGAGAAGTGTATCTATTGTCGTGACCATTATGCATGATGCTATCATCTTGGATGATTGGTGCATCCAGTTATCGTACTGTATAGGGTGTCCCATGGCAGCTACTACCATCATCCTTTGTACAACCTGTCAACCATGTACAACCTTCATCACCCAGCTCCTGTGTTTTGACGCGCTATGCGTATAGCTCAACAACTGAAGTCGATCCATTTACCTTCAAGCAATGCACGCACAAAGGATAGAAGCTTCCCATATCGATACACCCCATTGGAGTACCACCTCGTGCCCACTTTATCGTTTGTGGATGATGTTGGATTAAAGGGTTACTTTAGCAAATAAAGCATTGATTTGGCCAACCATTTCCCAGTTTCTCTAAGACCTTCCTTCATATCTAAGTTCTCTTTTGTGATTGAGATATTGTATGGGTTGTTATTTCATTATGAATATACACATGAACAATGGATTGGTATAATTTTCTATACATCGACAACTAGTACATCTTCTTCATTTTCATCCAAGTAGCCCTTCAAATCGAGTGTTTGGTTCCCCATGTTGATCAGACAACTGCCTCCAGCAAAAGTAACACCTATATAAGGGGACAGCATGTTGACACCCTCATCCTTACTATGTATGACCCCTTCCATGCCAAAATTTACCTCTTTCTGTGCCAATACGATTGGATGCTACGAAACATACTTCTTCTTCGCCAATCACCAGGGGTAAAAGTCGTTGCACCCAGTAACGAATGGTGGATAAAACATCACCGCCTTTGACCCAGGACATGCATCCAATCACCAGCCGTGTCTTTTTAGTAGTATGGAACCTTGCAAACTCATACGCTGTGAAATCGGCTTTGAATTGATATGGATTGATATCCATGCATATGGCAAATCCAACCTACATTGTTTGTGATGAGTGTAAAGTCAACATGATGGTAGAATGCTGCGCACCTTTCCAAGTCCTTCAATCTCCAGTGATTCAAAGCCAGGTCCTTCCAATGCCCAGTATTCATCATTCTTGTAAAGAAAGGCTTTCCTATAGGTCTTCACTCGTTCGCCCTTGGGATTGATGCAGCATAGGCTGTTGTAGCACTTGCCATCTACATCCGCAGTATGAGCTTACTATGCGTCCATTACACACCCTGGATCGTAACTTTTACCTTTTGTACGCTCCGGATAACCCACTACGACAAAGCTTTGTAATCGAACAGCTATAATGTATATGTACATCAGTAAAAGGGATGATGATGATGATGATGATGATGGTGTATGTTGTGGTCTTGCCTTCTTTCTTTGCCCACATGACAGAAGGTCCTGTTTCTTCATCCTCCAAATACGGCTCAATCTCTTCACTCGATTCAAATACGTAGCCTATCCACTTCCAAGTTAGTATATGAACATACACATGGATCCCCACTTCCTCACCTGTGAAGGCCATTTCAGGAAGCACAAGTAGATCAATGTCTCCAGGTCCATAGCTAAATGACACACACATTAGTTACAGCTCACAATAAAGGCAGTGATTCGATCGTTTACCGTTCCAATAAGCCATCAGCACGAGCCATGTTGGCATCTGTTTCGGCGAGTGTGGGATTGAGTTGACAGCATGCTGGCAATGAAGAAGAATGAGTTTTATGCAAAGTGTTGGTCGCTGTTCGTCGTCTCTTCATACCTATTTTCATTGTTGTGCGGGAAAAGGGAAAGAGGACAATAATGCAAGACGCTCTCGTATCATCCCAGAATGGTTGTTCATTATTTAAGGCCATTCAATGGACAATGTATAGCATGCTTTGGATGTGTGTGTGTGTCGAACCCATCGTATGAATGACGAAGAATAAACCAGCCCAGTGCCCCTTATCATCCTACTTTCGGGTGCCCATTATGCAAATCACACTTTCATTTTATCACGTGCAACGACCTCTTTTCCCATGTTTGAATGCATACACCAAAGACAATCATTGTTCCCATCACGTGGATTTGTAAGAGCTTTCATCAAGGTCGAGAACATGGCATTGGTGGTGACCGGGTAAACAAAAGCGAGACCTCAACCATTTTATCAAACCTATCATTCCTTGACATCTTTTTTCGTTATTTGATGTTTGACAGAGACGGATCTATCGAAACAAGAGATGATGGGTCTGGCAACACAGAGCAACTATCGATCCAGTATATGTGTGTGTGTGCGTATATGTGTAGAACAAAGATGAAAGCGGAGCAATAGTAGATGAACCATGATCCACAGCTCAGGGACCGACAAGATAAACAAGCACGTGCTTTTTTGTTTGGGGGGAGGGAGAAAAGGTATATGCAAAATAAAAAAGCGGGGAACTTATGGATAACGCGGGGTGAATTGTGTGTGCGTGTGAGAGAGCATTGTTTGTGTTAGCAATGGTGTGTGTCTTTTTTTATTTTGTAGTGCGCATTGTCTACCGATGATGGTTGGTACCAATGTTAAGTGAAAAGGGGAGGGGATCATGGGAGCTACCCATTGTTGTGTGCCTTGCAGCTGCTGTGTACATGTCGCACTTTTTCGTTCCTTGTAGATCCCGCTTCGCTTCTTCATCCACTGCTGCTGCTGCTGCTACCCTCATGTTGGCCCACTTATTCTTCTACAACACACACACATACAAGTCTACTTTTTGGCATCCATGCGTCTCAAGTGGGGCTTATTAATCAAAAGGTCGGGTTCATGATACACATTGTGATGGCCTTGATCCAAGATCTTGGTTTGTCCTTTGATTTTCCGCAGCTGGTAAAAAGATGGGGGAGAGAGATGTGAGCATACCACATACAATCAGCCAAGCAAAGCAGGAGCGGATGCAACCCTGTTTGCTACGCCGACAGTCTATACTCAAAGACACCTATCCATTCTTGGTTTTACTTGGCAAAGGACTCTTCCTTTACGTGTTACTATTCTATTGTCTTCCATGATCATGAAAATAAAGCCCTTCATTGTCCATTGTTTATGCATTTTCACTTTTTCTCATACACAGCATTACTTTTGCAACATTGAGACGATTGCCTTTTTTGATAAAGCCACCCAGCCTCTTGGGGGATAAAAAAAAGATGATGTGAGTACATGGGATCCCTTTTTGGTTAAACGCAGGGATAACTTATCGGTTCCGCCCGCTCCCGACATTATTTGGGATTGTCGCTGCTTGTTTTGCGTGGGTGTTTATGCTGCTTAAGTGTGTGTAATCAGAATTTTAACATTACACGAGCGGCGTGTCATGTCGGAAATGTGCGTCGGACACAAAGGCTCATTTGCGTTGCTTGTTCTACATTACGTAACTGGGGCATGGTAGAAAAAAGAAACCCATCTCACCCCTGGTAAAAGGTGAAAAGTGGGGTACGATGGGTGTCCGCGGGGAAAGCGGTACATTGGTGTACAATACAACATGTACATGTGCGTGTGTGTGTGTACCTATAAGAAAAACCATGACTTTGGTTTATAAGATGTGTGTTGTGCCTTGTTGTATACGTCACTGAGTTGCACTACCTTCAACCCTATGCTTAACACCCCCACCTCTCACAACAAAAACATTAACTTTAAGGTTCAAATATGCGCTCGAGCATTTTTACCATATGCGATGATATTTTTGGAATATCTCACCGTTTACAGAAAACAGACAGCAACGATCAAACCATTCCTCTTATGATGTGCCCCTCTCTCTTGATCCCTTTTCGGAGGATTAAGGGTAGGAAAAGGAGGAATGATGGGTGCTTACGGAGCAAATTCACTGATCTTTGATCCGTGTAATGCACGTTGTTGCTAGTGCCTATATGTGTGTGGCTCAGGCATATACTGTGATGTGTAATGGAACCTTATTCAATCTTGTCATTTTGCATTTTGCCGCGGCCTTCATCGTGTGAATGATCCAAACGACTATACCGCTTTTTGGTAAATCATGGGATGGTAAAATTCAAAAGCATGGCAGGAATGCAAAGAAAGGCAAGAAAAGATGGGGTGTACTTTTCGATTGTATACCAGGCTACTGGGCATGAAGAACACCAATTATCTACTATACTCAATTGAAGCTTGACGCTAAAATCATAAAGCCCAGCATCAGGTTTATTAGTATCAGAATCATAATATTGCTGCTTAGTGATCGCCGCGTGTAAAAAGACTAGCCTATACCATATCAAAAGGCTGCGAAAACTAAGATCCGGTCATCAAAGTGAGAGCGCGGGAATAGGGCTCATGGCTTGGATGTTAGTTTACAACATCAACGGTATGATTGTGTGTGAATAGGTCATTGTACTTGACAATCCCATCATGTGGCTAAGTATCATAAACAATACAATCGGGCTGTACCGAAAACTTAAATGCATGAACAAGCAGTCTATTAATATTGAAAACAAGTACACTTAATGTTCATGGGGGATCTGGGCACAGCCCATGATAAAGAATTACAGGGAAATAAGGCTATGTATACGGAAGAGAGGATAATTGCAATGATGGGTGGTTGTGTGAGGGTGTGTATAAGATGGTGTGTGAGGAGGTAAAAGGTGGGAGTGTATAGTGCGTGTGTTATGTGATAGAATGTATATGTATATAGAAGAAGCGATGAGCTTACTCATCGTCACCAGTCTTCTCGTTGGGCTGCGACTTTTCGTTGGGCTGCTGTTGCTTGGTAGCTGAAAAGTTGCTAGGCAAACGACGAGAGACAGGGCGACTGGCAATGCTTGGAACACGTTGAGATTCACGATCACCTTGAACCTTCTCGTCATAAGCGGAAGAGGCACCAATGGAAGGAGCAATAGACTTGGCATCTTCTTGAAGATCAGGAGTAGCGAACAAGACTTCAATTTCTTCAAGGGACTTGCCGTTGGTCTCAGGGTACCAAAGGTAGATAGGGATCAAGAAGAGAACGTTGAGGATACCAAACATCAAGAAAGTCCAATACTTGGCGTATTCGAAAAGAACAGGGGCAATCATGGCAACAACAAAGTTACCAAGCCAGTTGGCACCGGTAGACATGGAGTTACCCTTAGCACGCAAGGCAGTAGGGAAAATTTCAGAGGGATACAACCAAGCGAGACCCAACCAAGCGGCACCAAAGATGGCATTGTAGACCATGACAAAGCAAATGACAGCACCAGAGGCCTTGTCATTACCATTTTCGACGGCGTATTGAGCACCACCAACAATGATCAAAGTAATACATTGGCCGATCAAACCCCAGTACATAAGAGCACGACGACCAAAGCGATCAATGGTGTAGATAGGAGTCAAAGCACCAAGGAAATAAGGAATAGAGTCGACACCAGCCATCAACATGGCCATAGCGTGAGTCATACCGGCTTGCAAGAAAATATCGGTCAAGTAGTAAGAAATGACTATAAAAAGGGGGATGATGTATGAGTGCATCTGATCATAAAAAAAACTTTTGCCATGCATGCATATGCATGCACCCAATTGATAGGGATGATGATAGTGATAGATACGTACCATTGATACCACCAAATTGTTGCATAAGCTGACCACCCATACCGAGAAGCACACGATAACGGTTGTTGAGTCTGCCACGCTTGAAAAGTTCACGGTAGGACTTGATGCCTTCACGACGTTCGAGTTCGATACCATCACGAATTTCTTCCCACTCGGCAATGCAACGAGGGTGGGTAGTATCTTCATCGGTCCAAAGACGAGCAAGGACTTCCTTACATTCATCTTCCTTGCCATGGCTTTGCAACCAACGAGGAGATTCAGGAAGGAAGAAAGTACCAATGAAAAGAATGATACCAAAGAACATTTGGAAAGCCAATGGGAAACGCCATGCGACTTCACCTTGAGCAAAGTAAAGACCAAATTCAAGCCAATAGGCAATACCGACACCAAGAGCAAGAAGAGAAGCCTCAAAGGAAACGTGAGCACCACGATTCTTGGGTGGCGAAACTTCGGCTTGGTAAACAGGGATAGTGGCAGTGTTCATACCATTGCCAACACCGGTAAAGATACGAGCGAAAATCATCATGCCAACATTGACACTAGCAGTTTGGATAACGGCACCAATACAAAGAATAAAGCAACCGAGACGAATCATTTTACGACGACCAAGAATATCACCAAGAGTACCACAAGACAAGGCACCACCCATACAACCGATTTCGTACAAGGCGACGATGGCACCCATCAAAGCAGAGTTGTAATCTTCAGGGTTGGCCATACCCATATAGCCCTTGAAACTGTCATTGGCAACGACACCAGACATGACACCCTAAAAAGTGACATAACAATGTAAGTTTAAGAACAATGGATGATTTAATGATGAGGGTGCTGGATCATTTACCTGATCGTAACCGAAAAGCAAGAAACCAACACCAGCCATAGCGGTGGTGGCACGCATAAGCGTTTGTCCTTTAAGTCGTGTTATACCCATAGCGACGATAAAAGATTGTGATGAATGGACAAAGGGTAAAAAACAAAGAAGAAAAACGACCCCACATGCAATCCACCCTTTATATATCCAGAGATTTTAGGGACCCCTGATCCACCCCGCTGTGCGTTTTCTCTCGTTTGTCGGGATGAAAAGTGCATTTGCCCAAATCCAGCGAGTGACACAAACCACTGATGTCAGTATTGTCTTTTGCTGGAATGAAGCGGGAGGTTTTCATTTGTCAACTACAAGACCCTGTTGCAGATCCTGAAATGTCAGCCAAAGGTGTCTCATTCACTTTTTTTTTTCTATGCATATCGATGATGATGACAAATTTTGATAACCTTCAAAGCAGCAAAAAGAGGCATTGAGCAATAGGGTATGTGTGTGAGTGTGAGAACAAGCGATTTTCTGGAAGCCATGTACCCACACATTGAGTTTTATATGGAGAGTGTATATCCGTATTGTACTGCTTCTCAAATCAAGCTGCGTATAGTACGGCTGTACTGTGCTGCAATCGGATAGCGCGTCCAAACGTCGTTGCACCTCCCCCCAACGGGACCTAACCCCCCATTTTTTTGGGCCGCAGACTGGTCCCTCTGTTTTAGTTTCGTTTCGACACTCCTTTTGGCAACCTGAGTCGTTGTTCACTTTTTCTGTTTTCTGATGCCTAAACGGCTATCGTCCTGTTTCTCGGAGCCAGATCAAAATTGAGGCACGCACATACACATACACCACAAGACAAGTGTATCGAAGCGACACTGCAAGTTGTTTTATGATTTGTCGCCATCGCAACATTGATTATCCATAGCGTCATTGTTTTAACTACTCGCACAGCCCATGTCATGATAACATACAACACACACACACTCCATCGAAAAAATTTTCCCAGTGGCTCATTATAGAAAGTGGATGGTATATGGTGTACAAGTTGGTAAAAGCATGCGGGTGAGCATGACATTTTCACATGTCAGCGTAATGCCATAACAACATAAAGAGGTTCACACTCTTAGATAGACTTTGATACATAAAATCAAGCATCTCGGCTCATCAAGGCATCATTCCGGATAATGCTGCCTTTTTGCATTGAGTTGCCACTGTTGCTTTTAACCCCGCACGTGTGGGCCACCATTCGTTTGCATACAACAATAACCCATGAATCGGATCAAAATGAGGATGCGGGTGTTTAACAACCATTTTCATGTGTTACTTTTGGACCCAATGCTACTCGCATGGCATGTACCACCATCCTGTGTCTTAGGATGGGTGAGTCTTTTAGAACAAAGAGAAGAAAAGAATGTCTGATTTACATGCGTAAAAGCCATTCCAGACGAAAATTGTGAAACCACACCATCATTGAAGCGGGATTTACAGCTGAAGCAGGAGCATCTTTTTCATTTGGATGTATTAATAAAACATCCTTTTTCTTCGATGCATTTACCACATGGAATAGAACAAAGAAAACGTCTGTGATGAGTTTCGATCATGTTTGGGATTGATATCTATGTTTGTTCATGCATAGAAAAAGAGAAAAAGTCGCTAGCTGTCTCGGCTGGGTGCACAAAGCTTGTATGCGTAGATCGCTGTTACCATATATGGATAAACACTGACGACATTTAGGACGGCGAGAAAGTTGTTTTAAATTCGCTCTTTGAGATCCGTCTCTTTGGGATGGCCCAAGAACCCAAGCTTCAACTGGGATGAGGGCGAAAAAAAGGGGGGGGGACTTTCAATGTAAAAGGGAAGTTTGTTTTTTTTTGCTTACGTTTGACACCCACCAGTACCAAATGGCTGGTGCATGATGATGCATCATTCGTCGTTATTCTCAGCTTTATCTTTTTTGTCATGAAAATGATGATGATGATTGATTGCTTTGTAATAGTTACTATCATCACCATGAGCGTTGTTACTGAATAGATCGGGAAAGATTATCCATTTGGGCATCCTGAATTGCATTTCGGAATATAGTAGCCACAATGTCTCAGCTTCATACTTGCTATCGAGGCAACACAATGGGTTTCATGACATGCTAAAGGCATGTAGCTCCGAAAACCAGCCATGTCCCAAACAAACCACGACACCAAAACAAGTCGTACGATGATGCAAGAGAGAATAAGACAGACTTTGAACGATCGGCGAATGACGTATTCCCATTCCATTGTATGTTTGTCAATGTACATTTTATTTGGATAGACAACAACATACACACATAAACTCTGTTTGTAGCCATCAACATTACTACTACTAATAAGAAAAGGAGAAGTTCTATGTATGTGTGTGTGTGTGTGTGTTGGGATGTATGAGGGGGTTGGGATGTGAGATAAGGTGTTGGATTGCCCGTGACGTTGTATGGGCCGACCATGTCTGGTTTATTGCTGTGAGCGATAGCGAGCGACTTTATGCAAGGTCTTTTGACTCAGATTCCACATGTCGAATCGCTCACCACGCTCGCAATGTATCACGCCGAAAACTTCTGAATCACCTTCCCACTTGGATTCCTCTTCAATCGCTGCGAGAGCCTCGGAACGCGATCCCCATGAACCGGACATGCCAATGTCACCTGCATCAGACCGTAGTTCCCCACGTCCTCCTTTGTGGCCACAACATAAACGTTCTCTTGGTATCGATGTTCCTGGTGCTGTACGAAGCATCATCACGCCGAGTAAGTGTGTCTAGAACAAGCCATCATCATGATCATCACCATCCATACTCACACACTCACTTGCATGGTGTCACACACACACACACGCATATACACTTTCAACCTTTAAACAGAAACAAGGAGTGAACTTACCTATGACAGTAAATTGGTGATCTTAATGGGTAAGTCTATATCCTATCATGGGCAAGGATGATGTTGGTGGGCTGAGGCAGGCTTGTTTTTTAGTTGGCTTACCGGCGCGTGGCAAAAGTTACATTGTCAAAAAGCTTCGACGTTATCTCAATTGGTTGCAATACGAAACCAAGGTATATTATTTTTGTTTATCCTTCCTTTTTACGTCATGGTACAACATCAACTCACACACATCATGTTGTTGTAGGTTTTCAATGTGGGCAATCTCCGTCGAGTCAACCAAGCATCACAAAACCAAGTGCAGTCAGCAACGTTCTTTGATCCAGACAACAGTGAAATGAAGAATTATCGTGATCATTTGGCACTTGAAGTATTGGAGAATTTATTGGATTGGCTCAAGGAAGGGGGGCGAGTGGCTATCCATGATGCTACCAATTCCACCATTGAACGAAGGTAAAAGAATGCTCCCTTCTCTCTCTCCGATGAATGATGCATTTGTGTGACACATGAATTTGGCGATCCGCTATAGATACTTGCTGTTGAACAGGCTTCGTGACTTTCCACACATCAAGGTCTTGATCTTGGAATCGGAGTGCAATGATACAAAGGTAACGTGGAGGGGGGAGGGATAGAGGGATGGAAGGGATTGTATGTGTATATGTTGCGTAACAAAAACTCATATGACGAGGCTCATGTATTAGATCTTGGAGCGTAATTTTCGACTAAAGTTGCTCGGTCCCGATTACAAGGATAAGCCAGCTGCCACTGCTCTCGCCGATTTCAAGTCGCGTGTGAACAATTATGAAAAGGCGTATCAACCCGTGGGCGATTGGGAAGAAGAAAACAACATTGCCTATTGTAAAATCATGAATGTGGGCAAAAAGGTCATTGCGTACAACATTTCTGGTTACCTATCGGGTCAATGTGTCTTTTATCTTATGAACTTTAATCTTGAAGGTAAGTACAACAACAAGTTTAATTTTCTGCACTGCCACATTGCTGGTAACACTAGAGATCTTTCTCACTTTACTGTATTAGATCGACAAATTTTCCTAACCCGGCACGGTGAGAGTTTGGATAATATTCAGGGTCGCATTGGTGGGGATGCACCGGTAAGTTAGGTTCTTTTTTTTCTTTTGCGGGGTCCGCGGCTTTATGCGTATGTGTGTGTGGCTGACGAAACAATGATCACAAGCTATCTCCATCAGGTGAAAAGTATGCAAGTGCACTTTCCACATTTATCAAGGAACAACGAGTACGTTTTGCATTGGAATTGGTACGACAACGACATGAACAAGAGGAAACTTGGGTATCCCATGGATTGGAACCGCTTGAAGCTGGCAACCTCTTAAGGTCAAGTACACCTGAACAAGCATTCCATGAAAAGGCAGCATCCATTTCAAGTCGACAATTCGCTGTTTGGACAAGCATGTTGCAACGTTCCATGCAAACCGCCAAATACTTTGATCCAGACGAGTATGATATCAAGCACATTCGATTTCTTAATGAGATCAACGCTGCTGTAAGTTGCAGGTGATGGGATAAAGGAAACGTGGCTGGGCAACAACTCACGCGATCGTGTAGGGATGCGAGGGAATGACCTATCCGGAAATTGAAAGCAAGTTTCCCAAAGAATATGCAGCTCGACAAGCAAACAAACTTTACTATAGATATCCAGGCATTGGCGGCGAGTCATATCTCGGCAAGTTACCAAAAGCGTATTCCGATTGTCAAGTCATCCTCACACTAATTGACTTTTATAGACGTTATCCATCGTACACAACCCATGATCGTGGAACTTGAACGTATGCGAGAATCATGTCTTATTATTACCCACCGAGTTGTCATGCGCATCCTACTTGGTTATTTGATGGATAGAACTCAACAAGAAATGCCTCATATGGATATCCCAATGCACACGTAAGTCGATACATTCATATCATCCTATCACTCGACGTCGTCATGGTAACATTTGTTTTGATAGTCTATTTGAAGTACGGCCTAAACCATATGGCAACGAGTTGAGAATATGGAAATACGACCAAGAAGAAGACACGTTCAAGCGAGTGCAATGAAACACTTTTTTATTCCGCCTCCTCCTTCCACCATCAATCACATCATCATATGCTGCATCTGTAATTAAACCTCTTTACATCTATCCTACTTTGATTTCCCTTTCCAGTTCAAATAAAACAAGTGAATCTCCCATTCCCGGCTTTTAAAATAGAGCCAAAAGTCAAATTGTACTTTTATTGTACGCGTCGTCTAGCTAAGGCACGTTGTCTAATTTGTTCAATTTCCTCAGCACGTCGTTTTCGTCGATCTTGTTCTTGTTTTTCTTCGGCCTCCTTTTCCTTTGCAATGACCTCGTTCTTTGCATCCTGATCCATTTCCAATACGTTGGGTGCATCCTCGCCGTTCAACCTTGTCTTCGGTAACCGTTGTATCCGATCCCGGCCTTCACCTGATTTGATCCAATCCCAGAGGATTTTGCTGACACCTTTCATCACGGCCTTATTGGTGTAGGTGACGTGCATGTACATGACCCAATCCAACTCTGAATACCGCAGCTTGTGTCGATCAATCATATCTGAAAATGCACATAGTGGATGTAAATGCAAGGCAACCAATGATGCTGTCGATGAGCCGATATCGCCTATTTCTGCCGTCATGTCTTCGGTCAAGTGTTGATCTGGGGAATAATGCGAAAAGACGCTGCGATGGGCACCCTTGTTGGCAATGTTGGTAAAGTAACCGGATAAGAATGATTTGAGAATAGGCACTGGGTCCACATGCTTTCCATGCTCATCCATCCCGATCTTGCGTCGCTGAGACGACTTTTTCTTCTTTTCATCAAGGTAACGCGGCGCACGTATAATTGGAAGCCGTAATTTCTCCATCACATCCGCTAATTGTCGTCGTACATTGCTGGCTGTATCAAGCACCTTGCCATTGATCCAATTCTCGCGACACCAATTCCGGCTCTTGCCATGTCGATGCCATTCATGCCATACATTGAGATACGTCATGTGATCACCCGTATGATGTGCGAATCGTAACTTGCATTCCTCTGCTTCAATCATGGCTTGCTCACCACCTTTGCTGCGAGCCGAGGGTGCCTTGAAAAGATCATTTTCGCCAGCGAGAATGCTTGCAATCGTCAACACGTCATGGCTACACTTGAATTCTTGCGCCGAGCTCACTAAGACACGAGCAAGGGAAGGTGAAAGAGGAAAGTAGCTCATCTTGTCTCCAAGAGGGGTGAGCTTGCCTACCTCATCAATAGCACCCAAAAGATATAATTGCTTCAGAGCATTGCGTAATAACTTCTCGTCGGGCGGATCAATGAATTCAAAGTTGAGCACATCCACAATCCCCATCTTTTTCAAAGCGAGAACGGTTCCCAATAAACTGCTGCGTTGGATCTCAGGCACCGTATCCACCATCATGTGATTGTAGCTGTCAGGTGTATAGAGTCGATATGCTTTACCAGGGGCAGTTCTATATACATACATGCATTCATTGAGTAATGAGAACATGCATACACGATGATGGCAATTACTCGTTTTACCTTCCAGCTCGACCCACACGTTGTATAGCAGCAGCTTGGCTGATCTCCGTTACAAGTAAAGCATCCATACCAGTATTGGGATCATAGGTCTTCTCCTTGACAAAGCCTGAATCAACCACGTAACGAATACCAGGAATTGTAACCGAAGTCTATCCACATGTATGAGTCCTTTTTTTCTCCTTTTTCCACAGATCCATCGACTGACCTGAGCAACGTTGGTGGCAAAGACTACTTTACGAACGCCATCCCTTGGAAGTTCAAACACTGCTTTTTGATCATATGTCTCGAGACTCGCATAAAGTGGATAGATGGCAACATCGCTTACCCCATCCTCAAAATGTTTCACCGATCGTTGATAATCAAGCGACTTTGTACGTTCTGCAAAGGCACGACATGCTCTTTCGATATCACTTTGGCCTGTCAAGAACACCAGCAGGTCACCAGGTGGCTCGTGCGTGTGGATATGCCATGCCGCTTCGACAGCGTGATCCACCATGGATGATTTCAGTGATGACAAGCGTTGAGCATCCTTGTAATAAACCACTTGGACTGGAAACGTGCGTCCTGGAATCTCAAAGATGGGGCATTCGCCAAAAAAGTCTGAAAACTTTTCCACATCCAGCGTAGCTGACATGATCAACACCTTCAAATCGGGTCGCAGTCGCTGCGTCTTTTTCAACAATCCAAATAAAACATCCGTCTCAAGCGTACGTTCATGGGCTTCGTCAATAATCACAACCGAATACTGGCTAAGGCTGGGATCCTCGGTCGCCTCACGCAATAATACGCCATCCGTCATGTATTTGAGTTGAGTCTCGGGACATGTCGTGTCATCGAAACGGATCGTGTATCCCACTTTGGTGCCAAGTGCCACATCTTGTTCCTCGCTCACACGCTTGGCCACTAAGTTGTTTCCATATCATTAGTCTCCTGCCTCCTTTCCTTTCCTTGTGCTTCATGTATCTACCTGTAATGGCTGCAATACGTCTATCGATAGCATTTGCATTTAGTATGAGAGATCACACCATCCACCTAAAATAAACATACCTTGGCTGTGTCACACCAATCCTCTTTACATCAGGCATGCTTTCAAGGATATACTGTGGAATCTGTGTCGTTTTACCAGAGCCTAGAGAAAGATTGTATAGATTGAGTGCATTGGCAAGTAGAAGAATGGGAGTCAACAAGCTTACCCGTTTCACCAATCACCACTAGCACATTGTATTCTTTGATGGCTTCGATGAGCTCGTCTTTGTATTCGAATGTCGGTAGACTCTCGCGCTGTTCACGTATCCGATTGCTAGGGCTCATGTCAAAGGGTGATATGGACAAGACGACGGAAAAAGAAATTCCAATTTGGATGAGAGGAGGCGGGTGCGGCGGGTGTTGTTTCCATAGCTCGCATGAGATCCCATTCACTCCCAACCATTCATAATAAAATCCCAAATGCTTTTACAAAAATGACCTGTGTGTAACATTCATGGATATACAAGGCAGGGTTTATATATGTGCAATTGTGTGTATGGATGTTGTGTGAGTGTGAATATGGATATTGCAGAGAGAATGATATAACAAAAGGTGGGGGTGGAAGGGTTGTTGCATGTATAAATCTATGTGGATTTGTTGATGAATCTATCAAAGTATTGATGAACGCCCGTAGTAAGCTGATCCGCCGTTGAGCCTTGAATAATGGTACCAATGTATCCATCAGGTCTCACCACCACCACAGTTGCTGCACCATCTTGTTGTTGCTGCTCACCCCGATAGGCAGCATGACATTGTGCTCGATTTAGCTTATCAAGCATGATCAATTTTTTCTTTTCCTCATCCAATTGTGGTGCACACTCGGATTCAATACGATCAGCGGGACTGGTAGTGATGACAAGGCATGGATCCGTAATCAAGGGCGACTTGAATTGCCATAATGCTTGAGCCATATCCAGAGATCGTGTCAAATCATCAGCCAAAAGCAGTAACGAAAAAGAGAGCCAATCCTTGGATTCGAATTGATCCATCAACCGAGTTTTACGTCCAGAGGAGAATTGAAAGACCTTGTAATTGGGTGCACGCATACCAGGTTGTAACAAGCCAGCAGATTGTGGTCTTTGTTGTGTAATGAATGCATTCTCTTCATTGTAATGGATACCAAAACCACTAGTAAAGGACCGATGCTCTTGAACAATGTTGCAATACTCCTTTGAGGATTGATGCCCTGCTGCTGCTTTGGCAGCTACCTTGTCGATGGCAAGCACTTGTTGTGCTACAGGTCGTCGTTCAGATGCATACGTTGACAAGACTTTGCGATCAATGTGGCCACGTTCCACCATGCATAATTTCCAAACCTATTTCGCAAAGGTGAGTAAAGGGGTTACACACGTACACACGTAGCCATGTGATCTCACGCCTCTCTATACATACCAAGTTGAAGATGTCACCAAAGCCCGTGTTGACACCCTGGCCCAAGGTCGGGCTCTGACAATGAGCTGCATCGCCACACAAGAATACACGATGTTGCATAGCATCCATGGCAGTGGCCAAACGTTGACCCACCACATACACTGACCAATACAAGATACCCAAGAATTCAAGTCGATGAGGTAGTAAACCACGTTTCGCCTCACGTTGGATATCCTCAAGCTGGATCTTGTTGCGATTGTATTGCTCCTTGCGTAGCTCAATCTCATTTTCATCAAAGTGAACAAAGATGCGAGTAAGGCCATTCTCACGAGGAAACAAGCTGATGGTCTTTGCAACATCATTTTGAAGCATGCTATGTACTAACATGAGTCATCTACTCCCTTTCTTCCTCTTTCCTATTGAAACTTACCAAACATCCTTTCTACCAGTGTTAAAGTTGGTCCGTACCAACGCGTCAATGACACCAGCATGCGTTTCAGTCGTTTCTCCTTCCGTTTGAATGCCAAGCTGGCTTCGGCAATCGCTGTGTGCGCCATCACATGAGAGAATGTACTTGCAATCGAGTTGCTCGGTACGTGCTTCATCGCGTAAATGCATCACGGTGGCCCTAATGGGGTGGGTCTTGTTTTCAGGTTGTTCAGCCATATTGATCACAGTGGCAGGCCGCTCCACAGCAATATCACGATTGGTCAAAGTGGTTTCCAGGCTTGATTCGGTAATGTGTTGCCCCACACACAAGAGATATTGATGCTTGGACTCAACGTTGTCAGGCACAAAAGGTATACTTGATTGCAGCTCGCCATTGGCATACGATGAGATCTGATCGACCTTGACGCCTGTTTTGAGTAACTCGTCCGCTAGGCCTGCCCTTTCAAGTAGCTCAAGGGTACGGCCATGGATCCAATCGCCACGCCCCCAATGATTGGGCTCATATTCAACATCTACATAGACGATGTATGTTCATACGCGTTCCTCTTACACCAAGATCCCTTGCTACTTACCAAGAATCCTTACTGAGAACCCTGCCTGAGAAATCAAATTGGCAGCCAATAAACCAACAGGGCCAGCGCCCACAATCAAAAAATCCACTTGTTGACTCATTCGAAGGGAAAAGAGGGTAATGAAAAGAAGAAGAAAAGAAGAGAGGAGAAGGATACAAGAGCATGTTTTTATTTGTTTGGGCAATGCCTTTATTTTCATGCATTGAAGGTATGGTAACTTGGTCCGCCGCCCTCGGAAGACGAAAAAATGAGGTGATCTTTTCTCGATTCTTTTTTAATGCGTGTGCAACCTATGCGTCATTCCTTTCAGGAACATGTCATCTATTCTTCTTCCTTCACCCTTCCCCTTCCACCTTTCAAAGATGTTGCCCTTTTGTCAAGAAGGATGAAAAAAGAGGGGTATTCTGTAGTTTGTTTAAAAGAAACAACACATCTGCATACCCATACGTATAAACAACAAACAAAAAGTGGAGTCGGGACCGTCTTTATTTTCTTTTGCACTGCAGCAGCAATAGGGGCATTCCGAAAAAAGATGAATGTTCTATATACACGTGTGTCATTATGCAAGCATGTCATTATTCAATGCGTGCCCATATGGGGTTTTTGTGTGTGTGATTGTGTGTGTGTGAAAGAACATCACTTGAACGTTGTTGTAGATGCTATGTATGTGCCATTGCTGCAGCAATGTTATATGCAAAGTATGTATGTACCAAGGTCTCGACTCTTTCTTTTAGTGCATGCTGCAGTAAATGCATGGGTGGGTGGTAGTAGTATTAGCAGTATGTGTGCCCAACATCTCATGTGCGTAACTGACACATGGCACTAATAATAAGAGACAAGTGATGTTCCTGATCCCCGGAAGTATGGGCCCTGCATCAATCCCAACAATCTCGTTTCGGGGGTAAAATATGTAAGCTGTGGATCGGATCGTATGTATCACCCACCCAACGATGGATGGCTGGTAATCATCCCCGCCCCCTCCTCCACTGAATAAGCCAACAACTCGCTTGACTCATATCCCTTATTACATATGCACACACGCAGACGAATCTTTCCGGATTGAATGTCACACAAGAAGACGTGTTGTAAAAGTAAATTATATATAGGTTGAATAGTATACAGGACACGGTATATCTTCATTGAACTGGAAGGGGGGGCTAGTTGGGTAAGGAAAGGTATAAAGTATTGCAAAAAGAGAAAACAACAAGGAAAAAAGAAAGAGAGTGAGAGAGATAAAGATATCGAACAAGGAAAAAGGAATAATAGATTGTGCATGGGTAAGAAGAGTCAAGTACGCTATGTATAGGTGTTGTGATATCGCGGTGTTGAATATATGATTGTTGTGTGTGCGTGTGTGTGTGTTAAGGTTAGGTTTCCGGCCCGCTTAATGGGATGCAGATGCCTTTTGTTGTAAAGTCAGCTCATGCTGCAATGGTGGCTGCTGATGATTATCCTGTTGTTGTTGCTGTTGACGATGTTGAGGCAAGGATGTGTTGTTGCTATGGGAACTTCCAAGTAAAATGTCGGCTAGAATCATCTCCACGCAAACAAAGAGTATTCGCCATACACTTGTAAGCAATAAAAAGAATTGGCCCACGCCTTGCTTCCCATTATCGGTCTCAATTCGATCCATGGCCATATCCATTGCTTCTGATAGTCGTGTTGATACATGATACAAGTCGAAATAATAAAAGATACGGTAATCATTGTTGGTGTTGGTGGTGTTGGTATGATCATCCTTTGTGTCGATGGATCGAACTTGTTGCCGCACAGACCCATAACCATCATCATGCGTCACCATGGCAGCAGCAGCTGGGGGAATGGGGATCACCACTTCTTCGGCTGGGGGAGCTGATGGGGCTGGCATCATATCTGCAAGTGACTGATATGAATCGACTTGTTCCTCCTCATCGTGTTGTTCTTCATTGTCCGAATCGGGAGTAAAGATAGTCGAAGGCGGTCGATGATATTGTGCTGATCTGTACCAGTGTACAATCTCGGGTGACATTGTAAATCGTTCTCCTCCTCCTCCTTCTTGTTGCTCATTTTCATGCCGTTCTTCCTCATTTTCCTCCCCATCTTCATCATCATCATCGTCGTCGTCATCCACAATATCAGGATTGGTGACATGATATCCGTTTCCTAAGAGTGGTTGAACCGATAAATCCTGAAGTTGATCTTCGACAAGTGATTGCTGTAAATGGTGACTATGGCGACTACTCATCCAAGTATTCTCATCCATAAATTCATCAGGTAAAGGTGATCTGGCAGTGACAAGTAATACATCATCGTCATCATCCATCGGTGGATTGGTATCGTAATCATCATCGTTCCAATCAAACTGCATCTGCTGTTCCATGCGATCAAAATGTTGTTGTTGAACAAGCTGAGGTGTAAACATGAAATCGTCACCCGACAACAAGACAACAGGTTGTGCGTGTGGAATGCCGAGTAGAATTTGCTGTGATTTGCTGTACATGCTGTGTAAATGCCAACTCTCTAGAAATGAATAAGGTGCTCGTCGACGAAACTCGGGATAGTTTTGTCTTGCAAACTTTTGGCAGGTGGCAATAAACGCTCGATTGGCAAGATCCACAAGATCATCGTCCTCTTCTTCTTCATCTTCATCCATAATATCATCCACTTCTTCGTCATCATCCAATTCCTCTTCTTCATCTTCATCTTCTTCCTCTTCTTCTTGTTCTTCCTCCTCTTCTTCTTCATGATGTGTTGGAAGTAACGCAGACGCTTCTGGTAACATGAATGGTGGTGAAGTAGCTACGTCTTGATATCGAGCAGCACGTGTATAAGGACCAGCAGTTGTAGTATCGTCGGTTCGATAGCTATGGCGGGTATATGTTTCTTGGAATCGACCATGAAAAGAAGGGCCTTCATCAGTAGTAGTAGTAGCATGGTGGTGTTGGTGCGGAGCAACAGCAGTAGCGACATGATCGAGATGCATTGTCAAAGAAGGGCCGTCGTCGTCATTCATAATAAATCGAAGCCTGGGAATGCGACTGGCAGATACGAAAGAAACGTAAAAGATAAAGGGGAATGTTGTTTTGGCGGGGTATGGCAGTTAAGAGAGAAAAAAGGGTATATGCACAAACACAAGAAAGAGAGAGAGAGAAAGACAACAACGAGTGAGTGAGAAAGTAAAAAAGGCGGACGCATACACTTTTTGGTTGCAGCATTGCATACAATAGGATTTTTTTTCTTCTTTCACCCCCTTTCCCCTTCAACATCAATATGCATAATCATCATCAATACAACAACAACATGCTATTTTATATGCTCATAGGCTGAAACAGGCTCTCCTGATCACTATGTAAAATCCGACTCCCCAAATCATCTTATCGGTTGTTCCTGTTCCTCTTGTTCACCATAAGGATAGCGTCGAATAATGTCGCAAAGGAGATCTTGTGCCAACCATGCAAAGCTAAGCAATAAGGTGTGATTTTTGCGCTGCCCACCATGACGCGATGCTGCCTTTTCTTGTTCATCCTTGCGATACGTCACATAATAAAAGGCTGCAGCTCTGGCATAATCTCGTTCGATATCTTTGGTCCTAAAACGTGCCTTTTTGCCCGCCTTTTTTTGTAACGTGGTGAATGCATCACGTCGCCAACGTTCTTTTAGTTGTATCATTTCCTTACGCACCATGCTTCGTAGTTCGTACTCCTTACGCTCATGATGATTGTATCGAATGATGCATCCCGTCATAAATTCGGCTTCCGTAGGGACACCATATTGATTCATGAGACTCTTTAATTCACTGTCGTATTTCCATTTCATTTGACGAGCAAAATCAAAGTACTTCTCCATCCCAGGATAACGTAAACGTGTATCGTATTCCGTGTCTTTGACGCGTAGTTTGTCACGATAATGTTGAAACTCTCCAGAGTCGATGTTCCGATAGAGCTGTCCAAGGATCTTTTGAGATTCATAAGACGGCTTGTCATTTTTCTCCATAAAATCAGGGTAAGCTAAAGGACGCAATGACCCATCTAAAGTCGCCTTGCGGCCTGTCTTTGGGTAATCTTGGATGGATTGTTCTTGGTATCAATATCATGTAGATATGTAGATTCATGTGAACTTACCAACTGCGTGCGAATGTAATTGAGCCAGCTCCATACATATGGGATCCGATACACCAAGAGGGAATGCATCAGCAAGAGCAAGATGGGCATTGGCAATAAGACCCAAGTTGTCGTTTTCAATGTATTCAACAAGAAACTTTCGGATATGAGTGATCTCCACTTTATCCACCTCCTTGGGCTTCAGTGGTGTAACATCCATGGGCTCTCTATTGCGCATCTTTTTGCTTGGATACAATCGTTTATCCCATATAATGCTGCGTCTCATCACGTTAGCTATCCTATTTATCTGTTTTCCGTTTTATTTATCACTGCTTTACCTGTAGGTATCGCCATCAAGATCACCACCTGCCAACATGCTTGGAACATCACGTTCACCTTTTGACGAAAACACAATCACATTACGTAGATGTTTGAGGTTTGAGCACTTTACTGCTTTCAAGATACGTGCATCGCCTGGATGTAGGGCTGGTAAACGGAAAACAAGGCATTTCCCGGTGATAGGATCAGAAGAACCAGAGAGGTGACAAAAGACCTCGTTTTCCTTCAAGGTGCAGGTCTCATCCATCACACCCAACAAGTGGGCTCCCTTGGCAACCGGAATCTTTGCCCGTTTCTTGACCTCCTTGAGTCTATGTAAGCGATACGCATGTAGCAACCGTGCAATGTAGGGATCACCGGAAGCTAAAAATCCATATTTCACCAAGGCAATCATGTCGCGTGATATGCCATCTTCATCCGAATTTGCTCGTAACGTTGCTATGCAACGCTCTGGGTCTGATTTAAGGTAATTGAGTTCTTGGAGGAGTTCACGCAACAAGTCAAGGAAAACGTGGTCAGCCACACCCAATGTTGAAAGGATCACAATGATTTGCCTATTGAGGGAAGCAATAGAACGAGTGGATAGGCGATTGATTTCAAGCATGCGATGAGAGGAATCGAACTTTTCTTGACTTGGTCGCAAAGCAAGTGTGTCATCTTTCATATCGGGGCATGTGGTTAATGTACCCTTAGCACCACCCATACGAAATTGAAATGCGCTTGTGTATGCTGCACCCTTTGGTTTTCCCATTCTGATAGCAATCCTTTTGGCCAAGCTAGTAGAGATACGCCCTGCACCATCAGAAAATGTATAGCCATTTCGCGTGATGTCTTTGATCTTTTGTATTTGGTGCTTTTTCAATTCCACGGTTGGGGAAGTTGAAGAAAAGCACTATAAAAACAACCATAAGCATTCCTATTTTGTACACAATGATATCAACATATGTACATACCTGACCCATACGAGCAGCATACTTGGCAACGATACGCTCACCAGAGAAATCACCCATCCAACTTCGAATCATATCAGCATTCAAGGTATCCGTCGATGCAAAGAACCAACATCCATGTTCACGTAGCTGGGAACTTGAGTATGCAAGAAACTCATAATGACGATTTCCAATTTGTATCCCATACTTAAGTGCGTGTGAGATACGTTGATAGACTTTGGTACTGGTATGATTGGGACGTGAAGAAGTTTGAAGTCGATGTTGGCCTTCTTCGATAAATTGTACTCGAATAAACCGATCGATATGATTCTTGTAGTAACGTAGCACACGATTGTCAGTTTCATTTTGAGGTAATTCGAAAAGTAGAGTGGTGGGAGTTACCAGCACCTTGCGAATCATGACTTGGTCCTTGTGTTTACTCTTTTCACGGGATAAGGCATTATTGGCAAAGTTTGTGTTCTTCACGACATCGCGTAACGCCTCCGTGGGCTTCCAAATATGTCGTGTATCAATGCCACTTTTCCCACTACCACCACCAGGGCTGCCCTCATCATCATCATCATCATCACCTTCGTCGTCATTGTCATCATCAAGAAAACCGGTATCCACCATAGCCGTCAGGTATTGCAAAGCACGGGAAGCTTCAATAGGTGTCATTTTCGCATACAATGCATAAAACGTTTCATCGATGGTAGCAGGAATGAGGATACGGTATGAAAAGTATGACTCAAGCGTGTAGTACATGTCAAAATTTTCTAGAATGTTGTTCGGAATAGTCGCCGATGTTGTTGTGGTAGTGCCGTTGTATGCATTCAACACGGTGAATTTCTTATCACATCGATTTCGTACGCTAGGGCGTGGAACCAGTCGACTACTAATGGCGTGCCATAGCACTGATTTGAAAGCCTTTCGGCTTTGGCTTGACCCACCACCATCAAGTGATATGCAAACTCGAAACGTTGTCCATTCGCCAAGTGCCAGACACTGTGTAACCGTTTCTTGACGCTCCAGTGGTGTTGGTGATGCCTTTTTTATATGAGAGGCCGTTTGTTTGTCCATGGCGATTCTTGTTGCACGTATCCAAGGCATATCATCATACCGAATACGCTTGGATAAAGGATGTAGCGCTTTCCAATATTGTGGTGGATGCTTGGCAATTAAGGTGAAATAGGCACGTTTCTCCCCTTTGAATTCTTCAGGATGAAGGCTATGCACTTCAAGATCTTGAAAAGTAAACTCGGCCTTGTACGCTTTATACGTTGAAAAAATTATGGTGATTCGTCGAAAGCGATAGTTGATAATAAAACTGACATCTTTGGTCGTGGTCCACTTGGCTGCCATGGTCGTTGGATTCACCATGAATCCCGTTGTCAAGGACTCACAGGGCACCCTTGTGGAGTAGGGTTGATTGTTGGGCCCCTTACTACCAGATACACCCAGCATGGAGAACTAAAACGATGATTACGGGAAAAAGAAGGTAGAAAAGATGGCTTTACGTAGAAGGCAATGAATCTTGAAACAAGCTATTACACAAAGTTGTATGGTTCAGGCGGGGCACAACATCTAAGAACGTCCTTGAAGGTTAAGAAGGTACAAAGATACGATACAATGCCGCATCATGTGGACTTCATACAGCTTTTCATCATCCCCAAGCGTCTCATTTAATCACGTTGATCCCTTTCCGACGACTTTAGCTTTCTTGGTCTTTATGTTGTTTTGGGATGTTGATCCATCATGGATGATGATAAGCTATAGCTGTGTAACGGATGAGAAATCATTGGCCTTAAGATTACATGGTAAAAGATCGTAAGCAGTAAATGACAGGGTTGAACCTTGTCTATCAGCGACGACCGTTGCGTATCAAAGGCACATGGATACACGCTTGCTTTTACTTTCCTTTTGAGCACTACCATACAAACTTGACCTCCTTTCCTCCCACCAATCCCATATATCCAGTAAAAACATGATACTTTATATCTTCAATAGCAACCATCATCTGAAACAGGTTCCTCATCACTAAAATCAGACTCCAGGTATTCTTCAAATGACTCGTAATCTTCTTCCACGGGTGCGATTGGGTCTTGACAGGGTGCAAGGATGCCAAATTGATATTCCTTTAGAATCCTGAAAAGAAGATCTTGTGCTAACCACGCGAAGCTAAGTAGCAAATTGCGATTCTTGCGGTACGCGCCATAGTACAATTGTGCCTTTTCTTGTTCATCCCAATGATAGGTCACGTAATAAAAGGCTGCTGCTTTGGCACAATCTTGCTCAACCTCCTCACGCGTAGGTGACTTTTTCGCCCTTTTCCTCAATGTGACAAACTCGCTACATCGCCAATGTTCCTTGAGTCGCATCATTTCTCGACGTGCCATGCTTCGTAACTCGTAATAACTCTTGTGCTCATCCTGCCTATACGTGCGGATAATGCATCCCGTCATGAATTCAGCTTCCGTGGGGATACCAAATTGGTCCATGAGACTCGTCAATTCTTCATCATAATATCGCTTCATGCGCCGAGCTCGTGCAATGTACTTTTCCATGCCAGGATAACGTAAACGCTTGTCGTACTCGGTTTTCTTGGTGCGTAGTTGGGCACGATAATGCTGAAACTCGCCCGATTTGATGGAGCGATAGAGCTGCCCAAGGATCTTTGGCGACTCATAAGATGGCTTGTCCTTCTTTTCCATGAAATCGGGATAGACTCCAGCACGCATTTGATCGGGTAAAGTTGCCTTGACACCTGTCTTTGGAAAGTCTTGGATTGCTCATTGTTAATACATGTGTGTTGCTGATACATATAGATGGATCACTTCTTACCAACGGCATGCGAATGTAATTGAGCCAACTCCATACAAATGGGATCCGATACACCAACATCGGATAGATCAGCACGAACAAGATGTGCATTGGCAATAAGACCCAGGTTGTCGTTTTCAATGTATTCAACAAAAAAGTCATGAATGTCGCTGATCTCCACGTTATCCACCTTTTTGGGTTCCAATGGTGTCACATCCATGGGCTCTCTATTGCGCATCTCTCTGCTTGGATAGAGTCTTTCATCCCATATAATGCTATTGTACATTTCATGTTATCAGCTATTGTATACATTCATCCCATTTTGCTCTTTACCTATAAGTGTCACCATCAAGGTCACCACCTGATAACATGCTTGGGACATCACGTTGGCCCTTTGACGAGAACACAATGACATTGTGAAGATGTTTAAGCTCTGGACAATCAACGGCTTTCAAGACACGTGCATCGCCAGGGTGTAAGGAAGGTGATCGAAAGACGAGGCATTCGCCCGTGACAATATGACGTGATGCTTCAGTGTGGCTGGAATCCGAAAGTTGGCAAAACACCTCGTCCTCTTTCAAGGTATTGGTTTCATCCATGACACCAAGTACATGTGCCCCTTTGACCACGGGAATTTTGGCACGCTTTTTGGCCTCCTTGAGTTTGCATAAGCGATACACATGGAGCAAATGGGCAATGTAAGGATCACCCGATGCAAGAAAACCATGTTGGACCAAAGCTGCCATTTCGCGTGATATGCCATCTTCATCTGAATTGGCGCGTAACATGGCTATGCAGCGATCTGGATCGGACGTGATACAATCGAGCTCCTCAAGCATTTCATGCAACAAATCCAAAAACGCCTCATCAGCCACACCCAACGTAGAAAGGATCACAATGATTTGCCTGTTGAGGAAAGCGATCGAGCGAGTGGATACACGATTGATTTCAAGCATGCGATGATTCGAATCAAACTTTTTCTGGCTTGGCCGTAATGCAAGTTTGCCACCGGGAATCGTGGGAGATACTGATAAGACGCCTTTGGCACCACCCAAACGGAATTGAAACGCACTAGGATAAGCTGTGCCTGATAATCGCATCTTCGTAGCCACCATCATTGCCAAGCTAGACGAGATGCATCCAACACCATCCGAAAATGTATATACTTTTGGAGCCTCCTCAGGATTTTCCTCTGAGCGCACCTCCCGTATGACATCCTTCATCTCCAACACCTGGTTCTTTTGTAACTGCACAGTGGGATACGTCGACGAAAAGCACTACATCATCATAAACAAATATAAACATCATGCATATACATCTTCCCACACATGCAAATCACACCTACCTGGCCCATACGAGCAGCACACTTGGCCACAACATGCTCATTAGAGAAATCACCCATCCACTCACGAATCATGTCAACATTCAAGGTATCCGTCGATGCAAAGAACCAGCATCCATGTTCACGTAGTTGGGAACTTGAATAGGCAAGGAACTCATAATGACGCTGTCCAACCTGGATCCCGTATTTGAGTGCATGTGAAATACGTTGATAAACCTCCGCGCTGCTGTGGTGGGGACGTGACGAAGTTTGAAGACGATGTTGACCTTCTTCAATAAACTGGACTCGAATAAAGCGATCGGCATGTTGCTTATAGTGACGTAGTACACGGTTGGCAGGTTCACTTTGTGGCAGCTCGTAAATAAGCGAGGTCGGTGTGACAAGCACCTTTCGAATCTTGACATTGTCCTTGTTCTTTCGTTTGTTGCGTGGGGTGGTTTCCTTTACCATGTCGGCAAAGAGCGGCTTTCGCATTAAATCACGTAGGGCTTCAGTGGGGTTCCAAATATGCCGTGATTCAATGCTACTTGTTGCACCACCCGTAACAGTGCTGCTGTCGTCATCATCATCATCAAGACCTGTATCCACCATGGCCATCATGTAGCGTAATGCGCTATAGGCTTGAGTAGGTGTCATGTCTGCATACAATGAATAAAACGTCTCGTCCACGGTGGCAGGAATAAGGATTCGGTGTGAAAAGTACGACTCAAGCGTGTAGTACATGTCAAAATTTTCGAAAATGGCGCTCGGAATCGTTGCCGACGACAATCCATGACGACGCGTGCTGGTGCCTGGCAACCGCATCATGTAGTCAAATGCATCCACCACAAAGAGCTTCTTGTCACATCGATAGCGTGTATTGGGATGGGGAACCAATCGACTTGCTGTTGCCAACTCAAGTACCTCATGGAACCGGTTCTTGCCACTTCCTGATGTAAGCGAGATCTTTAACCGAAATGCAGTCCATTCGCCGAGTGGCAGGTACTGTGTAACATCTTCCTGTTGTCGTTGTAATGGGCTGATAGATGGCATCGAAGTTGTACCATCATACATGGGGATCTCTGTTGAACGTGTCCATTTTGATTGTTGCTTTGTAAACAAGGGTGCAGGATCCTCTTTCCAATACTGAGGTGGATGTTTGGCAATCAAAGTGAAATAAGCAAAGCCTTGGCTGCCATCTTTCTCAGGGTGTAAACTATGCACTTCAAGGTCGCGAAAATCAAACTCGGCTTTGTACACTGTTTGCTCATCGAGCCTATGCAACTCGTCCACCGTAAGGATTATCCATGTCGAAAAGTAGATGGTGATTTTCCGAAAATTGTAGTTGATAACAATCTTGACATTCTCAAACGTGTCCCACTTGGCTGCCATTGTTGTGGGGTTCACCATATATCCTGTCGTCAATGACACGCATGGTACTACGGTGAATTTACGTTGCGTTTGTTGCTCTATCTTCCGATAATAGTGCTGTCTCGGTCTTTGCTGTGTTGTTGTTGTTGTTGTTGTTGTTGTTGTTGTTCTCGAGTTGTTGTTAGCCGCTCTCCTTGGAAATACCTCGGGTCGAGGGACACCAGGAAGTCCTCTTGGAAATGCCTCTGGTCGTGGGATACCATCAAGTCGAGGTACGCGAGGAGGAAATGCACCCAACATAATAAAAGATAGGGTTTGGAGGGTGGGGAGGGAGAGGGGAAAAGGGCAACAGATACAAAAGAAAGAGAAGGTTCTTAAAAAGGCCAATGATCAAACCCCCTTTTATTGTTGAAGCTATACAATAAACTTTGAATCCTGTTCCACCAACAGCTGTGCAGATTTTTTGGCATCAAAGAATAAGCCATCCACTTCTTGAATATCATCCAGTGTTATCGACTCGCGTCCATTGATTTGTGACATGATGCTTGCTGGGGTCAAGAGTTGTACAGCATATCTATTAAATGTATATATATATATACATGAGTATTTCCTTTTTCATGCAGCATCCTTTTCCCTCACCTGAGTGACGTATTCACACCCGTTTGTGCAATATTATCCACTGCTGCCTCGTCCACTGTCAAACCCTCTGTCTTGGCTCGGATGTTGATAATAACCTTGATCTCATCAATGGTATATGGAAGTGTTCGGATGATCAACAAACGATCGAGAAGATCAATAGGGATACCATGTGGTGAAACAATATCTTCGGTGCCTCTATATCAAACGCATTAGCATTTGCTTTTACCTTGAGCATCATAACGTTTCACTTACCGAATAGTACACATGCCTCGGTTGGTAGCGAAAATGACAATAGGTGATAATGGTGATTCAAGTGCACGGTTGAGGTACGTAAAGCATTCAATATCAAGCATGTGAACCTAATGTTGGGTGTTAGTCCAGCTTTTTCTCGTTGATCCCTTCAACGTCTCATCCATCTTACCTCGTCAATGAACAACACACCAGGTACAAGCTCGGCAATGCCTTGGTCAATATACTTGTTGACAACCTTGTTGATCTCTTTCCTCAACTTTTCAGTGATCTCTGTCTTTTTTGGCTTGAGAAGTTGACCCATCATGGACATGATATCTTGACCGCCCTATCATCATCAACGTATGTGTATGAGAAAAGCCATCCTCAACCAACCTTGTATTATATGTATATTACCTGAGGTTTGGCATTGGCCACATCCAAATCATGTAATGTAACGTCCTGGATCACTTCCTTCTTCTTGTGTACATCACCCTTGGGCAATGGAACATACTCCTCAGCATCCAAATCAAACTCTGAAGCAAATGCATCTGAACGACCCACACGCTATCATCATCATCATCCATTAGTATACACGCTTCCAATCCTAGGATTCTATATATAACCTTACCTTGACAGCACCTGTATTCGCTTCAATGTAAATGACATCGCCGACAGCAACACGCTCCTTTTGGATAGACTCATAGATGCTTGGATCCAATTTGAGTTGCTTGGTACCCTTGACAGTCTTTAAGCCGATAATGACATGAGAGATGGTTTTGCCATAGCCACCCAAAGGATTCTCGGTCTCTTCTGGAGTGAGTTCAGTCACTTCGCCTTCATAGACTTCCTTGGTTTCCTTGATACGAAGACCAATGGCACGACGAAAGTTCTCCATGAGGACCTCGGTCTTTTTGATCTCGGATGAATAGACTTCAGAACCGACAATGGGGCGAAAAGGCACCTTGGGACCCAATTCACGTGAGATAGCCATGGCAATAGCTGTCTTGCCAGTGCCGGGAGCACCTGCCAACAAGAGCGCACGGCCTGCCATCTTTTTTGACTTGATCAACTCGACAACGACACCACATGCCTATGCATAATTCAGTAAGTAAGTGGCTCGATCGTCGTCCATGGGAGAGATCCAACTCACTTCTCTTGCATTCTCTTGACCGACAAAGCCGGAATGAATAGGCTCTGCTGAGCCGTCGTCACGTAAACCAAGACCCTTAATGTGTGAATGCGCTGCTACTCGTTGTTCGCGTGGTGCGCTCTTGACTTGTTCGATTCGCATGGTGTTGTTGGTCGATGTCATTGTGTGAGTTGTGTGGAGTCTGGATAAAGAAAAAGAATTTCCTTCCTCTTTGTGCCGACGACGCGTTTCTTCAAGCAACAATTCTTCTTGATTCCGACAGCGCACGCACTTATTGTTGTTGCACCATTCTTATGCTACACGTTATCATTATGTATAGCCACCCATCATAGGGATGTCAAATAAAAAGCATTTTATTATTATTACTCGGTCTTTTTCATAGTAGCTGAAGTATTCTGGAGGGAGTTCTTTGCATCAGTGCCAGAGGTACCAGCCTTTGCAAAGTAGGCTTTCATTTTGGCACTGGCATCGGTAACATTATCTTCAACAAAAGCCTGGGCAGTGGATAGTTGTTGCTTGATGACCGCTTCGCCATGTTGGATATGGGAATCGATAATACCCTTGTTAGACATGTAGAGCCGGGGGAACACAAACGCCGAGACCACAAAGAAACCAATAATGGTACGGCTCGACACGTGTGCTGAAACGGTCCATGTCAAGTAAAAGATAACGAGCCACTACAACAATGTCATGCATGATGAGTGGAGGGGAGACATGAATAGCCAGCTATAAAGCAAAATCTTACCTTTAAGCTAGTCATGCTATCTTCAATAAATACAATGCGTGCAAGGGCACGAATCACTGTCTCGGCAATATCAACGGCCAATGAGCTATAATGGTGAACAGTACGTTTATCAATGCTCGTAAAGTCTTCCTTGCGACCAATCACACCACTATTAAAAGCATTAGATGGATGATCAAAGACGAGACGATGAATGCTTCTTCTTTCATACCTGTAAGGATGCACCGGGTTTTTAGAGTCGCTAAACACCTTTTGTGTCTGCACAACAAATGTCACATAAATCAAATTGAGACCAATCCCAATAGTCAACAAGGCAGCACCAATTTGCAAAAGCGAGTATGAGCGTGCCAAGATAAGACTTAAAAGAATGACACCAAGGGTGACAGCGGATCTTATAGGATTCTCCCATTGCAAAAGCTGATAAATTTGGCGTTCGATGCGTTGGGTCACTTCGGTTCGCTCACTACTGCCACTGCTGCTGCTGCTGCTACTGGTAGTAGCAGTAGGATCCTCTGTATGCCTCGTATTATCAGCATGGAGCCCTTTTACAATTGAACCTTTAACTTACGCATCGATGGTGCAGTAGTAGTAGCATCGGTTGTAGTAATATGACTAGTAGGAGTAGTACCACTCATTGGCTTGGTAGAACGGACGCTCGTGGGTTGATTCAAATCAGCAAGGACAGTGGACTTTCTTCTGGTTTCTTCAGGCGGTGTAACAGGACGACGTGTAAACTCTGAATCAATCATGGATGAAAGCGATAGAAAAAGAAAAAAAGAGAAATAAAGAACCTCTATTTGCAATGAATGGGTAAAATGCAATGGTTTTAGATTATGATAAAATGATGTGGTAAAACGACAGGGGGGTTGATGCTATTACGATGTGGACGTACGCATTGTTACTACATTACAAGGGGTTGAGTACTATTCTTATTATTATGCCCATATACCAATCACCGCCATGACAGCTGCGCCTGCAAATACAAAGAAAAAGCATCCTATGCGTGTAATGGGCTTCATTGCCTTGAACCTATCATCAAAGAGCATCTCTGTAGCCATCAGATCCACTAATGACACATAAATCAAAATGCCGGCTGATATCGAATCGAAGATCCCTTGGGTAAGCAAGGCCGTTTGTGATTTGGGGTTATAGCCTGATGAAATACCAACGCCAATGGCTGTCCCGATGGGTGTCGTCAATGTAAAACACATGCACATGATGGTTGCCTTTTCCAAACATATCATCTTGACCTCGGCTATCCTTGCACCTAATGCAAACCCTATATACAGTACACAACCCATTTATTAGCTTATCCCATGTTTCCATCCGCCCACCCAACAACCATACCTTCAAAGAATTGATGAAAACAAATGGCAACAAGCAAAGTAGCGAATTCGGATTGTGGAGAGACGCCCAAAGTGATGCCGATGATTACTGAATGCGCAAGGATGCCAAATTCCAGTACAATCGTATTGAGATACCGTTTCTTATCCTTCAATTCATCAGACTGGTTGCTGAAATGACTGTGTGCCGGACACGTGTTGAATGGATGATAGCGTTTATCACGTTGATTCTGCTGGATAGTAGTAATAGTAGTAGTAGAAGTAGAAGTAGAAGTAGATGGCGGAGGTGGAGGTGGAAGACGAGGAGCAGGAGGATGGGGAGGAGGATGAAGGAGAGTGTTGCTAGGTGAAGGATGCGAGAGGTACCCATCAACAATAGTAGCCCGGTCAATGGATTGGTGATCACACACAACGGCTGCTGCTGTTGCTGTAGGTCGGTTATTGAATGAGCAGGTTGTTGTAGGATGTGGTGGTTGTAATTCTTCGAGATCTCTGAAATGATGCTCAAGCTCGTTGGAGGCAAAGTATTCGATGAGCTGCATGATCAAGATAGCACACATGGCAAATAATCCACCAAACGCTGGATAAACTTCATTCCATACGTATCCTAGACAAGGCGACGCGAGCTTTTCGAACGAAGGCACCAACATGTGAACAAATGCAGTTGCCAGGATAACCCCCACTCCAAATGATTTGCCTACATACATAGGATACATCAATCAATCAACAAGATACAAATTGTTAGCATGATGTACCATAAGTGACGACATTGTCAGGAATAGAAAGTGGAGGAACGAATTTCGACAAGATAGGTATTGCTACGCCTAACAAGGATGCCCCACAAATGATGAAGATGGATCCAACATGTAATGGCCGGCTGTAATGGCTCAACTCTGCTGTATTGTCGGCTCCGCATTCATCAGCACCCGTATCTAAATCATGCCATAAGCATCATGTACACGAGAATAACTTTCTATTATGTACCAGCTGCTTCGATGGTAACGAGTGTAAGAGTGATCCAAGATGTATATAAAAAGACGTTGCCGATCATCAAAGAGTCATAATCGTATGGGAAAAGAAGATCCGGAATATAATCCTGTATCCCAAAGGTGTGTCAGATGTCATACTTACTCTACACATCAACCCATGTGCATTATACAACACACATCCATCAGGATCAGAAATCTCCCCCTTGCCATAGTCCTAGTATCAAGCCACCATCACCATCACCTCCTTCTCCTTTCATGCTCTTTATGACCAGCAATGTCGTTGACCCAATCATCCGATATCATATAAAGCGTGTTGTTGTTCCCTTGGAAATCATCATCAAATGGGGAGATCTTGGAATTTATTTTGTGCTGATGGATGAGTTGAAAGAAAGGCAAAGCGAGAATAGAGCGAGAGAGTGTGTATGTTGCATGTGTTTGTGTATACGAGGCAAAATGACAATAATAAAAGGCGAGATGCGTATGCGATGCTATTGCTGCTGCATTTCCGTATCCTCATCGGCTGCACGAATGTAAAGAACATTGTTACATCTATCATGAAGGAGGAGAGAATAAGCATCCACGACGACGTATATCCAAGCGACGTTGTATGTATATATATATATACCTGATCAACACTTCACCCAAGGTACCCACAGAGACACCTTCTTGGAACTCCTCGGTGTTTGCAAGCTATGATGAGAGCCATTAGAAACAAGCGATCCGATGCAAGCTTGCCGTATCCTATCCCCTACCTGAAGGTTCATATAACCATCCACCGACATGAGATAGCCTTTGTACTCGCCGCCCCATTTGAGCTTGACAATGACGGGTTTGCCGGTCAATTCATTCAGGAATGGCTTTGGATTGGTGGGTACAAACTATGCAAAGGTTTCATGAGTCAAAGAGCACGGATCAAAGCATACGATGCCACTTACAGAGGCCATAGTATTAGGATAACGCGTTGAAGGGCTGTCCGAAGAAGCGAGCCACACACAAAGCCCAATTTTTTCTTTTTGGGCAGCCGCCTCCCACACCTTGTGATTGGCCGACCCATCTTGACCCTCTCACTACTACAACAACAGCTTGATTTGCATCCATTGTAGAATAGAAAACTTTGTATACAGAATACCATTTATTATATAAAGATACGACAGCTTATTGGATATTGTAAGCTAGCTATGATCAGCCTTCTTCATAGGATCGATCACTGTAAAAAGATGAACTTTTTCTTATTCTTCTTGACAACGCTTTATTTTAGCAACCAAAAACATTGTTTCTTTAAGACTTGTAAAAGCGTTGTAGGTTTAATAAACGTATCCATCCTTTTGCTACGAGAGAGAAGTGTGGATGTTGTTGCCATGGAAACCCAAAGATCATTGATTGGCGGAAGTGATAACCCACCCACCCCCAGCAGCTTCGAGTGACCTGCCTTTTAAACAACCTTTTTTTTTACCCTTGAACCGACACTCATCGCTATATATCAACAATGCCAAGGACAGTTTCATTACTGGCTGGTGTGCTAGCTGTTGCTGCAGTGACGTACAAGTTGCGCATTGACGTTACCAACAATACCAACAACATTCGCATGCGCTTGGACGATGCAAAGACCACGCTCGATCACGTTGCGGCCGGTACCGCTAGCAAGTCGCCCTCGCCTTACCAATCGACGCGTCAAAACCTTTCTATTATTGGTGAATCGAAGCGTTATCTTACCACTCGTCTTGTGCCTACAGGTAAATGAATGGATGGAGAGAGGGAGGGAGGGATAGAGGTTCGTTCCAACACAAGTTTTATTTATCATTGTATATCAGTCAAGGAACAGTGGAATGATCAAGTGGCCGATGTAGCACATCGTATCATCCATGCTGATGTATCTGGACGTGCCAAAAAGATGTGGGATGAGAATGTAGCACCCAACTTGAAATAGAGCAACAACTTCATGATAATATAATTCATTCTCTTTTGTATGCGGATTTTATCCTCTCTCTCTGTCTCTTTATCTCTTTTTCACACCTTGTTCACCCTCATTTGAAATCTACTCTTGATGGAGCCATTGGAAAACACCATCCCTCGTCGTTTTCAAAGACAACAACGCACATTGTCAGATCATTGGAGCGATGACTATTCGAGTGAAAAGTCGCCTGCTTATGCAAAAACGGAAAACTCGTCAGCGGCATGGTCTTTAAGGGACGATAGCAATGCGGAGCTTGTGGTTCCCCAGGTCATGATTCAACCTTTGGGCATTACACGGCAAGATATTGGGCATCTACGAGTGATTGTTTGTGGTGACTCTGGTGGGTTTGGTGATGATGATGATGATGATGTGTGATAGGCAATTGGGTTGGGGGAGAGAGGAGGAGGAAACTGAATGACATGCTTGCTATTATTGGCCAGGTATTGGCAAGACAGCCATGATTCAAGCGTTGACAATGTTACCCGAGATCACTGCTTGTGAAGTAGCAACCGATGTCGAATGCAGCAATCCATCCTTCATGACGAATTTCTTGGAAACAGACGAAGAAAAGGAAGAAGAATATGATGAAGCGTCCTCTTTTGCCAAAGATGAGATTGGATTAAATATTCAGGAGACATTTGCAAGTACCATGACAGCTCCCTTTTGGAGTAGAGACAATCAACAACAGCAACAGCAACAACATCAATCCAATGACCATCAGATCTTTATCAAAAATATTTGTCTTGTGGATACACCTGGTTATGGTGCTTGCATTGATGTGAGTGATATGACCACCCCACCTTCCCCCACTCACTCACTTACCCCTACTACGACTTTACAAAGGCACAATCAGTCATTACGTCGGTGGCATCTTATATTGAACGACAATTTCAAAAGACGAGCAACATGTTGAATCCAATGTATCCCAATACACCTGAAGTGACACGGCTTGTACACAATCCCTATGGAGCCCATACCCACGTCGATGCATGTATTTATGTGGTATTGGATCGCTTTAAGCGAGTGGATATTGAGTACATGCGCGCCATTCATCATTTGTGCAACGTCATCCCGGTGATCATTAAGCACGACCCTCAGCTGACACAAGATCAGGAGAATGAATTAAAGAAGGATGTACTGCGAGAACTTGACGAGAATGGCATTGAAACATTTACAACAACATGCAACCCTTTTATCCTTCCCGATACCACGCATGTCGATGATTTACGAGATGCTTTATTCTATTCGCATATCGAACATTTGAGACGATCGACAGCAACAAAATTCGTCACTTGGCGTGCTTCTCAAATCATGATTTCATCTTCAACCATGTCATCCACACTCACAGCATCTACACTCACGTCGGCTGAGACCGTGGATCGAATGCATGCTCTTCGTACACGCCATGAACAAAACATGAATCTGTACATTTCACGCTATGTCAGTGAAAAACGCAAGACCATGGAACGGGACATGTTTGAACGTGAACGTGCCTTGAAGAATGAGCTGGCCTCCGTTGAGAGACGCAAACGTGCTGAATTATTGGTCAATGAACTCAACCAACTATTTCAACAAGGGAACATTGATGATCTCAAGGTTTTACGACCTACAACAACAAGTCATCCACAACAGGGCAAGGGGTCAACCACAACATCATCATCATCCGTGGAGGGGAACCATGGCAACAAGGGACGACCTTTGTTATTACAACAGCAAAAAGTAGACAACATGATCCAGCTTGTATTGTTTATCATTGGCCTTCACTTGATATTTGACGTTGTTTGTACTATTTACCTGCATCAATAAATAAGGGGGGGAGAAGAAGTACAAGTGTGTGTGTGCATGTGTGCAAGTGATACAACAGGGCGTTTGGATGAGCAAGCAGCAGGTGGTGGCAGTGAAATTGGGGGAGGGATGTGCGTATTTTGTACCACCGGTGGCGTTCTTATCTTTATGCGGAAAAGGGTTTCCTGCAAATCGTCGTTTTACTTGCCCCGTTCTCCTTTTCGTTCTCCCATCTTTTTTTTTTCTCTTTAACCCATCCAACACACACACAAGCACTCTCTCTTGAACACATTCAGAATTCTACCATCCAATGTTGTAGAATTGTTTCCGCTTTCTCTTTTTCTCTCCTCATCCTCCTCTCTCTTTTTTCCTTATCACCATGATGGAAACTACAACAAGCATGGATAATACTACCAATACTACTACTACTACTACGTTTTATTGCTATGTTTCTGTTTTCAGTACAGACCATATTGCTCAAATTTCTCTCGGCAAGCTGTCTCATCCAACAGAATTAAGACGACAAGTCCTTGTTCGAAATACACTCATGACTTGTCTTTCCAGTGAAAGAGCACAGGAAGAAAGTTGGCTTGATGCTTGCTTTGATGAATTATCATGCGATGATGAATTCGATGACCACTACGAACAAGAGAATACATCAAAACCTTCTCCACCTCCACCACAACCTATGAACAACCATTCTCAACAATTGGTTCTTGCTCTTCCTATTTATCGTCATCATCATCTTTCAAATGCCAAGCAACCGGCTCTGTAAACACCACCACCACCACCACCATAACCCCCCACTCTATTCAGTATATATAGTCTTTTTGTTGCAATTGTATCTTTGTTTTTCCTTTTTGGTTGCCCGCTACTGTAAATTAATATAAAAAAAGAGAGGGCAGAGGCCCCATGAACTGATATGTGTGCGCGCGTATAGGGTGTAATGCGTGTGTGTGTATATAAATGATGTACTACAAAGGGAATGTTTGTTTGATGATAAGCTCATGTGGTGATTGTGGTTGTGATGTTGGGTAGGGTCGCTCCTCCTCCTCCTTCTGCTGCTGCTGCTGCTGCTCTCTCTCCCTTTTTTTTTTGTTTTTGGAAATTAATGCGCTTGTTCCTAAAAGTGCGTTATAAAAAAAGGCATCTATGAGTTAGCAAACCATGATAAGAGCGCATGTGTGTTTTGTATTATTTACCTGTTCCACAAAGCCTAATGCATTCTCCTTTGAAATCTCATGGATTCGAGAGACCTTGCCCTGGAATGTGACGCCATAGAATTGGTCTGCATTGGCAAGTAGCTCGGGTCGGAAAGTGGTAGTGATGAATTGTCCATGGGTTGACATTTGATGAATCATTTCTATAGTAGTGAAAAATCGTGAGTTAATATATACATGCCATCATGTGCTACCCCTTCAATAACGTAAAATGTACCTGCCACAGCTGTTCTGTATTGAGCATCCAAGTTGGCATCAATTTCATCAAACAAATAAAAGGGTGCTGGATCACACTTTTGAATCGCAAAGATCAATGCCAAAGCAACAAGTGACTTTTGACCACCCGACAATTGTTGCATAATCATGCCTTCATCTGATTTGCTATTGAATGACACCTGCGAGAAAGCATGCATGAGTTTTTTGCTGCTAAGGAAATCATCATCATCATCATCTTACCTTAATAGAAACGCCTGTGTAACTTTCTTCACTCGTGGTGGCCTCGCCGCCATCATCAACATCCATGGCTTCATCCGATGCCGCCGCCGCTGATGGTTTACGTTCAATCACCAATTCACCTCGACCTGCTGGCACCAACGTTTCAAAAATCTCAGCAAAATTGTTGGCCACTTGCTGGAAAGTGCGTTCAATAGCCTCGTCCTTTCGTCTATCGAGCGAATCCACAAGACCTCGGATCGACTACATATACAGATGTTTAAAAAGGGTGACATCATATGCCATGGTATCAATATTTACCTCAGCAGTCGTGTCCAACTCTTCCTTTCGGGTTGTCAGCTGATCTCTTTGCTTGGTGAAGATACCATATTGCTCAAATGCTTTTTTGTTGACGTGACCATATTGTTGTAATTGTTCGTTGGCTCGATGCAATCGTCGTAAAAGCTAATATGACTCCTTTTAGTCTTTCTCACTCACTCCAAAGCTCTCTCACACCACATGATCCTACCTTGTTTACACTGTAACTCGAATACTTTTCAAATGCATCTTCAGGAAGGACACCCAATTCTCTGATATTGCTGTTGACCTCTTCCTTACGTTGCAAGAGCAAAGAGCGTCGCAAGAGACATCGTTCAAGGTTCTTTTCATATTTGCTGATGCTTTGAGAGAGGTTGGTTTGCTCGGTCTATATATGCCATGAATGAGCCATTCCGGTGAGCTGAGCTTGGGGGAGGGGTTGAGGGATTCTTACGAACCTGCAGCTGATCCAAAGCTTGTTCTTGTCTTTGAAGCTCTTCTTGCTGCTTATCAATTTCAGTATCAAGTTCTATTGATTGGATGGATATCATGTGTCAACGATTGCGTGCTTGATCATGGGTCCGTCCATTTGTCATACCTGCTATCCTCTTTGTCAAACGTCCTTGTTTCTTTGCCAACCGCTTCTCCTCCTTTTGTCGACGAGCAAGTTCATTGCTGCTACTATCAGCAGTGGCACGTTCCTTCTTGGAGGCCAGCTCCTCACGTCGTCGTTTCAAATCATTCTCCAAACGATCCTTGAGCGTGTTGAGTTCATGAGATGCTTCAGCTTTGGCAGAAGAGATTTCCACAAGACGCTGCTTCATTTGCTCAATTTGTTGACTGTTTTGTGTCAATAGTGCTTGCTCCTCAGAAGATAAGGTATGCGATGGCTCGCATGCAAGTTCTGATTGGTAGCTCTCGATTTGTTGTTGCAATGATGCTGCATTGGCACGGATATCCTCGAGTGATTTTTCCTAAAATGATCGAATAAGAAACAAGTTATAGATATAGAGGGATGCTTTTACCTTTGCATCAATGAGTTGTTTGATAGCATCTTCCTCTTTGCGTAATCGGGATTCATAACTGCTGGTATCGCCCTGGAGTTGCAGCTGCTTCTTTTTCGACTCTACGACTTGCAACTTGCTCAAGATGTCGGTTACTTGTTGATCCAATTTGGCAATTTCTTGCTTGATATCTTGACCACGCTTTGTCTCTTCAGTGAGCTTCGTCTGCCATGTTCTCAACTTTTTGGCAGCATCCAACCGTGAGTGTTGCAAGTCAACATAACCACCAAAGAGCGCACCACGACGATCCACTCGATCACCCTCCAAGGTCACCACGCTAAGATTGTGCGACTTTGAATAGCTGGCAGCCACCTCGAGATTAGGGCAAATAGCAACATTGCCAAAGATTTGCTCAAAGGCCTTTTGGAAACGGGCATCGTATTGAATCTTGTCAAGTGCAGGAATCACATCATTCGAAGTAGGAAACTCAGCAACACGGCTCTTGATACGATTCAAAGGAATAAATGTAACGCGGCCGGCTTTTTGCTCATTCATCACTTCAAGCAAGCGCGTGGCTGTTTCATCCGTATCAACTACCACATGGAAAAGGCTCGATCCTGCTGCCACCTCAATAGCCGTCTTGAGTCGATCATCCACATCAAACAATTCGAAAATAGGTCCATAGACCCCTTCCAAATGGAGCGACTTTGTGATGTTGGATACAGCTTCAAGTCCATTGGCTGTGTTCTTGTCGATGGTCGATGATAAGATGCGTTGTGCTTTGCGTACTTCCTCATTGCAGTTCTTGAGGGTCGATTCCAATCTTGCTTCCTCACGCCACAATTGTTTACGTCTCTCAGTCGCTTCATCACGTGCTTCTCTCAGTGACACCTCTTCTTCTGCCAAATCCTGTTGCATCGATTGTCGCTTTTTCAACGTATCTCGGACGGCTTGGATCTTTTTCACGCGCTGTGACACTTGTTCTTCGGCAGTCTTCTTTTCCTCCTCCAAGATGCCAAGCTATCATATTATCCACATTCATTAGTACTTACGTACGTCTATCCATATGCACACATGAATACGACTTACCTGATTATTGCGAACGGTCAAGTTGGCATTCAAGTCATTGATTTGGGTTTGTAACCACTCATCACGCTCTGCTTTGCTGCTGAAACGAGAGAGGCGTGCTTGCCGGGCATGAATGCTTTGTTGTTGGGCCTGCAATGATCGAAGGGCTTGGCGTGCCTGAGTATCGGTTGCACGTAATTCTTCAAAGCGTGGAGTCAAATCGGCAATGTTCTTTTCCACTTGAGCAATCTCGTGGTCGATGCTTCGAAGGTTAGACGCCAACTTGTTCTACAAAGGTTTCCAAGACATGGTAAGTTTTCACTTCCCATCATCCACCGTGATCATCATTTACCTGGTATTCGATTTCTGTCATTTCACCGTATTCGAGATCCTTGATCAAGAGCTCCAATTTGGCCTTTGCCTTGACAATGGATTCCCGTTCTTCTTGCAACTCGCTCTTTTCATCTTCCAAAAACTTCAAAGATTGCTTGAGATCACGCACAGATGATTCCAAACTCTAAATGGAAAATAACAATAGTGAATACCATCATCCCTTTGCATTTGCTGATCACACACTCACGGTCATGTTTTTCTCATTGTCAAGGTATTCTTGGCGCTTATTCTCGCTGTTGGTCAAATCGCGTCGTCGATGCGTGTCCACTTCTTCAAGCTTCTCATTGGTCTCCACTTGTTCACGCATATAAATGGTGTATTCCAATGAGCGACGTGAACGATCCAATGTCTGGTATTGCGACAATTCCTCTTTTTCTTCTTCCAATTCAGTCAAACGCTCCTTGATATAATCCAACACCTCATTGATCTTGGTAAGCTTCGCCTCTAAAGCGACACAGTCAAAACAAACGCCACGCACAACCAAACGCATACCGCAACATTACCTGTTTCCTCCATGATCTTGTTACTTTCACTACGCTTTTGCTCGTACACGTGAGTGCCCGCAATTTCCTTGAGCAACTTAAGTCGATCTTCATCCTTGGCGACTGTCAATGCGTTGATCTACTATACATGTTAATACGTGTTGTCTAATTGATAAAAGATGATGACTTACTCTGCCCTGAGGAACAATGTAATAGGGATTGGAACGTGAAAAACCAGCACTCTCAAGCAAGTTCATGACATCCGATTTCCTAAACGTATCAAGTCAATACATACCCCTTGCAATATATAGTATTCCATCCATTCCCTTTGATCCTACTTACAAGACGCTTTTCTTGTCCAAAGAGTACTCGTCAAGGGTCAAGCCAATGCTTCGTCGCAAAACCACCTCGTTGTTTCCAGTCTAAATAATCAATCCATGTCAGCCAACCGAGAACAATGCATGTTATGGAATCACTTACTGGGAATCGATTATCCGAGTTGTCAAACACTATTTCCACATACGCTGAAATGGTTGCTGAACCAGTGCCTTCCTATAGGTCATTGCATATATACATGTGATTAATCGTCCCCTCTATTGGAATCATGCTATTGAACACCTACATGCAATAAAGCTTGTCTTTCTTCCTTGTTGAGGCTCTGGAAGCTGTCACCGAGCACAAAGCGGATAGCTTAGGAATGGAATGAGTCGAATGCTTGACACGATCACCCCCCTCCTCCATTTACCTGAAAAGAAGTTACTCTTTCCTGAACCATTTCTGCCCACTAGTATGTGCAATGTTAGCCAAAGTCATAAAGAAGAAGCAATAAAGTGTTGTCGTTGTCGTACCAATGACATTGTGTTTGGGACTGAAAGGTGCAAAAGTGAGCTGATCCTTGTAGGATTTGAACCCTTGAATCGTAATCTAGAGTGGATAAAGGGGATGTCAGCATACAAGAATGCAGTCGAATGTCGATGGCGAGGTGTTCATGATGCCGTACCTGTTTGATATACATTTCTGGGTCGCGTGTTGGAAAGGTAAACGACGCGAGTTGGCTGCGCGTTTGGACGCGATCCAATCCAGCCAAAATGTCTGCCGCTGTGTGTCATCCCGACGGACTCCGCTCAGGCTACTGCTACATGAAGTGGAGACATCCCCATCCTCTTTTACAACAACAGTCACTCACTATTATCCTTTGCAATGAGTATCACCAACGAGTAGGAGCAAAGATTAAACCGAAAAGTACGTGAAACTAAAAGCTGGATGATTGAGATCAACCCCACTCCCCACAGCTTTGGGCGCTTGTAAGTTTATTATAGCATTGTATCTACTTGGTCACCCTCATCACCATGAGCGTTGAATGGATCCATCCCTTTTCATTTATTACCACGTCTTGCTTTGTATATACGTCCTTCATGTTTTTCTTCTATTCCATTAAAAACGACCTCATTCGCAAATCAAGAAGGATGTGTTATAAAGATGCCTATACGCATCGTTTTATTCATGATGATAATACAAGGATCTTGGGACGGTAGATAAATGATAGGTGTATATCTTTTTGATCATGTCACTGCCAAAGGCATCTAGCTGCAAAGAGCAATCTGAGTTGAACAACGGGGGCGAGGCACTTGCTCCTAATGCCTAGCGAGCACGAGCATCACCGCTCTTTTTTGAAACCCTTCCACTTCTTTCTCTACTTTATATCCCTTTTCCCGAGATGCCGTCTGCTACTGTTGACCAGGCACTCGCGATCTATTCCAAAGGCACCAAAGCCTGGTTTACTGATGAACAAGAAGGTTGGGTCTCAGCCTCCGTCAACACGATCGAGACAACCGACACTCACGTCAAGATCACTTTTATCAATGACACGGATGAAACCAAGGTACGAGTTACCAAATGAAACATACACGTGGTCCGTATCTTATTGACTTGTCAACAGGAACATGTATTCGAATCGACATTGGCTGCCCTGGAGAAAAACAATGCTGCCAACCTGCCACCACTACGAAACCCTCCAAAGATGGAGAGTGAAGACGACTTGACCAATCTCAGTCATCTCAATGAGCCATCAGGTAGGGTGTTCTCTTCTTTCGTAGGTGTATGTGTATGTATGTATATTAATCGAGAATGGATATATATCTAGTACTACATACTATCCGCACACGTTATGGACAGCGTCAAATCTACACCTATTCGGGCATTGTCTTGATTGCAACCAATCCTTTTGCGCGTGTCTCCTTGTATGAACCTGAAGTCATTCAAAAGTATTCTGGAAGACGACGAGGCGAATTGGAACCCCATTTGTTTGCTATTGCTGAGGATGCTTATCGTTGCATGATCCGTGAACAATCCAATCAAACTATCATTGTATCAGGAGAAAGGTATAAAGCGGGGGTTGTTGGTGGTGGTGGTGGTGATGGTTGATCAAGGGGTATCCTCTAATATGGATCTTCATAGTGGTGCAGGAAAGACTGTCAGTGCAAAGTACATTATGCGTTATTTTGCAACTGCTGATGATAAGGAGACGGTCGGCAAGAAGGCAAAGGGTTCTGAAGGAGCCATGACGGAGGTAGAGGAGCAAATCCTTGGTAAGTAACAAGGGGGGGGGGAAAGGAAGATGGATCATGAAAGGGGGCACAAGGTTAAC